TGGTCGCTAAGTTGCTGCAAATTGGGAAAATTTGTGCCATTTTGATCCATTTTGGGGATTTGTTTCACATCACTTGAAAAAGTAACCGTTGGAGATGATATCCCCAATGGGTGATGTTCAATTAGGACATTTACCAACCCCTGGAAGTCTGGACACATTTTTTTGTTGGACGATTTTGTGGAATGTAGAAACATGTTGGAGATATTTTGGGACTGTTTCTGGTGGAATGAATAGAACATATACTGGTTGGTGGTTTGGAACATTTTTTATTTTTCCATATATTGGGAATAATCATCCCAACTGACTAATATTTTTCGGAGGTGTTGAAACCACCAACCAGTGTAGGTTTTGGACGCTTTGGGGGGTTGGAAGTGGGCTCGCCATCCAACCAGAAGGTGTACGTGAAAGATCAATTTGATAGAACGAACCTGATATATTTCAAACTACACACATGGTCACATGGCTGGAAAACGAGGTTCTAAACAGTTGGAGAAATTTCAAGAAGACGCAACTTTCAGCTACTTTCAAGGTCAACTCCGGATCAATGAGTAAACCCTGACGGCCCTGACCCTTCATTGGGGGTGACTGGGGGTCCCCTATGGTCCCCTGCAGATGGCACTGGCCGACAGCCCAGGCAGCCAAAAGCGTTGAACGCGTTGAACCCGCACTGCCTCCCGACATTGCGAAGGCGTGTGAAGGGTAAAACTTGGTAGATGGTCAGATGAGAGGGTTTTTTCTCAGGATGTTCAATCAGGAAAAAAACGAACCATGGGGGTTCAAGCAGTGAACCAAGAAGAATTGGGTCTAAACCAAACAAAAATCAAGATTTCACAAAGCAATTTCATGGTAGGTTCATCAATCAAGAATTGGGTTTCAATTACCAAGTCAAACGGATTTGTTTGTTTGGCAACTACGATTTACCCAAGTTGAAGTTTTTCAAAAGCGACGATGACGGAGCTTTCACCAAATTGTAAGGGACAAACTGCGGCAAGATATAAAGGCAAACCGACTCACGAATGGTACAGTAGCATCTTGTTGGGTTGATAACCCCTGAGATGAGGACGATGACCAGCAGAAGAAGGAACACAAGCAACAGTCACTGACAGTCACCACTTATTGGGGACACCAACAAAACTGAGCAACCAGCTGGTGAATGGTAGATCAATGGGGTAATTCTTGGCTTGGAATGGAGGAAGGCCACCCAGCTAGGGGCTGAACTTCGCCACGAACTCTGGATCCCAGAACTGAGGTGCCCATTGTCAAGGAGTTGCTGAGTCAAACTTGGATGTGCATCCCAGTTGTTAAGTGAGTTACAAAACCATAATCATTACAGTACAGTTATAACATACTAAAATCATTCAACACCCATTATCATATGGGGATCATGTCAACCCTGGATTAATAAACCCCAAACGGCTGTTTAATTGGGAAGGTACCATTTAAGTATCAAATCATGACTATTGGTAGAATACCCGGAATACCCCCTAATTAATAAACCATGGTTTATTAATCCGGGGTTGACATTACTTGTTATATATGGGTGCCAATTACCAAACCGTCAGGCCGTGGGAGTGGAGAAGGCTGTGGGCTTGCTTTTGTCGGGGGTCGGGGGGTGAAACTGGGAGGAAACATATGGGTTCCATTAATATGGGTACCCCAATAGCTGGATAGGTGTATTAATGGAGAATCCCAACCAAAAATGGATGAGAACTGGGGGTACCACCATTGGAAACCTGCATTCGGATGTGTCCTTTTTATGAGGTGATGATTGTTATTGCATATCTTGATCCCATCCCCCTAATTTTAAACACACCCTAAATGGCTATCATGATAACTTGCTCACCATTACTGCGATCCAAACAAAGTCAGACTGGATGATTACTTATCATATTCGGAATTCGTTGCGGCTCCCTGAATATCCAGCAGTGATACCCGGCTATTGTTGGTCAATATCCCTTTTGTTTGGCGGTTGCTCGCAATAGGTGCGTGGCTCTCAGCAGTATGTCATTACTTCCCCAACTGGTTGGTGGTTTGGAACATTTTTTATTTTTCCATATATTGGGAATAGTAATCCCAACTGACTAATATTTTTCAGAGGGGTTCAAACCACCAACCAGTTCCCCATGGTGTTTGGAGTAAGTGCAATGTGTTTCTTGGTCAACTCCCCAGTTTGGATCGTCTTCTTGCACGGGCACGGTCCTTAGATATCGTTGCTTGACTTTGGTCAAGCATGGATTGATCATTATTTGATACCGAAATGCCAGGGTTGCTCCAACTCATAATAGGTAAATGATAGCCGCAAGGGGTTCATAAACGGGTCGTGCTTTTGACCTCTTTTTGTTTGCCCAAGTGGCCCCCCTTCATGGGGTGGTGTTTGCAGTAGCCCCGAAGTAGATTAAGTAGTCGTCCCCTAGAAACTTTGGTTGGATCTAGTGGCTCTGGCAGTGGTTTTACTATTCGTTTTGGTGCCCCCCAAAAAAACTAAGGGGGTCATTGAATTGGATCTTGGGGATGGCATTGCAACCATTGTTCATCATGAAGCAACTACCTCAAGAAGCATGTCGAACCATGTTGGTTTATATGAATGATAAAGAATTCTACATGAATGTCAATATATGAATTTTAAATGAATTTAACCATGTATATGAATGTCAATATCCTAAACAGTTGAATTCTACAGTAGAACCATCGGATAAACAACTGATAAACTATGGCTTAATGTTGCTGCTTTTGTTGGTTATCCGATGACATGAAGGCATAATCCTCAGTGATCTTGCGAACTCTTCATCTATATCCCAGATTTTATCTCCCAGAATCATCTATATCCATCTATATCCACACATAATATATACCATCTGGTTATTTAACATAGCCGCTATAGCCATGGAAAATCACCATTTTTAATAGGTAAACCATCTATAAATGGGCCATTTTCCATGGCTATGTTAAATAACCAGAGGGTATATATCCCATATAATCATGGAAATAATCCATGTGTGGATGCTCCCATGTCCATTCAGAATCTTCAGCTCTCCGGTGCGTCAGACGGCGCCGGGTTTGGACGAGCAGTTTCGCGCACTGCTGAACTCCGCCTCTTGGTGAATCAGCACATCCAGTGGCGACTCGGGGCTGGAGATAATGATGGGCGCCATGAAAAAAAAGGGGAAACACCATCCCAAAATTGCCTACTTATGGCTCACTGAGTATGATGAATGGTTGCTTCTGGTTGCTTCATTGGTTCCTGTTCAAGCGTCTCGGGGATTGGAAGACATGATTGAACCATGAAATGGGGACATTTCGTTGGTGGATTCACTTGTTCTCCTTCCGGAGAAAAACGGATTGGTTAAGACGCATCCATTCCACAGCTTAGGGAAAAAATGCAGAATGAGGAGCCCACGTGGGGTGTCGAAATTTAGCCTGCCAAAAACCACAGAGATCTACAAGGTGGTGGCCCCCCTGGTAAAATAAAAGACCGTATGGGGGAGTTTCATAATTACTCATAATTGGGATAACTCGAGAACCCAAATACACCAAGTAGATAAGTAGAACTATATGACACATTACCATTGGACAACTGGATAATCACCCAAGTGAATACCCAAATACTGTAAGTATTTGGAAGTATTCATGTAATTTCATGTATATATATATATTATATACATTAATCCAAATACGCAGCATCAAATAGAAATACCTTCCATTTCTGGATGCCAGCGGCCAGCAAAATCCTCAAGCGTTGAGGCCCTGTTGGCCGCTCCTCAACCTGCCCGCTCAGGTGGGGTGGTAGACCCTGGCTGAAATCTTCACCATCCCCAAGTGATCAGCATTTTTGTGGGTTGGATTTCAACCATCCCCCAGTAGTTTTATTATTGCCCATATAGAAAACCGTAGAAAATTTGGATGAAACTTGCTCATGCCCCAAAATCAGGCCTCATTGAATACCGTTTAAGATGATCCTACGGTTATTACATGAGTTTGCCACGACCAAGTCGTGGCTTAATCAACCACGAGCTGTTGGTTGACCATCCAGTTTTTTGTTTCTCCATGGCTCCCATTTCTATCAATTCCTGAGGGCTCAACCCCCATGATCAACAGCTGTTGGAATGGCCCATCCCAATCGCCCTCAGGGAATCTTCCTGGCAAGTGGAACACCCCGAATTTTTGACCAAAGCTATCCCAAGTTTCCCAGGTTCCAAGGCGTAGGATTTCGAAATCCACCGAACTCCTTCAAAAATTCGCCCAAACAATCAGACCTCTGATTCATTTTTTTTAAAAACCGCGGCTTCACATATGGCTTACTATATTTATCCATAGATATGGGATGAGGATCCCCATACGGGGACTCAACCACCAACGGTAGCTACGTCACCGTTAATGCTTATATATCAGTTCTATGAATATCGCATAAAATGATACAAAATCCAGATGTGAAATCCCCATGCAAACATTTTGCACAATCCCCCCAAAAAATCGGTAGAAGCCCACATAAAATGGTTCTATCATGTTCTATCCATAGAACCACCATGATGTGGGTTTATATGGTAGATATGGTGTTTATATGGTAGAATCTATCATGTTCTATCCATCTAACCACCCTTTTTAAACATTCGATCGCATCGAATTTTCACCACCGCAACGTCCAGTTCTCGGCAAATGTCCGCTTTGCGCAGGCGGTGCGGAGGTGGCGCAGGTGCGTAGCGGGCCCAAAGAACCAGGGTGGATGTAGGGGACGGGACGACATCATATGACTGGGACCAATGGGGATGTCTTTTACCCTCTGGTAAACTAACATAGCTATTGAAAATTGCCATTTATAGTTGGTCTGGTTGGTGGTTTTAAACATTTTTTATTTTCCCCAATAGTTGGGATGATGATCCAATCTGACTAATATTTTTCGGGGTTGAAACCACCAACCAGATGGGGATGTCTTTTAGTGAACGGGGCCCTGGGATTAGTCAAAGATGAGGTGCTGGAAACCTTGAGGGATTATGCGAACTCAGCTGTAGTATGGACTAATCAATCCACTTAGGGGACTTACTTTTACTAGGCACCCGCTAGTAAACTAACATAGCAATGGAAAATTGCTTATTTATAGTTGATCTATTGAAATGGTGATTTTCCATAGCTATTTTAGTTTACTAGAGGGCATTCGAAGGTGTTTTGCAAGTTGCACTTCCCGGAATGATTTTGAGGGAACGCCTTTTACTCACAGCATTATCATGCATTATCCGAGTTGGAGGATCATCCCAACTAAGCAATGTTCAAGCCCTTTGTCATCCTGCTGTTACCGGTTGGCTAAGAACAAAATTCCCCAAGGTATTGGGTAGCACAGCCCACTCTATTACACTCTGGTAAACTAACATAACCATGGAAATTCACCATTTTTCATAGGTAAATCATCTATAAATGGGTCATTTTCCAGTTCGCTATGTAACATCATTCCATGATTCACCATTGTTAGTTAGCCCATTAATAACCATTAAAGCAACATTAATAATATTGTTTAACCAGAGGGTAACAGGGTAAGTCACATTTCCATCTATGATATCATCCAACCAACAGAGATGTCACGGCACTGACCCAACGCACCGGGCAGGTTCCGGTTTCGTGGAAGTATTGGAAGGGTCTCCATCGCTTAAGGCCAGATGGGGGAGTCCAGTGCCCTCAGGTGTCATCGAAGTCCATAGGTCTGTTGCTTTAAGAACTGGGAACGGCCAGCCATGAGCCAGAGCCGCCAACTTACCTGTCGTTCAGGATGTTCCCAGATTCCCAGACATAAGCCCATTATATCTAGAGTGATTATATTATATCTGGTTGGTGGGCCAAGGAACATGAATGGATTATGATTTTCCACATTTTTCCCATCATCTTGGGAATTTCATCATCCCAAGTGACGAAGTCCATGACCAACCAGATATATATAAGGCCCATTTTTTAGGGCTATCTAATTGGATATACCACCAAAATAATCAGAGGGGTAGGTCAACCAACCACCAACCAGCAACTTATTGTGGAGCCAGCGAGTTGAAGTGACCGAACCCTGTTCGACCAAAGCCTGGAAATCAGAGTATGGTTAATAAGGGGAATCATCCCCAGCCATGGCCGTCAGGTTAGTGAATTTTTATAATTTACCACGGTAAACTATGGGATACCCGGCCTGGTAAACGTTCACATAACTATGGAAAGATCCACCATTTTTAATGGGAAAACCCAGAAATATGGCCATTTCAATAGCTATAAGTATCATACAGCATAGTTATTGGAGTTATGTTCACCAACCAGTCACGGTGCCAGGCGGAACTGCCCAAAGTCTGGCTGACATTCTGCGTCAACCGAAAATGCGGAATGCTGGAGCTGTGGGCTGGTGAAGCCTGGATGGTTTCATAGTGGTATATGGATGAACCATTAATATCCCAATATTATGCAAGATCCCAATATTCTTAACCCGCAATAGGTTATTACTGGTTGGATGAATATTGAGATATTGCATAATGGTGGGGCAATAGCTTCGGCGTGTTATGATAGTCCAACGGTTGGAGGTTGTAGGTTTCCTGTCACACGTGTTGGTGGCCTGAAATGATTTGGACGTTGCTTCATGGATCATCTGCAAGATGATTTTCCCATATTGGAAACAGAGAGAAACAACAGTTGAACAGATGGTACTTCTGAACAATTTCCATGCTTCGTTTTGGATGTTTAACTTACCGATCCTAGAAGTGAGAGTGCCTGGATGGTAAGTTGGATGGAGTGCCCGTGCCTGGTAAGTTGGGAGAATCGTGGCAATACTTCAGCCATCCCTTACTCATATGAGTCAGAATATTTTTTTAAAAAAACCTGGTTCAGGATCTATTCATGTTTGGGTCCTTATTTATATATATATATATATGACCATTTGTCAAAAATAGTTGTTTAGAAGTTTAGTATTGGTTGTTGATAATTCATCTGGGTCTGCTGTTTTTTCCTCTTCGTTATGAGGCGGCACGCAACTAAATTCAGCAATTCTGCAAGGCAGCGCTAGCAAACCCGCTAGGTTTGCGCTAGCTTTGATTGACAGCCATGGCCTCCATGTCGTGAATGTCTTGCCAGCTTTTCTTACAAGTCTGTCAGTTTCCACATATTCCCAAATTTTCGTTTTTTTTTACGGATTTTACGCGCTAGATCGCCGCTAGCAACGCGCTAGCGAAAATTGCAAATACATGCCCCGGTCCACCCGCAGCCCATTCAGAGGCACAGACGCTTTGGTAGCTTACAGTAAGGAAACAGCGTTGATCAGGAGGCATGTCAAGAAGCATATTGCATTCAGAGAGGCACACACACAGAGACACACAGTTCAGGAGATAGTACCAGCGACAGCGAATGAAAACCGACGTGCGTTAGCCGATTCCTGTGGTTTTAGAAAGATTTCCAAAGGTAACGAAGAATTTCCACGTTTTCACCTCATCAAGGTAGGTCATGTTTTTAAAGGCAAACATGAGGCGGCACGCATGGAATTGCGATTTATCAACAAAACCGGGAACAAACATTTTGACAAACCGTCATATATTATATACATATAAGTTTGACGAATTACCCGGCTTTTTTGAGCCACAGAGGTCACCCATTTCTAGCAGGGTGGTGGATTTGTGCAAGCCGGCCAGAATATTGAATGTAACATAGTTTGTTATATAGTTATGTTATATAGTTATATAGTTATGAAATATAATTATATATACATTTATGAGATTATAATAGATTATAGTCATCGTGGAGTAGATATGGCCATTTCAAAGAAATCTCACTAAGGTGGGAATATGGTTTTCAACATCCTATATATTCTATCTACTTCCAGATGACTATAGTTGTATGATATTATATGAAAGAGTGTGTATGTGTTGATCCCGTCCCTGAAGTCTTGAAAGCTAGTTGCTGAAAAAATGACAAGATGTAGTTCATAGGTGATTGTTAATGAGCTGCCATAAGGATTTGCAAGGAAAACTTCATCTCTATGAGTGCAGTTAACCCTCTGCACAACTCGAATACAAACTATTCGACTGGGGCTACAAAGGCATGCTTTTCAAACTATGATTTGAGCAGTGGCCATTGTGGTAGTTCTCCAGGTTCTAGATTCTGATTCCAAATGACATGTTCAAAACCATTTCAGGACCTTTTCAGTACTTAATGACTTAATGTGTCCAATTCTTGCTATGAGACACATCTACGGCATCCACCAGCACTTTGGACCTGGTTGCCATGGTGCCAGAAAACGAGGCTGAGGAACCGGCCAGCATCCAGCTTCACGTCTCCTTGCCAAGTGGTCGATCTGCAGCAGTCTCCCTTCCTCCAAGTGCAACCATTGGCGACCTCAAAGTGGCCGCTCAGCAGGTCTTGGACCAGCCTTTCCTGCGCCTTGCTGCACCTGACGGACGCCTCTTGGATTGTCAGGACCGGGTGACGGATCTGGATGGCGACTGCCTCGCGGTGGCACTGCGGCCAAAGATTGCTGCAGCCTGGCGGGCCTTTGCCTTGTGGTGTGTTGGAGGTCGAGTCATCACCTGGGGCTATGGGATATTTGGGGGCAACAGCGGTCGGGTTGCTGAGAAGCTGAGGAACGTCCAGCAGATCACTGCCTCGTCCTTTGCTTTCGCCGCGCTTCTTGGAGATGGAAGCGTTGTGACATGGGGGAGTCCACGTGATGGTGGCGACAGCAGTGCAGTCCAGGATCAACTCAGGCAGGTGCAGCAGATTCACGCGGGAAAGCGTGCTTTTGCAGCAATTTTGGCAGATGGAACTGTCGTGACGTGGGGCGATGCAGAGTCCGGTGGTGACTGTACAGAGGTGCAAGATCAGCTGAAGAATGTTCAACATATCTGTGGCTCACACGGCGCCTTTGCTGCCATTCTGACTGATGGAACAATTGTGACATGGGGTGATCCAGAGTATGCTGCTGACAGCACTGATGTCCGTGACCAACTCCGGAATGTGCAGCAGATTCAGTCCACGCGGTCAGCGTTCGCTGCGACTTTGGCAGATGGAGCTGTGGTGACTTGGGGAATTTGGGAATCTGGTGGTGATAGCAGCGCAGTGCAGGATCAGCTCAAGAATGTTCGGCAGGTTTGTGCCACAGATTTTGCTTTCGTTGCAATTCTGGCCGATGAAACTGTTGTCGCCTGGGGGGATCCACTCTTTGGTGGTGACAGCAGTGAAGTCCAACATCAGCTCAAGAGCGTTCAGCGTGTTCATGGCAATACCGGTGCTTTTGCCGCAATCTTGGCAGATGGAAGTGTCATTACATGGGGCGATGGAAACGATGGTGGTGACAGCCGTGCCGTCCAGGATCAGCTCAGGAACGTTCGGGAAATTCATGCCACAGGGCGTGCTTTTGCTGCCATCTTAGCAGATGGAACTGTTGTGACATGGGGCGATGCGGAGTGTGGAGGTGTGAGCGCCCAGGTCCAAGAACAGCTGCGGAACGTTCAGCAGATTCATGGCACAAAAAGTGCTTTTGCTGCCCTTTCAGCCCGTGGAAGTCTAGTCACTTGGGGCAACCCACAGCGTGGGGCAGACAGCCGAGCTGTGAAAGATCAGCTCAGCTATGTCTAGACTCAGAGCGGCTCGCCTAGTTCAAAGATGTTCAAAGAATGCGGCTTTCGCACCTTGGTTTGGGGTCTTTTTGGGACTAAGCCAGCATTCCTATGAGCGCCATGCCGCCATGTTGTTGGTATTTGTTGCTTATAAGAGTTATAAGTTATACTCCTGATTACTGTTGGGTTGTTGGGTGCCCTGTCATAGTCTTGGGTGTTGTTGGCACCCCATCTCGAAAGTGTCGATCTAGGTTCCTGGAGGTGCACATGCCGATCGACTACCACTACTTGAACGCACATCCACCTTGCCAATAACTGTTACTATACTGTTGCGAATTATCTGATTGCTACTTGCGAGTCTGTTGAAAGTATGGTAGGTTGTTTTCAATTTGTTCCATTCTTTTCCATTTCGAACCCTTTCGGGGATGACATGATTGACCGATGTTTTTGAGGATCAAGCCGATGCTTTCCTGCTGTGCCTTAGAGCAATCTGGCTCCCCGCAGCCACCGGTTCAAGCCGCCGCTGAAAAAGCCGCCGGAAAAGAGGATCAACAGGCGCAGCTGGGAGCCTTGGGTTGCTTAAATTAAATAAATGAATAACTAATAATAAATAAATGAATAAATAGATAACTATACGTATAGATATAATATATACATATATCTATATTTCATGGTGGCTTAACATGAACCAATATCAATCTGTTTATATCTATATATTAAATATCAGTCATGGTGGTTTAACATGAGCCATTAAAGTTACACCCTTGTTGATCGGTTGTACGGAGTTATGCTACCCGGTTATTGGGGATTCTTGGGAGTCTTATTGCAGCCCATATTAGGGAAACCTATCAACCAACTAGCACAATGTTAATCGTCGGAAAAAGTTGTTTGACCCTCCAGAAGGTAACCAACCAAAATATCCAAAATGATACCATCCCCTAAACACCCCCTAAATGGATCTAAATGGTCCAAAATAGCTGGAAGCCAAATGACACAAACGTATGGTGCCATGGATGCAGTAAATGGCTAGCGGCGGAGGGTCAACATCTTCGGTTGATTGGATTGACTTGGATGAACCACATTACTGCACCTTGGAGAGACTTACTACTTCTAAGCCAGGGTGCTTAAACGCATGTCTGGTTGGTGGTTCCACAATTTTTTTATTGTTCCATATATATATATATTGGGAATAATACTCCCAACTGACTCATATTTTTCAGAGGGGTGGCTCAACCACCAACCAGATGTGCCGAAAAGTGGCAAGAGCATGGTTCGCACCGGCAAAAAACATTCCCAATTGAAGACATGAAAGATTTCCCCTTTGCAGATGATTCCTGTCTCAGAATGGTGGGAGGCAAGCTGCAAGACGATCCACTATTTGGGCAGCAGCTTTCCAGTGTTTTTGTTGTCCTTTTCCAGCTAAATCAGTCCATTGATTCTGAGATATTTCCAGGATTTTCCATTGCCACGTGCCACGCTAGTGACGCTAGTGGTACGTCTTTGCACCGGGTCTCAAATTTGTGGATTCGCGATGTATTTTTGGTTGATTCGGGTTGACCAAGTACTTTATTCTCTTGCTGGTTGATGCTAGTCATAGTTACTGAATCTTATAAAGATGTTATGGGCCTACTTTATCCATCTTTTGGTATCTAATTTTGTCACATCTCCTTTCATCCCATGTTTTGTTACCTCCCACTGTATTCTCGATATGTTGTTCTTATCCATGCTTGGTTGCGAAACCCCAGGGTTGTCAAGCATGTCTTTTGAACCGAAGATGCTTGAGGTCCCTGGCCTACGTACGGGGCCTGAAAAGATCTGACTGCTTTACATCGTCTAATGTGTATTCTACGGTTGCTTCTATTCTCATCTTTCTTCGATATGTCCTGATTGTTGGTTGTTCTTGATGTTTTGGTATGTCAATAGCTTCTTGGTGAGTCTAAATGCAATAAAGGATCATCACAAATGCTAAGTTCAATGCATCGAGCCCTACAGTATCATGTTTTTTCATGTTTTTCCCCCTTTTCCTGGGATAATGATTATTATACCCCTGGGAATAGCCAAATTCTACTAGAAACTAATCTTCCACCCCAGTGTTTGGCAGGCTCTACGTTAATTCACTGAAGGGTACATCTAAAATTGAATCTCAGTTTTTTTTTAAAGGTACCGCCGCCCTACCTGACGCGATTTCCCTTGATTCCCCCCGCGCTCGGAGGCGCCATGCCGGCCATGCCTCGTCGGCAAATCCGTCAGCCTCTGGCGTTGGCGGCAGGCGCCCAGCTGGTTGAGAGCTGAAAGGCACTGCTATGGTTACTTCACCCATTGAACTGATAGATAAGCAGAGCGATTCGTGTGAAGATACTTTTTCAGACCAGAACCAAAAAAAGAGCTGGGCACTGGAAAATTCACCATGTATAGATAATTTTCCCAGCTATAAACCTCAATTTACAGGGGGGTTCCAATTGCCATGCTTGATGGCACCCGAGGGTAAATATTGCAGAAGGGATAATAAGAGGTGATTCTTGGCCACAGGTTCTTCGGAGGCCATTGACATCTTGGGAAGAGGTGAAGGGCCCTGTATCTACTCTCTGATAATGACTAACAGTTTGCGACTTGGAAAACCACCATTCAACTAATAGGCAAACAATGTCAGACAATAAGAAATCATCTATCAACGGGTCATTTTCCATAGCCATGTTAAAAAAACAGAAGGTATAGTGCTCACAGAACTCATTGAGAAGGGGATGGAGGGAGAGAGAGAGAGAGAGAGAGTGCTCACAGAACCACACACGCATGTGGGTATAGTCGAAACTTGGATGGTTGAGACTTAAGGTCCCCAAGGCCTCACATCTTGAACCATACATATCTATCGATTTTTGCAAATATATGCAGCACGTTTTGCATTATTATGTTGTAGACGAAGAGAAGGTGCACGCACACAAACACGCTTTCCATACACATACATACATACATACATACATACATACATACATACATACATACATACATACATACATACATACATACATACATACATACATACATACATACATACATACATACATACATACATACATACATACAACATACATACATACATACATACATACATACATACATACATACATACATACATACATACTTGTTTAGAATGCACACCATTCAAAGGCAAAAACGATAATATACCAATGGTGCTGAAAAAAGTATAATGTAGTGAACTAGTTTATAGTTATAAACCAACTAAGTAGTTCGTATAGTGACACATCTACTACAAAGATATAGTCAACTTCGAATCTTATCATTGGTTACGACAGTTACAAACTATAGCTTATATATTTTTTAGCCCAGTGATGAAGCTATGGTTTTATATATATCTATTTAAACGCCAAGTAGGATTACATATCATATCTACTTACAGCATCTTACAGCTACATATCTACTTTTATATCGTTACTTCCATACCAATTATAATTACCGACTATAGTTACTTACAAGCCAACTATAGATATAATCACTGGTTCTTATATACGGTTTATATTTAGTTTACTTAAAGTTTATTATATTAATATATTAATATTAATATTAATATATATATATATATATTCAAGGTGGTGCCCCAGTTCGGAATCGCTAAGTTGGTTTATAATTAACTGCAATGTCACTTGGTTTATGGTAGATTGGATATAAAAACTATACTTCATGGGGGTTATAACGGTTATAAACTAACAAACATAACTGGGGGGGCACCACCTTGTTCCATGCCACAGGCAGCTGCATCGCCGCAGTGACCTTCACAGTGCCTTCTGCCGGGCCGCTGTCGGCAAGGTGCGCGGCCGTGCGCTGGTTGCAACCGTAGCGATTTGTGGCGATGGAGTCACCCCCAATCCATTTTCAACACGTAAATCATCTGTAAATGAGCAAAAAATAATAACTATCTTAAATTACCGGATGGTATCCCGGTGGTGTTCCTCGATATGACCAATGGCCATGACTCAGGAAACGATTTATTGGAGGTACCTACCATATATTTTTGGCATATTTTTCAGGCCTATGTAAGAGGATATACCCCCAAAATATGGCCAAAACAATGGTACAGTACCTCCATTTTAGGGTCCTGGAATTCCCATTGACCCAACAAAGATAGAATCATCATTAGTCATCCATCAACCATCCGTGAATCATCATTAACCATAATTAACCATCGTTACTATATACTATATAGTACTACTGTCCCTTTGGATCCAAGTACCTTCTTAGGAAGTGTTTGGGGTTGCGATTTGGGAGGTTAAGTGCCTTCTCAGGAGGTGTCTGTAGGGAAAGTCAATTCCCACTTGAAAAGTGATGATTTACTTGCCTATCTTTGTTGGGGTTACTAGAGTTCTTCTTATTGGTTGATTTTTGGATGAGGGTTTTCTAGGTATAGCGGGAATATTGATAGAAAAAAGCACATGTATGATAGTGTTGGGAATGGGTGCCGGTTGTTGATTGATGTCTCCATTTTCTTGGCGCTACACCTTCCCTTTTCCCTTATCATGTCTGGGTGCCAATCATCACCAGGATCATCATGACATGAGCATCACATGTTTGCTGCATGACAAATGGCGATTTGCCTATGAAAAATTGTGGTTTGGCTATGAAATAGCGATTTAAATTGGTGATTTACCTTTGAAAAATGATGTAACCATGTTAATCCAATATTGATCTTCACTGTCGACTGTTAGTGGGTAGGGTGATATTAGCCCAGTGCATGTGCATCTTACAGCATGGTATTTTTTTAGGGGTGTGCCAATGTTTAGTATATGTGCCTCAGTGTATTTATAGCATGTGAAGTCAGATGCCGAGCCTTTTTCATCGTCGAAACACATAGTCAACATATTGCACACCAGTGTGCACCCCAATAACCATCGGGCTTTTATTGGAGTTTGCGTTCACCTTTGACTAGTCTGTTTACCTATGATTTGTGGGCAAAAATCCCCAACTAAGTATCAGGATCAACAGTCTTTAAATCGGAGTTTTACCTTCCATGTATTGGTTCCAAAATTCGCCCAGTGGCTTTGATGGTGGCACCATTTGTGGATGACCATCACAGTTGGGAGTGGTGCGTCGCCATAGCAGCAGTCAGTTTTTGGAAGGCTAGTGGTGGGTTGGTATGCTGGAGATGGCCCAGGACTCCATAGCATGCCCTCTTGCAATTTAACAGTTTACTATGGCAGCCATGGCCCATTTTGTTTGATGGTTTACCTATTAAAAATCAAATGGTGGTTTTCTACGTTAAATTGCCAGAGGGTAATGATACTGTGGATGGAAGAAATCGTGCATCAGTTGGCAAACTGCTTATCGTGTTTCACCGTTGCCGATAGTTACCAACTGATGCAGGATTTCTTCCATCCCCGGTACTAATTTTTTGCTTGTTTTGCCACTCGATGACGGGGTGGCTAGTCTGTGCACCTTCCCCGGTACTATGTGACAATCCCCCTCCCATCCCTCTGTTGCAACCAGGCTGGTTGAAGCACCTCCCTCGGCGCCTTTGGGGCCAGAACCAAGGATGACTTCGGCGTCGGAACACTCAATGTACAGTGGCCATAGTACCTTGGGCGCCCCAGGAATCATAGGTGGCTAAATTGAATTGGGATCCATAAAATGAAAATCCCATTGACATCCCATTATAAAACCCAATGAAATATGGATCCATTGGAATGATGTGAATTTCATTGGGTTTTATAGTGTTTTTCCATGGATTTTATAATGGATGTCAATGGGATTTTCCATGGGTTTTTTCAGGGACTCATCCCCAAACGGCCACGTGATAACAGCTATTTTCAGGGCCGGGGTCAGTGTGCCATCACCATTTTTGGCGTTCTCCGGCACTAGTATATGGCGTAAAATATGCCGCCCACATTTTTCCGGTCGAAAGAACTAGAGAGTATTTCTATGTCGGTTGGTTTGAAATTTGATTCAAATAAACCTTTAAAAGCCACCAGCATCAGCAACATCAGGATCAAACCAAGTCTTATCTTCAATTGGTCCACCTGGCGGTGATGTAGCAATGGCTGGTGGTTTCAAATATGGTTCATTCCGCTTCGGATGATTCACAACCAGAACTGGGAACGGCCAGCCATGAGCCATACTCCAACTTACCTGTCGTTCAGGATGTTCCCAGATTCCCAGACATAAGCCCATTATATCTAGAGTGATTATATCTAGTTGGTGGTTTGGAACATTTTTTATTTTTCCATACATTGGGAATAATCATCCCAACTGACTATTCATTTTCAGAGGGGTTGAAACCACCAACCAGTATCACTAGTATTGATCATCATTCTGAGACTCTGATCAATTTGACTTTATATCCATGATCACCCGTATCATCATCAGCATCAGCATCATCATTATCATCATAACCATCCTCCTCCTCCTCCTCCTCCTCATCCTCATCCTCATCCTCATCATCATCATCATCATCTGCTGATGTTCCTCCATTTCTTGTTTATCATTCATCCACGTTTCATATAAGGTTGTTGGGAAGGGAATTTGATGAGCTATCATCATCCAAGTCAGATATAGCTTTTAGCACTCATTGGCTTTCCATCATCCTTGCGGTGATCATTTTGGATCGCTGACGACTGGGATAAAAATTCCCCCGTTGGATCAAACTGTGCAGGCTGCAGTTTTTCACCCCAGTAGAACAAACCAACGGTGCTCAACCTACCAGTCATTTGTTGCTTACCCTCTGGTAAACTAACGTAACTATGGAAAATCACAATTTTTCATGGATAAATCCACTATGTCACTATAAATGGCCATTTTCAATAGCTATGTTAGTTTACCAGAGGGTAAATCATGTTCAATCCATTTTGTTTGGGGCCCAAAGCATGATCTAATTTCATCCAAATTGTACCCACGCTCTGTGGAATTTGGGGCTCAACCTATAATTAGCTAAGCATCCTATATAAATTAATAGAATTGTATCCAAAAATCACCCGTAGCCACATCTTTAGAGCGAAACCATTAATCACCCAATAATCTCAAATGAGCCATGCAAGTCATACCTTGGTTGATTGGTCATTGTAAGAAGTTATGCCACCTGGGTCATTCGGGATAATTATAAGCGGTAATACAAGGTGGTGCCCCCCCAGTGATGTTTGTCGGTTTGAGTTGCAGCCCATTAATTCGTTCAATATCTACCACAAAACATACGTAGAATTCACCTAGTAAACTTGCACCAGCTTAGCATTTTCGGAATTTGGGAGCCAGCTTGACTTTCCATGATATTGCCATTAAACACCGCTGAACTATGCTGACTTACATAAATCCCCAATTTTCCCACCGTGACAGTCCATGATATTTCCATCAAACACCACTATATTCCATAAAACCCCTATTTTCCCATAGAGATCACCCGATAGCAGGGGGATTTTTAACAGTCTCCACACGGCAATCGCAGGCCCAGTGGCTGTGTCGCCAGCGTTGCGGCTCTGGCGGGCCTAGCGGGCCTGGTGTCGACGCGAAAGAGCAAGGCAGGGCGGCAGAAAGGGGATTGCAGTAATGTTATCGATGATGGGATACCCTCTGGTAAACGTTCACATAACTATAGAAAATCACAATTTTTAATGGGAAAACTCACTATAAATGGCCATTTTCAATAGCTATGTTAGTTTACCAGAGGTTATCAATGATGGGATCATAGATGTCCTTTTCCCATTGGTTGGTTGATTAATAGAGGGTATTGAAGAAACCCCTTTAACAACAGGTAAATGATGATAGATGGTATACCAAACCGGCCCCTCTATTCTTACCAAAAGGACATTATTGCATGGGATAATAATCACCATTTTCAATTGGTAAATCAACTATAGGTGGCAATTTTACGGTAATTGCTTCATTTAAATACTATAAATGGCAGTTTTAAAAAATCAACCCTGGATTAATAAACCCCAAACGGCTGTTTAAGTGGGAGGGTACCATTTAAGTATCAGATTATGACTATTGGAGGAGTACCCCCCTGATTAATAAACACTGGTTTATTAATCCGGGGTTAACATTATATAATGTTAATGTGGTTGTATACATATAGAGTTACAACCCAACTCACCTAGGACTTTAAGATTTCCATTTTTGGAGGCGATGAACTTAAAATTCGCCTCCTATTTTGGTGCTCACCAGAGCTTGATGGCTTTGACCTACATTCAAATATGAAACATGATGGACACTGCCAAGCAAGTGGTCAACAATTGTGAAAGAACGGCGAAACATGACAAAACACGTTGTGAGCAATATCGCAATGGTGGCTTGGACATCATCTTCCGAAGTCATCCAAAGTCTATTTCGCGGCTAGGTCTTGAATGTGTGTAAACTGTCCAGAGAGTTTATTGGCCTAACACATTTTTTTGGGGGGGTCCTGCGTTTTTTGGGGGGTCCTGCATTTTTTCCTTTTTCAAGTCCCAAAACCATGTTTTTCAAGTTGTTGCTGTTTTGGATTGAATGGAACAGAAATAATTCATGGATAACATGTAACAGCTTCGTGAATTATAGTGGCAAAGCCAATGCCATAAACTGCCATAAACCATCCCCACAGGTTTCTGAAGCTCCGAATGAAAATCAAGTCGCTTCATCCGCACGGAGACCTCAAGCAGATCGTCCAAACATATCCAAACACTGAGCAAGAGATGCATAACTTAATGACAAATTGGCATCCTACATGTCATCGCATTGTGATATTGGAGCTCTTTGCACTTCTGCATCTGCTGGTTGGTAAACTGGGTGATCATGACTTCACCGGGAGTTCCGTTGGTTTACTCCCTGTTGGTGTTCATCCCCAACTCGACTCCCGTGTTTTACTTCGTTAAGCCGCCTTTTGTCTTAACAAATTCCAATGAAACCAACCATTAAGCATCAGGTCCCCAGTAAAATCTAATAATCAATGACACATAGATAAATTCACCTGCTACATCACCCATTCAAACTTCTTTTTCCCCGTAAAATCCCGTAAAATCTCCATCTTCACCTGGGAAACCCCCCGCCCACTTGGCGGTTACGCCGTTGCAGACGTCCCGCCACTTCTTCGGGGAGCCAGAGACGACCACCACCACGGAGACGGTGGAGGTGCACCAAAAGGCGAGATGGTGGGGATGGGATTTGGTTCATCGTTGATCTATGGTACCCGGCCTGGCAAAGGTTCACAAAAAACTATGAAAAATCACCATTTTACTTTGAAAAACTATGGAAAGATCCACCATTTTAATGGGAAAATTCACTATTGCAATGGCCATTTTCAAAAGCAAACTGTTAGTAAACGTTTACATTACACGAACTGGAAAGATCCACCATGTTCAATGGGAAAATTCACTATAAATAAGATATGGTTAACAACATTGGTTAAGATATGGTTAAGATATGGTTAACAACATTGGGATATATGGTTATATCTATAGTTAATATGTTAAATGTCATCTATAATAGGTAAATATATGGTTAAATGTTAAGATATGGTTAATCTATGATTAATGGTTGATGGTATATTGGTAAATCTAGGGTAAATATTTGGTTCATCTACGGTTAATTGGTATATCTATGGTTGGTCTATGGTTGATCTTTGGTTAATCATCTTCTAGGATATGATTGTTGGTTAGTCAATGGTTAAGATGTGGCTAAGATATGGCTAAGACCTGGTTAACAATAGTCCAGGATAGTAATGCCACTTATTAACTACCCTCTGGTAAACTAACATAACTATGGTATACAACCACATTAACATTATATAATGTTAACCCCGGACTAATAAACCATGGTTTATTAATTGTGGGGGTACCCTCCAAATAGTCACAATATGATACTTAAAAGGTATCCCCCCAATTAAAACAATCTAGGGGTTTATTAATCCAGGGTTGACATTGTATATATATATATGCACCACATGTGATAGGTACAGATATTTACATTTAGACATACTCTGGGTGAATGGTTGTAAAAGGTTGATACACGGTGAATGATAATAACAATTATGCTGCTTAATAATGGCCTTGGTGGCCTTGATTGTTGGTTTTAACATATGGTTAACATTAATGATAGTATTGCTTCTTATGGTTTGATGTATCCGGGATATGTATGGACAATCATTTGCAGTACACAAACATGTTTTTTTTTGAATATACACACATATACATATATAATGTAATAAATAATATATATATATATAACAAATACTATTACCAATGCTTTTTTTTGCATTCTTGTGATTTTTGATAGGTGTAGTACGTTAATAGAGGCAATGAACCCATATCCTGGAGTAGAAAACACATGTTGTGTCAAACATATTCCCATTTTAGTACAGTTTCTCTTTAATTCTCATACTCCATTTTGCCAAGGATGAGCATATACATACATACATACATACATACATACATACATACATACATACATACATACATACATACATACATACATACATACATACATACATACATACATACATACATACATACATACATACATACATACATACATACATACATACATACATACATACATACATACATACATACATACATACATACATACATACATACATACATACATACATACATACATACATACATACATACATACATACATACATACATACATACATACATACATACATACATACATACATACATAACATTACAACTCATTACATTACATAACATTACGTAACATTACGTAAAGTTACATAACATTACATAACATTACATAACATGACAAAACATTGCACAACATTGCATAACATTACATATTACATATCATTTCATAACATTGCACTACATAACATTACATTACATACACGCATACATACACATAAACATACACACAAACATATATATATTTATATATACACATTCTGGAGCCAAAACACCAGCCATCTGAGTCTCAATTAATCGCTCCGTTCTGGTTGGTCGGGGGTGCAGTTGCCAGCTGTAAGTGGACTTGTGCCCGAACTTCTGGGGGTGAACCCCAATGGATTCCAAAGAAAACATATTCAAGTCATCTAAATCATGTAGATTTTATCGTTTTACCATAGTTTACCATTTTTCAAAAACTAGGTAGCGCCGCTGATAGCGACCCTGGGCCTTTCATCACCATACTCATACATGTTTGTATCCAATGTCCCACGTTTTGCACGTTTTCATTCATATTGGAAATTTGCACACGTGCATTTTGCCCCATTTTTTGCATGGGGGCATGTCCATCATGTGCGATTTGCATTGTAGTTGCGATGCAAACCTCGGTTTTTTCTGCGTGGGCACGTTTTCGGACTCTTATCCTTGATGCTTTGCAGCTCTTTTGGCCAACGCATCTGCCAGATTCATTTTATGATTCCAGCGAAACTGAGAGGATCGCACATACTGCTCAAGCCGTGCAGCATCTCTTGTGCCCAATCCTTCACGAGTGCTTAACTCTTTGGGCACATACTTTTTCAGTTGGCGCCACACCTGATCGAGCAATTGTGTCCAACCACCCAACCCTATGTCCAACGTAGCGTGCACATCCGATGCAACTTCAAACCAACGTCAACATGCCCCACCCCACCCCACCCCACCCAACCCTATGTCCAACGTAGCGTGCACATCCGATGCAACTTCAAACCAACGTCAACATGCCCCACCCCACCCCACCCCACCCAACCCTATGTCCAACGTAGCGTGCACATCCGATGCAACTTCAAACCAACGTCAACATGCCCCACCCCACCCCACCCAACCCTATGTCCAACGTAGCGTGCACATCCGATGCAACTTCAAACCAACGTCAACATGCCCCACCCCACCCCACCCCACCCAACCCTATGTCCAACGTAGCGTGCACATCCGATGCAACTTCAAACCAACGTCAACATGCCCCACCCCACCCCACCCCACCCAACCCTATGTCCAACGTAGCGTGCACATCCGATGCAACTTCAAACCAACGTCAACATGCCCCACCCCACCCCACCCAACCCTATGTCCAACGTAGCGTGCACATCCGATGCAACTTCAAACCAACGTCAACATGCCCCACCCCACCCCACCCCACCCAACCCTATGTCCAACGTAGCGTGCACATCCGATGCAACTTCAAACCAACGTCAACATGCCCCACCCCACCCCACCCCACCCAACCCTATGTCCAACGTAGCGTGCACATCCGATGCAACTTCAAACCAACGTCAACATGCCCCACCCCACCCCACCCTACCCCACCCCGACCCCTATCTACTCATGTGGGTAGAAGCAAGATCAGATACAACAAGCCACCAAGCCCAGCTAAAGTGCAACCAAGCGTTGTCGAACCAAAGCTTCCCCTCTGAGATTCTGACCTGGCCAAAGCACGCGTCGACAATAGTGCTATGGGGTCGCTAACGGAGGCGTTAGCAAAAACTAGATCATTTAAATTAAACTTGTATCATATCGTGTATTTTTGTGTTTTTTAACCATGTTTTACCATGGTCTTACCATGTGTTTCCACCCCAGCTGAACCCCCCGGCTGCGCCATGGCTCAGGGCACGCAGCATCCCCCGGGCACCCGCATCCCGGAGGGGACGCCCGAGCCGCATCCCATGACCATCCGCAAGAGGCCACTCGGCCGGACGGTGGACACCAGTGGCCTTGGAGCTGGTGAATGTGTGGTGAAACCTATGGTGATTTACCCGGCCTGGTGTTTTAATGGGATTTTAATGGGGATTTCATGGGGATTTAATGGGATTTAAGGGGATTTTAATGGGATTTTAATAGGATTTTAATGGTGTTTTAATGGGATTTTAATGGGATTCAATGGGGTTTATCAGGATATATGATGGTATACCCTCTGGTAATTTGTTACATTGCCATTGAAAATGGTCATAGAAATAGTTGATTTACCCAGCTATAAAATGGTGGATCTTTCCATAGTTTTTGTATGTTTACCAGAGGGTATGTGGATTGATGTGGGGTAGATATTGATCGGATGATATGGTGATTTAATGGTGATTAATAGGGGGCTTTACCTGATTTAATGGGGCTTAATGATGGTTTAATGGTGATTTTCATGTGGGTAAAACAATAATGTTTATAACCCCCACTAATAATAGATATATCTACCTAAACCATAGTTACCCTAACCCAACTTATTCAACTAATGTGGGTAAAACAATGTCATAAACCACAAAATTGGGAATGGTGAACGTACAACCAATAAACATGGTGATGACTGGGGGATGGTTTATGGCATGGTTTTAGCAACATTAATACTATGGTAATTCTATGTCATTACGGGATACTAACTTGACTTCAAAAGTATATGGACAAATACAGACCAATAAACATGATGGTTAGATCATGTGAGATCACTGGAATGATGGGAATTGGATTTCGGGAATTCTCCCAATATAGCCTTTTTCAGGCAAGTGAATCATTGTTCCATTTTCCTATATATATATATGTATCCCGAATGTGTGGTGAAGAATGGTAGCAATACTGTTTGTACAACAACCCAATACAAACTTAATATAAACCATAGTAATTAACCACAATATGATGGTTATTTTTTATTACAAATTTTATTATATGGTGAATGGTGAACGGTTTATCATCTATTCAACGGGTTGGGAGCGATGCGGACCTGGATGCAGGTCTCCAAGCAGTTGGAGCTACTAAGAGGTTCCCAACCACATGAGAGTCATAGTATGTCATAGTAAAAATAATTATTGAACCATTACTGATGAACTATGCGATAATTCTTAGCAGTCATAGTATGTCATAGTATGTCTTAGTAAGTATATAAACCATACAATGATGCTTAATGCATTGTAATAACAATACTATCCACAACAATGGCGGAAATAACAATTGATCATGACCTCACGTCGTTTTCCGTCACTGGCATGATGGGAATTGGTTTGGGGAAATCATCCCCAAACCCAGATTTTCGGAAACCTCCATATCCATCTGGGTAAATCATAGCGACATCATTGCGACTTCGCTGGGTTAAAATGGTTAGGATTAGGGGAATTATCCCAATATAACCTGGAATAAAGGTTAGTGAATCATTGTTCAATTTTCCCACAATGTGCCATCATTATCATATTATATGATCACTAACCATCATTTAGCCATATTCATTTACCAATATCATTTGCAGTATATGACAATATTTTCATTTACCATCATTTACCCATATCATATCCATATCCCCACGATCAGGACTGCATCTGATCATCTCACGGCAGGCCCCGCCGCAATCGCCGCTCCGCAGCGCAGCGCGACATGTTCGCTGAGACCAGGACCGACGGCGGGAGGTGTGGATTTCTCTTGGGATTTCAAGTGGATTTCATAGGAATTAATGGGATTTCATGGAAAATTCACGGAAATTCGTGGAATTTCATGGGGTTTGACATCAATTTTCCTGCTTATTTTGTCAAACGTTTAACAAATTTGGTGATTGAACTTGATTGAGCTATGAACAATGGGAATATTTCCCCAACACAACGGGATGTAGCTCACAATTGCACTTTTGACCATCCGAGCTACGTGTTCAACGACAACAATTTTTTTTTGGGTGCCGAACCCTGGCAAGTTCATACAGGCCGATAGGCCTTCCGGACGTGGTAATTTCCCAGATTTCCAGCCCAGCATGTTGGACACCGGAGAGCAGCATACCACTTACCCTCTGGTTATGACTAACATAACTATGGAAAATCACCGTTTTTAATGGGAAAACTCACTATAAATGGCAATTTTCAATAGCTATGTTTGTTTACCAGAGGTATCACTTACAAAAATCATCCCAATGTTTGGAGAATTGTTCCTCGTAATAAGCTGTTCATAACGGAGTCCCAAGGTATGTCACACGCGCATGCGTATACACATATGACTGGGGAAACCATGATCATTCGCCGCTTAGAAGCCATGCAGTTCAGAACCCTAATTACTCTTAGTTATGGGTGATTCTAGCTGCGATCTGACCCGAACATGTGTTTCTGAGAGAGAATTCCTGGTTGGTGGTTTCAAACATTTTTTATTTTCCATAATATATGGGATAATCCTTCCCATTGACCAATATTTTTCAAGATTGTTAAAACCACCAACCAGATTCAAAATGCTCAGACCATAGCATTTTTCATTCCCCAAAGTACTATAGTACTCTATACTCACACTCCTTGCTGCGCTTGACTTTCCAGTTGGGCTTAGCCAAGTTGGGCCAAGTGATTCGGCTCAGTTTTGTCAACGAAGCTGCGCGATCTGTTCCATCAGATCTTAGGGCCCCATGAAAAAAAGAGGGGGAACCCATGAAAACCAACCAATAGATAGAGAGATATATATATAATTATATAGGTGAATGATGAATGTAGATGAACAATGATGATAAATATACCAAAAACCAACCGCGATTTGAGCTCCAGATTTGAGGCTCACCGCGTCCAACTTCATCCTGCCCATTTTTGTGCATGAGGAGTCCACCGGGGAGGGTCCAGGAAAACTGTGAGGAATTTGGATCTGGGAATCGAAGACCTTCCAGAGTTTGAAACAAATATGATAATCATTAGTTATTAGCATTAGTTATTATCATTCAAATATCATATACTTCCACATATCATCAAATATCAAGATTACGATCTATACCATCTGGTAATCTAACATAGTTATGGAAAATGGCGCATTTAGTTCGTTGATTTACTTATCAAAAATGGAGGGATTTGCCAATTCGCTACGTTAGTTTACCACCAGGTACCCTGGAGGGAATCTAACATGTCCAATTTTGAGTAATTCTAGATCACTTACCTTTCAAACATGGTGATTTTCCATGGCAAACTCTTAGTTTACTGGAGGGTAGGTGGATGCCACTGGCCGAAATGGCTGGCCCCCTGGCCCCCTGGCGCCCTGGCGCCCACCCTGGCTCGCAGGGTACGGAGGATATCCCAATCAGTTCTATGCCTGGCGTTTGCCGGAGGGGCGTCCGAAGGCCCAGAAAACCATGGTTTTGTTAATGTTCACATCATTTGGTTGGTGGTTTAGAACATTTGGATTATTCTTCCATATGTTGGGAATAATCATCCCAACTGACTAATATTTTTCAGAGGGGTTGAAACCACCAACCAGTCATCGTTTTTCTCCTGTATGCAAGTGTTGTTGTAGCTGCAGACCTATTTTTCGAAGTGTTAAAGTGTTTTTTGAGGAAATTACGTATGTACTACATGAACCACCACCGTTTTGCTTTCTGCAGATCGTTCGGTCAGATTTCAGATCTCTAAGATCACAGCAGATGTGAGATGAACCCCAATTTTCATATATAAACTAAACCCATATCAACCATTTATCTTGCCGGCTTATGTTTGATCTTCCAACCTCATTCTGGTATGACAATACTTGATAACACGTTTTTTTAATAATCAGATAAGTGATAGCACTTGTTCCTGTCTCCCATGCAAAGGTCAAATGATGAGATACTACTAAACAAAGGGTTTTCCTGAGGTGTTTATCAGGGGGAAGGGGTTGCTATTAGGCTATTGATTCAGATCCTGTTGATTTTCAAGCCTGATGGATGAATGTTGGCCACGCATGCGCATGCAATGGGCTTACCGCTATCATCCAGCTAAAGGTTAAACTAAACCAACAACAACTACATGGGGTATGAGACAAGAATAGGGCACCGATGGACCTGCAAAATTGGCTGGCGTTTGGATTAAGATGATTTGATGCTTAATTATTGATATCTGCACATTCGCGGTTTCTTTTAAGAGGTTCAAACAGGTACAGCCTTGGAATCCCATTGAACTGATAGATAGCCCTACTTTGCTTGAAAAGCCCACGGTCACACCTCCCCATTTAGGGCGCTGTTAACCTCCAGAGATCCTGAGGTGGACACAGGACTCCTGAAAGAGGTTGAAGAGGCAACGGCTGGCTGATTCATATGGAATTGGGAACTATGGAATTTTAGGGGTGGGGAAAATTCATAGGAAGTACAGGTAGCAAAATTGATCTGAACGTTGTTCTAGTTGATCAGTTGGGGGTTAAAGTGGAGGTACCTCCATATCGTCCCATATCATCCCATTTGTGTTGGTCACAAATTTAAAGACAACCCCGTATGGATTGAAATCAGATCGTCACGTTCTTTGATCGAAATATTGCTGTAGTAGCTGCTTCTTTTCGGAGCAAAGTCCACATTTTGAGCTTCACAGCATCTCTAGGAACCTGTGTTACCATATGTTACCTACGGACCTTGACATCATGCCTCTAAAACCTTCACAAAATCCCTACACATCCCATAGTATATCACGGAAAAGCATCTCAAATTCCAAAAAGAACCAACAAAATCCCTATAGAAAATCCCATCGAAAAATCCCTGACCAAACATCCCTCGCGAAATGACCAGAGGCGGTCCAGCTGGGTGTGAAGTCCGTGGTGCTCTTCCCCAAAACTCCCGATGAGTTGAAGACGCAGACCGCGGAGGTGGAAGTCGATGGGGAATTCCATGGGCTAAATAGCTATGATCAATCTATAATCATGGTAAATCATTGGACTTCATGGTATTTATGGGATATAGCCTGATATAGGTCATATTCCGGGATATAAGTATATATATATGAGTATATATATTTAAGTATATATATATATTATGATCATGATCACAGATGATAGATCGATACAATCGATGGAAAATAGATGATCAAATATAGGGATATGATATATGATATATATATATATATATGTTATGATCATATCTATTTTCTTTTGAGAGGTTGATTTTAGGGATAAAAACCATGGTGAAGTAGGTGAATTCTATGGGTTGTGGTAGATATATCGAACTAGTAAATTAGGTGAAGCTAAACCGGGCACCACCCTGTAATGCGGGATTCATCCAAAAACCTCTATTTGCTGAGTGATTTGGCTTAGTTTCCCTCTGGGAAATCCGCTAATTGGGGAAACTATTTCACTATATCAAATATGTGTTTTTTTCTTAAGGGTTTCTTGAGCATATCCAAGGTGTAAAAAGGAAATCTTTGGATATATGATATTTTTAAGGGATACATTGTTTCATTGAATTATGTGTCGAAAGCAAAACTGATGTTGAAATTTAGGGGTTGCATCTGTTAATACTATATATCTTGTACTGTCGTTCTATTGAGCCAATTTAAGGCTTCCCTGCGCTAGAATATCCACATCTTGGTCTGAAAGGCTCAGAACTTTTCAGCTAGTTATACCCTCCGGTGGTCCAAATCTTGCAATAGGACATCCACCATCAACTTGCCCCGATAAACAATAACGTCCATTGCTAGGATTGTAACAGTTTGTCCCAGAGTTTATTGGAACATGTGCCAGACACTTCTATACAAGGTGGTGCCCGCCACCGGCGACAAGTTGGTTTAAAGTTTATAGCCTCATCTAAGCGTGGTTATAATAGCCATAAATCCCAAAAATGATGGAGCACCTTGCAAAATTCATGGTCATCCCTCGCTTTCCCAGTTGATTGGAGGTCAACACCTGCATTTCCATGTCCCAATCATTTTCCCAACAAGCTAGTCAAGAAATGGATAATAACATGAAATTAAGCCATGGATCCCCATTTTTCATAGTCGAGTCCCTGTTGTTGATGATTATTTAATATCGCTATAACATCCAAATAAATCAATAATACACCATTTAAACCATGACTTTCCTATAGATTTTTCATGATTTTCCATGATTTTGCCTCATTTCTTTCACATCCTTAACCCTGGACCATGGTGCGGCAGGAGTGCTTCAACCCCGAGGGCTTAGCTCAGAGGGCCATCCGAAACGTGAAGCAGGCGGCCGTGGGATTAGCGCGATTATGCCCAATGGGTGGCTTAGCCAATGTGGGCTGGAAAAAAGGAGTTACCAACCAAAGCTATGGAAAACCGTGGTGATTTCATGTGATATAAATGATGGCTGGTTGAGGATCATTTGGATCATGACTTTATCATTTACACGGGTTTTAACCATCAAATATCTGCGGATACAACTGATAATTAATGGTTATTGGTTGATGATCATAGAGGAGAAAATTGTACATGTTGGGGATTGCCAAAATCCATTGTGGGACTGCTCGTTTTTTTTTTTTCTCACCGGGGCTTTGACACTGCTCCATACTGCTCCATTGAGGGTCAATCATCTCAAGAGTGAAATGGGGTGAACAAATGCAGATATAAGATGGAGCAGGGCCCATTTTTGTTGCTAATTATAGTATCTTGGCAAGCTCACCCTTCGGCAATCAAACATGGCAATGGAAAATCCCTTAGTTACAGATGAGTTTACCGTCAGAACCTCTATCAATTGGGGATTTCCCAGCTAGCCATGTTTGATTCCCGCAGAGTAAATTTGTTTTTTTTTTAAATGATTTCCATTAGGAATCATCATTTTGTATCTTACTTGTGCTAAACGTAGGGAATGATCCACTGGCCAACTATGAATAATCATCCCAGCAACCCCCAGCAACACATCCATTCCCTAAGCACCAGTAAGATATCCTTTGATTGAGTGGGTGCTAGAAAGGTTAGTTTTAGTTTTCGGCGAGGTGCACCACTGATCCACATCCTCACTTGTAGGGCTTGAACGGTCGAACTCACACCAAAAAAACGTAGGTACTTCGTCCTTCATGATTTCACCAATATTACAACATAGCTATTGAAAATGGCCATAGAAATTGTGAGTTTCCCATGAAAATGGCGATGAAAATGGTGATTTTCCATAGTTTTTTCTATGTTTACCAGTTGGAACATATGAGGATGTCCCCCATCTTAGATCGTCCTAGTTTGGTTGATTCCAAGATGTTTTCAACTTAAAGGGTGACATTGCCCAGCAAGTTACTATCATTGGATTGGTTCAAGGAAAATCTACAGGAAACCATGGTTTTTACCATGAAATATAGGGGTTTCCTGTAAATTTTCCATTAAACCAATCCAATGATACTATACCGCAATCCACATGGATTTATGAAGCTTCCAGAAGTTTCTCCCCAAATGCCAGGCCTTTCCTGACGTGGTCGCTCTGTGCTTGTTTGGACATTGATCTTCCGTCCAGTCTGGTAAAATAACATGGTAACATAGCTATAGAAATCACCCATTGAGTTCATTGAATTACCTCTTAAAAATGGTCATGTTCCAGTTCGCAAACTGTGATTTTTTCCAGAGGGTACAAATAAAGATGCAGTTTGGTGGTTACTCGAGTCCCCATTTCATGGCAACTCTTGCTGTGGCAAGTCCAGGATGACAGCTGGATGTATGGTGCTGTGAAATGATGGCTGCTTTTATTGATACCTGCATGTTTTTATACACGGTAAACGACTAAATAGCCAAATCAATAGATTAATAAATAAATAAATGCACGCACACACACCACGAAAATATGTATATGATTGTATATGCTATATTTATCCGTTTGTTTCCAGGGCTACCTGTCAGCTTGTGTCTTTTTTTGTTTGCGTTTTCCGTCGGCATCTGGATATGCATCATGGAGGGCAGATGGCCGTCGCCAGGTGACTGCAGGCGCTAATGCGGCTAATGTGAATCCAGCCATAGCATGCCAAAGCAGTAAGCGGTCATAACTCCCCTCTAGTCATGGCACCCATCGATAGATCCCATTCTGCTGCTGGGTTCTGGAACGGTCTTTATTCGAAAAGGGGGAAGGGATGATAGAAATCTAGTGCCAGTCCACCTTTTCAAAATGATGAACCACTAGAATTACCACTAACCAAGCATCATTGTGCGAATGGTTAATAGTTTTTCTCACCATTCAACCACCATTAAACACCCATTAAACACCAATCAACACCCATTGAATCCCACCCACCATCAAATCCAATGAAATATCCATTACACCACCATGCAATCGGCCGTGAAAACGCCATGCTCCGTGCCATCTTGAAGGCCGGACAGGTGCGAATTCAACAGCGATATGGTGGGGTTGAATCGGTGGATGCAATTTTGGAAGGATTTCATGTTTTTTTGATTGGATAATTTTATGGGGGATCATGGATATCAATAACCACCCCGGGGTAAACCAACAAGGATGTGGAAAACCCATGGGTTTCTTACGGAAAATTATCTACAAATGGCTCGTTTTTCCATCTTAGCTTACCGGAGGCTAACTAACTACTAGTGAAGAGCCCTCATAAACCCACAGATGCCAACCATTTTGCTGGAAATCCCTTCAAACCTCATCTCTGCTCACAGGAATTGCAGGAACTAATGTGTCGTTTCCCTTTTCCATTAAAAACATTGGGTTTCAACCAGTGCGACGAACTGGGTTCCAGCAACTTCCAACGTTTGACCCTGGAAATGTCCACATTTTCCAGCCCTGTTCGATCTCCTTGGTTTCATGGATGCCCATTGGATGCCCCTTCCCCAGATGGTCAATGGGTGAAAGCCTTGTCATTGGCTGAATTCCCACTGTTGCTTGGTGGATCATGGTAGGTCCCTCGATTTTGGTCAAAGGAGTACATCCCTGACGGCAACACCCCTATTTTTGGCTGGTCAAATTCCAACTCCTGAAGCTTGTTCTTGCTAGATCTAGGTCTTAATGCCGGTTAAATCCTCATTTGATTGTTTCCACTTGTGCTCTAGTTAAAAAGTTAAATCCCAATTTCTTCATCTGTTTGTTCTGTATACCATCTGCGAATATAACGCAGCCATGGAAAATCACAATTTTCAACACGTAAATCATCTGTAAACGGGCAATTTTTCATAACTATCTTAAATTGCCGGATGGTATCCCGACGGTTTTCCTCGATATGACCAATGGCCACTTCAGGAACCTGGAGGTACCTACCATACATAAGGCCTATTTTTTCAGGCCTAAGGGGATATGCCCCCAAAGATGGCTTTATATTATATGCTATATAATCTATATATAATAATATAGATTTATACGGTACAGTACCTCCAGTTTCAGCACCTGAGATTCCTGTGATAGGTTGATATCCACCCCAAGCACCGGCCAGGCGGCCAGTTTGGAGGTCGCCTTCCAGGCGGACGACGCCAGCCTCAACGCGCGCTGCGACAACGGCGGGACGGCGCTGCACTACGCGGCGGCCGCGGGCTATGCGGAGCTCTGCCAAGAGCTCCTGGAGAATCCTAACTTTTTTGGGGTCAACGATCAGGATAGCCAGGCCGGAAAACATAGAAAAAACGACGGAACATCGGCATTTTGAATGGTATCAAACTCAATGGCCATTTTCTATAGCTATAGCTATGTTAGTTTGCCAGAGGGTATAGATTTTGAATTATCATATATTATCATATATTATCATCTTGATATTTGATGATATTTGGAAGTATATGATATTTGAATGATAATGGCTTTTGAATCATCAGGATAGCCAGGCAGTGAAACAAAAATGTATTGGACAGTATTTGTAAACAGTTTACGCATGTAATTGTATGTATATCTATCTAGCTATCTAGGAATCTAGCTACCTAGGAATCTAGCTATCTAGCTATCTATCTGGCAAATAGCCGAACAATGAACAGCTATTTTCAGAAGGCAAAGTCCAAGTATCTCCAATCCCCGGGCTTCACCTCAGGGCTGCACGGCTCTGCACTACGCCTGCATCAAGGGGCACCTGGCGGTCTGCCACATCTTGCTGCAGCACCTCCGCTTCACGGCGCAGAACGCGCAGGACTGGAACGGCTGGACGGCGCTGCATGCGGCGGCCGCGCACGGCCGGAAGGAGAGGGGTCGGGACCGCTGGGGACCGGTCGGGATGGGGAGGACGGGTGGATGAGTGGATGGGGAGGAGATATCAACATCAAATACTCCCCCTGAGAATATGGAGTTGATACATTGATACTCTATGATACTGTACGATACTGTATCATCATGAGGCATCGTGAATTGATATAACAAAAACTGTAATATGTTGCAATGAGATATGTGATGATAATTCAAAGGATTTCATGGGACATGAATGGGTTACTTGTGACTATAGGGATTGAGCTATCAGGAAACCAGGCTCTTGCCGTCGCACAGGATTCGGTGGTCATTCCCATTTTGCCAATTGCAGTTGAGTTGAGATGAGTTGAGATGATCTTAGTTGGCTGAATTTGTTAGTTGGCTTGTTAGTTGTGCCCCATGTTACTTTTTTTTTTTTACCATGTGGTTCTGACTAACAGTTCGCCATGGAAAGGTCCACCACTTTTAAGAACGGTAAACCATCTATTTCGATTAGGGCCATGGCATCCATGGCTTCCATGGCGAACTTTGCAGCGATCATCCCATGGGGCCGCGTGAGGATTTGTGCGCAGCTGTTCTGCATAGCCCTCGCTTCAAGTCGGCGGCGGCGCGGGACAAGGATGGCATGACGGCGTCTCTGGTCCGACAGGGTGGTGCCCTATAAAAAAGTGGGCTTTTGGCCAGGGAAAAGGGGACAGAGATATGGATTTCTCAGTGGTTTGAATTAGCTAAGTATAGCTAAGTTGGTTTATAACCAATATAACCATGGGATTTATGATGGTTTATGGTAGATATATAACGAACTAGTTGGTGGAGGCTACAATAACCAACAAACATAACTGGAGGGGCACCATATATACGGTGGGCTCCCCCAAGTTGCCTGCCTGGGAAAAAATCATGATGGACATGTCGTATCCAGTAAGTATGGATATTCACCACATAGACATAAACTCATTATATCCTGTGTATCTATCTATCCATCCATCTATCTATCTATCTAACTAACTAATCTAATCTAATTAATCTATCAACCTATCTATCTACCTATCTATCTAACTAACTAATCTAATCTAATTAATCTATCTATCTATCTATCTATCTATCTATCTTATCTATCTATCTATCTATCTAACTAACTAACAAACTAACTAACTAACCCAACTAACTAACTAACTAACTAACTAACTAACTAACTAACCCAACTAACTAACCAACTAACTAACTAAGTAATATAATTAATCTATCTGTCTATCTACCTACCTACCTACCTATTTATCTATCTATCTATTAATCTAATCTAATCTAATCTAATCTAATCTAATCTAATCTAATTAATCTATCTATCTATCTATCTACCTATCTATCTACCTATCTATCTATCTATCTATCTTTCTATCTGGGTAAGTTATAGCGACCTCACGTCGCGACGAACCGGTAAATGATGAGTCGGCTCGGGGGAGTCATTTTTCTCCGGGAAAGCCGTCTGACCCCAGGTTGCACTTCGCCACGAGCCGAGGGCATCGCGACATCTGTCAGGAGATGCGTTGGTTGTTGACGGATTTTTGTCGTTGATGATTGTCGGTTAATAATATTGTTTGTTGGTTAATAAAGGTCATAGTGTTATTGAATATGTGATGTTTTTGATAACTTTGATTGTTGGTAAATGTTATGGTTCATATAACAGCCATCATGGTCATAATACTATTGAAAAATGATGCAAACCACTGCAAACCATATCATGAGGTTTCTGGACAATAATGCATTCTAATTAGTAGCAAGATTAATAATGATGGTTGATATATTCTGTGTGAATTTGATCGTGACCTCACGCCGTGACGTCGCTGGAATGATGGTGAATGCAAGGGGGATCATCCCCAAATGGCCAAACTATTCATAGCTATTCTCACGTTGCTGAATCCTGATAATTCAGCCAGAATAAATGGTGATACTATCCCTGGTTGCTGGTTTCAAACATATTGTATTTTCCCATATAGTTGGGATGATGATCCAATCTGACTTTCATATTTTTCAGGGGGTAGGTATACCACCAACCAGAAATGTTGATACCATCCCATTTGCTAATTAGTTCCTTTTTTTGTCAACAACCTCTTCAACCACCATCACTCTCGTCTTTCATCATGCAGATCAGCTGCCATTCTGTCCAAAACTCGGTCGATGGGTCTTGCTGGGACTCAACCAGCAAAGAAACATGGTGGATCTATGATGATTTATTCATGTCGAGCCCTGTTAGAAACAGATGGGGTAACTATAGGTAACTAGGCCGAGGGCAAATTTCCATAAGCTGTCTTCACCGTACAGATATTTCAGGATATTTCAACAAAACCTATCCCTGAAAACATCACTTTTTGTTAACCAACAAAGCTCAACATGTCCCAACAGAAGCAACAAACCGATCAAATCCGCCAAAAAGAAAAATCTTTTTTGATTTTGTTGCACACATCCTAAACGGAATCTTCATACACGTCCTGAAAGTGAAGAAAAACATCCACCAAAACAAGAAGACATGTTTAAACAAATCCCGAGAAGGAGCTTCAACAAATCTGCACATGTACCAACCAAAAATTAATCCCCCCCGAATCTTCCACAATTTCCCCCAAAACTAACGGAATCCCCTGAGAAAAAACCTATGAAATCTCGAAAAGAAGATTCGGTACTCCAGGATGCCTCCCAGGATATACCCCACAGGATGGCCCCACATGGCTAGGATCTTATTAGTCCTGCTTATCAGAGACTAGCGTGCCATAAACCTACCATTTGGGGATGGTTGAAGTCCATAAACATGGTGATTTTTGGGGATGGGGCAGATGGCATTTGGTTTACTACATTACTATCGGTTATGATCATCCCGAATAACCCAGGTAGTAGAACCCTTTACAAATAGCCAATCAACTAGGGTATAGAACTTTAATGGCTCAATTGATTATAGGATCATTCATGCTGAATCTCTAAAGCTGTAGCTATGGTTGATTTATTTTGGGGTATACCCTGAGGTAATCAAACTTGGCAACCGAAAATCCCCGAACTAAATGGAGTCTTTAATCTTTAATGGGAGCATAATAGTGGGTGAATTGTCCATTGCCACATTTGATTACCGGAGGGTAATTTCAAAAAAAACAACTTGTTGTTTTTTTACAGAATATGATTATCAATAGTAGTATTTTTTAATATGATTACCAATATATTACCAATAGTAGTAATATAACACAATTAATAGTGGTAATATTATCAAATAATAGTAATATAACACTATTATCAATAGTAAAATAACTTATAACACAATTTAGGGATATGCCGTGATATCCCTGGTGCGAAGGAGCTTCTGCAGCACGAGGCTTACCTGGGTCGGAGCCATGTGGACCACTTCGGCCGCACGGTGCACGGCATGGTGCGCCAGGATGGTGCGGTGGCGGTGCCGAAACAGGCGCTACTGGGGGCCTGGGGGCCTGGGGATGGAAAAAACCCAACGAAGATATGGAGAAATGGGGGGTCAGAGCGAGAGATGATTTTACCATCTGGTTATGTCAAAACAGCTATTGAAAGTTGCCATTGAAATAGTGGATTTACACATTAAACCTGGTGGATTTTCCATGGTTATGTAAACGTTTACCAGTTTACCAGAGGGTAGATGATTTTAGATGATTGAAGTGATTGAATGGACATGGCAGAGGAAAACGGAGGTTTTAGGATGATTCAACATGATTCGACTATGGGGTCTTTTAGCTTCACCAATTCTGCTGGCCAGCTGGCTATCCTGGCTAAACCTGTGCTCAAGGGTAGTGAGTAGTTTGATTGTTTCAGTTTTCCCACAACTGGGAATAATGTGGGTAAAACAATAATCAACACATCCCCAAATCACCGTAAATAGGTTCTATAAACCATTCCCAAATGGCTGGTTTATTATTGTTGTACCCACATTATACGTATTATTCTGAATGATTTTCCATGAATGCACGGTATCAAGATTTTTTCTTCGCCATGTCGTATGGGGATTTCTTCAGCATCAGACTATGGACAACAAGAAGCAGGTAAACCAATGAATGGGACGCCAGATGGTTGGGGGTAGGGTAAGGGATTTGCAAAGATTTTTAGGTGAATTGTTGTGAACATGGGCTGATCTTCGGCCATAGGGACAACTCTAATATCCTGCTAAGATTTTTTGTGGGGGTCCGGCCGGTGTCCGAAACCACGTAACGGATCATCAAGAACATATTCACATATATTGACGCGTGTTTGGTTGTATAATTATGCTATCACAGGATCGTGAACACGCCTGGAAAACCTACGGACGGTGTTGGAATTTGGAAGCAGTCATGCTTATTTATCTCATACATTGGACCCTTTGGGAAAATCTTAAGGCGAATGCTGAACGAGTAGAAACAAACCTTAAATCCTAACAGTCCCCAGCCAGGCGCCGCCGAAGCCCAAAGCCGTCGCGCCCAAGAAGGACGTCGATGCGGCGCGCCAAGCGAAGCAAGCGAAGGCGGCATCGTTGGAGGCGCTGATGCAATGGACCAGCAAGTTGCAGCACATCTTGCCTCCGGAGGCGGAGGGTTTGCCCAGGAGTTTGGGTGATGTTTTGCGGGGTGGCAAATTATGACAACTGGTTGGTGGTTTGGAACATGAATTTTATTTTCCCGTATGTTGGGAATAGTAATCCCAACTGACTTTCATATTTTTCAGAGGGGTTCAAACCACCAACCAGACAAATTATGACAAGTTGGAAAAGAATGGGATGAGAACTTGGAATTCGAAGGAACCTTTTGAAGTGTTGTTGGAACTGGGATGATTGATCAGGCAAAAGCCGAGAAGATTGTGGAGTTGACAGGATTGCACTGCAGTGCATTTCAAGTTCATTGACGACACTATGGAGAGCAAACCAACAAGACAGGTTACCTTCTAGCAATTTAACATAGTCCGGGAAATTATACTTTTTAATGGCTAAATCATCTAAAATAATGCTATTTATCATGCTAAATTACCAGGTGGTTATACACATGACAGGTGTCCAAGCGAGATGAGAAGGTTGAGCCTGGAGCCCCAGTGATGGATATATTCTATAGCAAGATATAGCAACTATGAAAAACCAGGATGGTCGTTCGATCATATCTTCCCCCGGATTTCCGGGTTTCCAATGTTTCGGCATATTTTTTTTTGGAAGGTTACTGTATGGTACAGTATATCGGCATGTACATGCATAGCGCTATCCTATTGCTGGATGAATGGGATGATTGGAATTGGATGGAATTGTAAGGGGAATCATCCTGAGATGGCTGAACTAACACAAATTTTCAGGGTCGTGAAATATTCTAATTCAACCGGATGATAGATATAACATTGTAAACTTGTATATGCATTGGATAGTGCCACTAATATCAGAGTTGTTAAGTTGATGCCTGGGAGTTTGACAATGTTAATTAATGTCGGATCAGTTGATCAGTTGATCAGGTGGTCAATAAGCAACTAATTTGATTTTACCCTCTGTTAAACTAACATAGCTATTGAAAATCACCATCATTTTTAATGGGTAAAGCAACTATAAATGGTCCATTTTCAATATAGCATCAATATAGCTATGTTAAATTACCAGAGGGTAAATCCCACGTGTAACTATGGCATTCGGGAGGGCCTCCCGTGAGCGTGGCGCAAGTATTTTTATCAAACACCTTCGTAAAGCACCCGGCAGAACTTGGGGGATAGGAGGATCAACTAGAAGCTAAGGCGCCGATGGTGATTTTATCCCTCAGTCAAAAACCTTCAAAACCAATGGATATACTTGGGTAATTCTCGGGGAAATATGGGTTAATACAGGCAAATACCCTTATAATCAGATATACCCTCTGGTAATTTAACATAGCTAATTATATTGAACATGGACCATTTATAGTTGATTTACCTGTTAAAAATGATGGTGATTTTCCATAGCTATGTTAGTTTACCAGAGTGTATTTGGGTAAATTCCATTAATTTCGAGCCACTTCACTGGGACCTCACTGTTTTTTTCCGCTTTGACTCGCTGAGGCCCCAAAACGCTGACAGCAAAGAGATAGAAGGTACCGTTGTACAATTCGGCTTGTGAGGGCGCTGGATATCAGCACCTTTTCTTTTGAACAATAGTTGATATTTGATATTTGATATATACACACATATATATATACATATATATAAATATGAAACTTGAAAAAATGTTTTTTTTTTTTAGTTCATATATATAATATAGATATATTTATGATTATTAATATGTGTAATGAAAAAAGATCATATAGCCACTATGACTGACAATATTTTCCGACCATCCACTCTTTTCTTGCAGGTTTACCATAATTTCCCGTGCATATTACGATCGTCAACTTGATTGCTGGCATCCACTTGGTGGTGCCATTGATGCCCTTTCTACCCAAACATGGCAACTTGACATCCTTTTCCCATTCCAAACCAATGTTTTAGGTTCAGGAAAAATTTGGACCAAAAAAAGCAGAGCCATGTTCCAAACATGTCCAAACCAGTCCAAACCCATTTTTTGGCGTAAAAAAACGTGCAGAGACATCAAGGTTTTCAGCCCCGCAGGCGTCCCCAGTCAGCGTGTGGAGGCGGAAGAGGTTCGACTTCCTGGGGAGTTTCTACCAGTAGATGAATTGTGCCATATAGCCTCCCAACAATGGATAGTGCGGAAAATCACTATTTTAAGGTCCGATTTAATTTTTTCTATGTTTTTTGCGGGTTGCTAATCGCTTATGTTGATTTTTAATGATTCACCACCAAGCCACCAAGATACAGATCTATTTTCGTTTATTTTGATCTACTTGAGCGATAGACTGGCAAACAGATGTTGGCAAATTGCATTGTACTTCCTAAGAATTCCTATGAATTACAGTTGGCAAGCAGATGGAAACACAATGATTTCTCGGTTCCCAACTTCGGTCCATCACCAACGAACTCAACATCACACGGCCAGTTGACAGGAAGGAACTGAGTGACAGGTACATAATCTACAAGAAGCGGGCGTGTCCCCGCAACACAGAAGAGTCATAATATTTACTGACGTAATATTGTATGCATATATGTCATACATATTTTTTTTAAATATAATATTATATACATATATGATAGACATAGTATTTTACATCACAGCTGTAAGAAATATAGAGCGAAAACATGGAGCACTCCGTTTTCATGGTGCCAAACCCTTGGACCGTCATAGCTTCTACAGGTCTGAGCGAGTTCAAAGCACAAACATGGCTCCAAGAAACTTGACATAGTGAACAGTAAAGTTGGAGAATATCATGCATAATCATACATAGTGAACTTACCCTTCAGTTTTTTTTGAAACATCCACATTTCACTTTGTTGAAAGAAATCACTGGCTGGTGGTTTGACATAGTGACATCGTCTTTTTTTCAAGCCTAGCTATATTCAATGGATTGATTTGAGGGAAAAATTACAGGAAAAAACCACATTTACTGGGAAAATGTATGGCTTCCTGTAGATTTTCCCTTAAACCAATCCATTGATATATCCATGCGATCCCCAGTTGACAAGCATAGTTTGGTGACTCAACATGACTCAACCATCAATGGCCTGGTTTCCAGGTGGATGAGTCCGACGGAGGGAGCCCGGGGAGCCCGGAGGCTTCGGACGCGGAGGCGGAGGCTCGGCGGAACTCTTGTGCCATGAACGGGGATTTAATGGTTATGAATGGATTCTCATAGCATTTCATGGTGATTTCATGAGGGTTTATTTGGATTCATTGAGATTATATAGTATTTATTGCCGTTTAATGGGATTTATTGGCATTTAATCGGATATCACGATGGTATTAATGGGATATAATGGGATACATCCAATCCATTGTAGGTAAATGATAGCCACAAGGGAGGTAAACATTGGTCATTTTACCTCTTTATCTACCCAGTTTCCCTCTCTTGTATCTGGGGTGTTGGGAGCAACCTTGTTCTGTACAGCAACCCCAAAACGGATAGAACAGTGGAAAACCCTGGTAATATGAAGTACTGTACATATCATCTATAACCTCCTGCAAACACTTTTCTTGTTTGGGGGAGATTGCTATAATTGTTACGTACTACATCGTACTAGCATCAATAACAGTAATTTGAATGGCAAATATTGCAATGACAATGGTTATGATGAACGGTACTCTAAAGAGTAAGAACAATGGCAATAACAGTAACTATATATATATATATGTTCATGAACACTATGCATGCACAAGTATATATGGTAACCCGCACACACACATACACAAATATGATCAAATATGTAAATTTACATATTCCACTCTCTTCCCAATGCCCTTTAAACATGGGAGTGCGTTTAGTCAGCACAATACAAACGGCATTGATGATACAATTACAAATACTGTAGATTATATTTTTGACAACGAAAGGCCGATCCCTAACGAAGAAAGAATGCTTCTAAAGAATTATCAGCTGCCCACAGTTTCTTCATAAAACTCCTTTGCTGACCGCTCAGATCTCACCAGCAGTCATATCTCTTGGCTGATATCGCTATGTAGGTATTCAATTATATAACACACACATATATATATATATATATATGTGTGTAATATGTCCAAAAATAGCTACAAGATGTATCATAAAATATCTGAAATAAATGGATTAAGCCTATATTTTTACACGTTTTGTTTTTTTAAAATTTGGACCAAGCTTTTCTAAGGATGCTTCGGTGCTTGAAGCATCAGATCGCAAGCGCAAAGTTCGACCCGGCCGCCGTGGTGTTGACGCCTATGGACAGCTGGTCCCCGGCATTCTGGGCGCGGAAGATGGTGATGTTGAGGACTTTGAAGATGAAGTCGCAGGAATGGGCGGAACTGAGATATCTGAGATGGAAGTGGCTTGGTTGAAGTGGGGTTGAAAGATGCCAGAGAATGGCTGATGGCTTCAAATGGGTACTGCTGTAACTTGATCCCCCCCAAAAAACAGGGGGTTGAAACCACCAGCCAGGCTGTTTTTTACCTAGGAATTTTGTTTGTGCAGGGTGAGTTTCCAGCTGTTCAGGCCTATGTCCAAGAATATTTCCATCGTAATCCGCAAGCAGGAGATTTATACAAGATCGATCTAGACTTCCAATTTGAAAAGTGATTCATTTAAAGTTTTCTTTCTTGGAATGGTTCACTTTTAATCCTGGTCCCCTCAAGTACCAACACACATCTGGCAATGCCCAAAACTTCTGCATCATTTTAGTGAAGTTTGAACAGTTCTATAACTATACATTGTGTATATGCATACACGTGCGCCATTCATGCATTCACATACATGAATACATGAATACATAAATACATACATGCATGCATGCATGCATCCATCCATCCATGCATACAAACATACACACACACACTCACAGACATACAGACATACAGACATACACACACACACGCATATATATATAGAGTATGTGTACATACATATGTCTGTGTACACATTTCAACCTCGATACTTTATGATTTGCATATATTTGCATCCTTGTAGGCCACCCATTCCAAGGATGCTTCAGCGCCTGAAGCATCAGATCGCAAGCGCAAAGTTCGACCCGGCCGCCGTGGTGTTGACGCCTATGGACAGCTGATCCCCGGCATTCTGGGCGCGGAAGATGGTGATGTTGAGGACTTTGAAGATGAAGTCGCAGGAATGGGCGGAACTGAGATGGAAGTGGCTTGGTTGAAGTGGAAAAACATGAAAAAAAGACCACATCTGGAAGCTGGTATGGAACGGGTTGGAACTGGGGAGGTTGGATGACATTCCTTTTGGCATGTAGTTGATGCCTTGCCATACCTTGCCTTTATCAATGTTTCAAATCAAGTCGGGAGGAGTTCCAACCTTTACGACCATCCTCTTGGGGGGTAGCTGGATTTTCAATTCCTGCATGATGCTTCTGTATATCTTTTGTAATTCACAGTATGTTCGTTTTGCCTAAGTGAACCGGTCCAAGGGCACCACTCTTCCAGCACAGCGTTTGGGACCTGATACCACGGATGGCAAGCGCAAACTTCGACCTGGCCGGCGTGGTGTGGATGCCTATGGGCAACCTGTTCACGTGGTCGATGCTGGCCCGGAAGAACAAGGAGAGGCAGAGCAGTTTGAAGACGGACAAGTTGGAGAAATGAGTGGAGCTGAGACAGACGCTGCTCGGTTCAAGCGGTCATTGGGCTGTGGAGTGAGATCAACTAAACTACCACCGACAGGTGAACATTTGTTATCCCATGGAATCCCAATAGAATGGACTTTCTTTCACAAGTTTGAAGATGTTTTTCTGGATTCTAGGGGGCAGGATTTTGACCCACAGAAGAGCCCAGAATATAGCATTAGCATTAGCATCAGCATCATCATCATCAGCATCACCATCATCATGATCATCATCATCATCACCATCATCACCATCATTTCATCACCATCATTTCATCACCACCACCACCATCATCATCATCATCATCATCATCATCATCATCTGTTGATGTTCCGCCATTTCTTGTTTATTATTCATCCACGTTTTATATAAGGATGTTGGGAAGGGAATTTCATGAGCTATCATCATCCACAGTCACAATGTCAGGGATTCAGATTCCAACTTATTGCAATTCCAATCATAAATTGCCAAAAAAAGGGTAGGTCTATTTTGCGACAGCTGTTCCCTCCAAGGGTACTTCTCTTCCAGCTGAAGAGGGTGGTTTGGTGCCTACCACAGATGGCAAGCGCAAAGTTCGACCTGACCGTCGTGGTGTCGACGCCTATGGCCAGCCTGTTCAAGCGGTCCCGAGTCCTGCGGGCGGCAGTCCACATGAGGAAGCGCAAGGTGCGGAGACGTTCGAGAATGCAGCGCAAGTTAGAGGAGAGGGTGGCCCTAAGACAGAAGCCTCTTGGTTGAAGCGATTGGGCAGTGGGCGGTGGGATACATTTCGTATATATCGCCTTAAAAAAGGAAGGAGGATATCCATGGGTACTGTACCCGAGGACATCCCAACTATATCTACTTACCAAGTCTTGCGGATAGCATGGCCCTCACTTTGCAGGTAGAAAATGAGTCGAGAATGGGCAAATCAAGCACCCTGACGTGTCCAAAAGTCAGCATCATTCATCAGTGATTCGGTTTATCAGTGTTTATCCCATATTAGATCTGGGTAAATTATAACGACCTCACTGTTCTCCCTCACTATAATCATAGCTGGTTGGTGGTTTGGAACATTTGGATTATTTTCCATATATTGGGAATGGGAATGTCATCATCCCAACTGACTTTCACTCCATCATTTTTTAGAGGGGTTCAAACCACCAACCAGAAGTCTTAAGTTGGTGAAGTTGATATTTACCATATATTTCCCATATATTTACCATTATTGCTATAAACCAGTAGCCATTAGATAGTTAGATTGTGGGGAGTCATCCCAAAATGGCCCAAGAATTCGCCGGTACTGGTCCGGCTCTGCGTGGCGCCCTTTGGTCGGGCCGCTTTATGACAAGGTTAGCGAGGCCGCAAGTTTCAGGTTGGTGAATTACTAGGTGGTGCCCCATAGTTAGCCTAAGTTGGTTTATAAGTCCAATAACTAGGGTTTATGGGGGTTATATCTATAGTTAATGGGGATTATAAACCAACTTATAACTGGGTGTAGCCTCTAAACTAACAGTTTGCGAACTGGAAAGATCCACCATTTTATAGCTGGGAGAACTCACTATTTCTATGGCCATTTTCCAGTTCGCTATGTTAAATTACCAGAGGGTAATTTAATTTGCCCAGATATGATGACTTTGGTATCCCTCTTCAGTACTGGCCTCTGAATCCAACCTCTCCAAGGCTAGCACTCCAGTTGAAGAGGCTGATGAAAAGCGCAAGATTCGGCCCGAGGATCCCGCTGTTGTTGCCTATGGGCCTGGTGCAGTTGAGACTGGAAGAGATGTTGGAGAAGAGGACGGTCAGACGGATGCTGCTTGGTTGCAGTTGTTCTATCTGTTTTCTTCCTTGCTTTTTTGTTTGGGGGGGGTTAGATTTTCTTACTTGTGCTTAGTAGGGAATTTTCGGGAAATGATCCACTGGCTAACTATCAATAATCATCCCAGCAACCCCCAGCAACCCATCCATTCCCCACGTAAAACGCACCAGTAAGTTTTCTTCAGCCTTCCGGCCGTGGGATTCTTGACGAGTAGTCCCGATGGATGTTGGTTAAATTCATCGCATCGTATCGCCTAAGTGTGTTCTGTGTGTTGGTCATAGAAATGTTCACTGGTTGGTGGTTTGGACTATTTTTTTTTTAGGTTTCCATATATTGGGAATTTGATTATTCCAACTGACTTTCATATTTTTCAGAGGGGTGGCTCAACCACCAGCCAGTTGGCTGGAATCATTTGACATTCCCCCCATTGCTGCACAACCCCCTTGGATTTCCATTGAAAGACTGCTCCAAGGCCGCTGCTCCAGTTGCTACACCAGTGGATGATGTGCAGACGCCAGTGGATAGGGCAGATGAAGAAGTTCAGGTGCGGCCAGGTAAAGTGCCACCTGTCTGACTGGTATTTCTAGGTATTTCTTGATTATTCAATGTAGGTATCCAATGGTATTTATATATCATTTTGATAAATTCTGATTATGTGAGTTTCCTCCAATTGATCCCATAAAAACATGTATTAATCCAATCACTTTACGAAGTTTTGAGCGTGTCAAAGAGTTGGAACTCGGCATCGCAGGAGACCAAGGCACCGGTCACGGTGCAATGGATCTGGGCCCTGGCACGGATCCAGGCCTGGCACGGATGTTCCTGATTTCGAGGTTTCAATTCATGTACCCTCCGGTAAACATACAAAAAACTATGGAAAATCACCATTTTTTTGGGTAAATCAACGATTTCAATGGCAATTTTCAATAGCTATGTGAATGTTTACCAGAGGGTATGCCTATTGATGTGTTGCCTCAATATGTCTTAACATGTCTTATGGTGTTTTTTTTAAACAACACACACATATATAATATATATATATATGTGTGTGTGTGTATTTGGGAGTTCGTGGCTTGTCTGAATTTATCATTTGGTTGGCCATGGTTTGCCACGGTAGATGTTCAGTTTCGATTTGTTTCCGGCCACATTTTGCAGCTAGCATTTTGTTGGTCGGTTTGGAACATATGTTTTCATAGCTTTTGAGGTCACTCTGGCTTGCAAAATCCCCATGAATGTCAATGATTTCTATGTTACCCTCCGGTAAACATACAAAAAACTATGGAACATCACCATTTTTCATGGGCAAATCAACTATAAATGGCAATTTTCCATGGCAAACTGTTAGTTTCACCATTTTTCATGGGTAAATCCACTATAAATGGCTATTTTTAATAGCTTTTTCTACGTTTACCAGGCCGGGTTTCCCGTCCGATTTCCCGCGAGTTTCCCACATCAGTTTCCCACATCCTTTGAGGTGGGCCTGTCCCGGTGGCGCAAGCACGTGCGGCCGGCCTTGCATGCCAAGCACAAACGCGCCAAGCGAGACAAGCTGGGGAAGAAGCGTGGCACCTTGGTGGTTGATCTGGGTAAATAGGGATTTAATGGGATATGATGGGAATAGAATGGGACTATTATGGCATTGGATATAATATATATATACACATATATCTGGGTAAATTTGATCACGACCTCACTGCGACCTCACTCACTGGAAATCATGGTTAGATTGAGGGAAATCATCCCAAAATGGCATTATTTCAGGTTAGTGAAATAGTATAATTTACCCAGATGAATGATTGTTGGTCAATGTATGATAAGATATGGCAAAAAAAATCATCATAATACACTAACTATACATAATCGTCATCTAACTATCATTATCATTGATCACCATAAAGATAATAATCATAGGCATACGTCATAATAGTAGGAATAGCACTTTGACTATTATCACTAGAATACGTTCTTTTGAAGGGAGGTGTTTCCCTCATCATAATCATTATAGGTAAGTGATTCCCACAATATTAGTTGAATACTTTATACTATACACACATGCTGGGCTTTCATGTTGAAGATGTTCAGTGTGGGATCAAATCCCCCAACCCTGTTGAACTATTACACTGAGTGAAGGTCTTCAAGCTGTGGACCTTTACACAACTTTCATTTGTAAAGCCCTCGGCGCTGAAGCGCCATAGCATGTCAAGATATGTGGGGAAGGTGATATTGTACGAGAAATCTCAAGGCTTTAGCCACTCATCAAAACATTATCTAGTTCATTCCGGGCCAATGGAATATCCTGGCTGTACTACTACTTAATAACATCCTTCATATGACGTTTGGTATTAAGTAGTACAGCCAGGATATTCCATAATACATCCTGGTTAATACATCCTGGTTATATAGTGTAATAACACTATTCTACGAATGGTGATGGCCCATATTTTTCCTGCATGAACTGGACCATGATTTCACGATAAGTCACGTGGTTTTCCGTCACTGGAATGATGGCAATTGCATTCGGGGAATCATCATGATCATCCCTGCATGGCTGTTGCAAGTCAGCCAGGTTTTAATGGTAATTAAAGAGTTTACGAACTGGAAAATCACGATTTTTGACAGGTAAATCATCTTTGAATGGTACATGTTCAATAGCAAACTTTTGATTGAGTAGAACGATAATATTTTGCTAAAACTGGGCTTGGCGAAGGGTACTTCAATATACCTTAACATACCCTAACATACCCTATAACCATCATTAATCACTACAATGTTTTGTTCAAAATGCCGAGGTGTTTCCCAAATTGCTCCCTACTTTATGGATCTTTATGGGTGGATCATGGTCACTATCCAGTTGCTAAGTGGAGATTATTATCCAAGCAGCCGTAAAGCAACCCATCCATATTAGGTTCAACCCATCCATACCCATCCATCATCCATATCACTGATGAGATGATGGAAGACTTACAGTTAGGATGGTTGCGAAATCCGAATCACCAGGTGCTTTATCCCATCATAATCCCATTACATCCCACTATTGACGGTGTTTCATTCATAGTTACCCAAGAGTGACCAACTGGTGATTCGGATGTCGCGACCACAGATTGGTCCAGGGTTTGCTGTCCCATTTCTGGACGGCGATTTGGGATGCAAAACTCGCGCAATGGTGAGTTCGGGGATCATGATCCACTGTGGTTAAAACAATGCCATGGTTACCATCCCCCAGTCATCACCATAAATAGATAAATAATTAGGTGCTATATGTTTCCCATTCCCAGTCATGGGTGGTAAACATGGCATTGTTTTACCCACCCATATTAAACCATATTAAACCATATTAAACCACATTAAACCACCATTTTTGATGGTTAAACCCTGAATGTCATTTTCCATGCCCCATGCCACATCCCTCCCGAGTATCCGGCTCAGGCATGGAGCCAAAGACCTTGCGCAACCGCGCCATGGAGCGGACTCCGAAGTCGCCCTCTTCGACCAGGGAGGAAGAGACTCCAAAGGAGAAGCACTGGGAAGTGATCATCTCCCAGTTTCCCATAGGATTTATGATGATTTATGATGGATATATCTCTAGTAATCTATAGTGAGATGGGATTATAATATATTATAATCCAACAAACTCTGGTTGGTGGTTTCAAACATGACTGGATTATTTTCCATTTCATATATGGGATGTCATCCTTCCCATTGACGAACTCATATTTTCCAAGATGGTTAAAACCACCAACCAGAGCATGGAAAAGCATCATTTTCTCTGGTTTCATGTGAATTTTTTGGGGTGTAAATATGTGTAAGCTGTGGTGCGGTGAAATTGTGGTCTCCAAACATGGGAGAAACCATCTGATTATGGGTCCAAATGTGTCATTTTTAGGTTTCCAGTCCATCACTATCGATCCCAAACTACCTATTTATGTTCAAAAATCAGCATGATTTGGGGAAGCAATAGAATTTTATTGGCATCCATAACTATTGATCCCTTCAACATGGACGGTTGACCTGGAAGTTTTTACGTGGAAAGTTTGTCACCAACGCCCTGACAGGACCCACATATGGACCTGGTGATCCTCAACCATTCCTAGTTTCACCCCAGTCATGCCTGGGAAAACGTTGGGGTAGCGAAAAGTATATCATTCTACGAATTTCTGCTGGTTTCCACTAGTTCAGTTTCCATTTCTTGTACCTAGTGTGGTAAATCAATTTTCATTTTTGGTTTCTAGGGTCCTTCGCCCCCTGATTAAACATTCACTATTCTAAGGTAAATCCAATAAACCCCAACATAATCGCCATATTGAAGAGGGCTTATGAAAGGATTCCTTCCATTTGTAGTACGGAAAAGACTTGGTCCAGAGGCTTGTTCCAACCTTGGAAGTTCAAGTGATTTGGATTGAGTACCCTCTGGTAATTTAACAGTATGCGAACCTGAAAATGGCCCATTTGGTTCGTTGATTTACCTATTAAAGATGGTGATTTTTCCAGTTCGCGATGTTAGTTTACCAGAGGGTCATCAATTTTTGAGGGTGAAGTCCTGGCTGTTTTGAAAAACATCCCCAAACAGAATCTGGCCGTAAAAATTCGGCACTCAAACGCCTTACGAAACGCCAGTCCCAACAACGATTCATTGTCAAAGAACATTATAATTATAAGCGGTTATAATATTATATAATTATAAGATTCATTCCCATTATTTAAACCAAATAACATTCACTATGGATGAGCATTGGATTAAATGAACACCACCTCACAGGACCCGGACGACGCTGGTGAGAAAGCTGAAGAGGTCCCAGTCCCAGATGCGTCCGAAGAAACGCAGGAAATGGGCGAGAAAGCCGTGGAAGCGACTTGGACACCGATAGGGCGAAAGTTGTTTGGATCCACCAATTTCCATATGGGAAATGTGGAAGGAAAAGAACCTTTCAAAGCTGGAGGGAAAATCCGCCAACATGAGGAATTAGCCATTGAAGATAAGGGTTTGAACGATAAATAATGGATTTGGGTTGGGTCTGTCTGAAAAGTGTGTATTATTTATCCATCCATTTATGATGTTGTGGCCATTTGAAACCATTTTGTTTTTAATTTTTAGTTTTAAAGTGTTTAAAGCATCCATTATATCAGTAGGAATTCCCATTTAAGGGCATAGTTACTAAGTTTGTGGGGATATTCTCTTACATATTCCTGGTTGGTGGTTTGGAACATGGTTAATAATGGTTAATCTATGGTTAATAATTGGAATAGCAATATTTCTGGTTGGTGGTTTGGAACATTTGGATTATTTTTCCATATATATTGGGAATTTTATCATCCCAACTGACTTTCACTCCATCATTTTTCAGAGGGGTGGCGAAAAAACACCAACCAGATACTGTATATTAACCATATATCAACCATATATCAACCATAGATTAACCATTATATCAACCATAGATTAACCATTTATATCAACCATAGATTAACCATTTATATCAACCATTGGTGGCTCAACCACCAAGCAGTTATATATGGTAGGTACCTCCAATCGCCATGGCGACATTGGGAAATCCCCCAGATGGGAGCCATGGTGGATTTTCCAGCCATGGAGCTGATGACACCGGAGGGTGCTGTACAAATCCAAATATCTGGGTAAATAGGGATTTAATGGGTTAATAGTCTCCAGATTTATGAGTTTATCATGTATTTATCATGTTTTATCATATGTTTTATCCAGATTCACAGGTGATAATGTACCCTCTGGTAATTTAACATAACTATGGAAAGATCCACCATGCTATTAATGGGAAAATCCACTATTTCGACTGGGTCATTTTCAATAGCAAACTGTTAAATTACCAGAGGGTAATGGCATATGATGGGAATAGAATGGGACTATTATGGCATTGGATATAATATATATATATAATGTATAAGTCTGGGTAAATTTGATCACGACCTCACTGTTCTCCCAAACCCTGGAATCATGGCTTTAGATTGAGGGAAATTATCCCCAGCCATGGCCGAACTATTCAGGTTAGTGAAATATTATCATTTACCCAGAAATATATCCAAATCCTAGACATGTAGAAATGAGAGATAGAATCAGACAGAACATTCATATCCTTGAGGGTTCCCCTGTGGTTTTGGGTTTTGGGCTTTTGGATGGGTTGAAACCCATGGAATTGTCCCCATCTCCCTGTTTCGCCACCCGCCGCACCACGACCCCCAAGGAGCTCCCTGCACCCGAAACACCTGCAGAGCAAGAAGTGGTGGAGCAGACTGAAGACCTTTGGGTCGGCAGTGTGAGGGCAGCCACATGAGCCAGAATTGGCATGTTTGAACATAAATAGGAGAGAGAGAACGGACTCTGTGTTTCCCACTGAAGATATATTGGAACAATATTGGAACATATTTACCACCAAAATTGGAAAAAACACAAAACATATGTTGGGGTAAATGCCCATAGTTTTGGGGTTAACAAGGGTCCAGGTTTAACAACGCCCAGTTTAACAAATTGTGTTTTGAAACCTTTCAGGGATATTTGGTCGGTTCCTCGGGTCTTTACAACTAAGATAAAAACAACTAAACTCACTGACCAAGCCTGATAAATGAAGGTAAGTAATGTTTTTTTTTAAACCCACCACACGGAGGGCACAGTCAAAAAAAAAACGTTTGTTCCCTAACATTGCGCACCTCAGGTCAAGCGGGGGTTCAAATGAGAACCCTCTTGGTTCTACATGATCAGGATGACTGCAAACAAGCGATTAGGACAATAATACAGTGACGAGGTGATTTACTGTATGATACTGTATGTAATGTGGTAAAAACAATGTCATCAACCACCCATGACTGGGAATGGTTTATATATATATACCACCTATAAGAATGGTGATGACTTGGGAATGGTTTATGGCATTGTTTTACCCACATTATTTACGAAAGCGTGTTTTTTTTTTCTGGTTCTGGAAAAGTGTAACAGGAAGACATCCCCATGGTCCCTACAGGGATCTGAAGGGTGGGGAGAGATGATCAGGCGTTACTGTAGACGTGGGCAGTAAGGTGGGGGTAAGGTGGGAAGCCAAAAAGCTCCATTGCACCAACAGTTTACTCATCTATAGCCTCGAAGTTCATTGAAATATATATATATATATGGGCTATAGACTAGGTGTATATTTTTTTACAACCTTTTATGACTCTATGAAACAATACATATCATAACTTGATACAACTTGTTGATTTGCAAGGATTCGAGAGCGGCAGCTCTCAACACAGGGTTGATTTCCATGTTTAGTGGATCCAATGCATGACTCATATTTTCATAGGTTGTTGGCCTCGCAAGTTAGTCAGTTGTGTTTGGGTCCTTGAAACCTGAATATGCCTTCCTATAGTTTTTACATTCGTTTCCCTCAAAAGGGATTGACCTTTTGTATTGCCACGGGCCTAAGGAGTCCAAAGAGCTTCCGTCTCCTGCAGAGCAAGAGCTGACGGTGGAACAGATTGAAGACCTTTGGACAGAGGGGTGGAACGCGACAGTATGTTATTCCTCAAAGTCGAGATGACTAGCGAGTGTTGGCATTCAATTGGGCCTATAGCCTATGGTTACATTCTTTTAACGTCATCATTGTGCACACTGGTTTTCTTGCCAAATCAGACGCTGGCCCAATCAGCCTCAAAATGCCTCAAATAAAGGTGAACAAAAACAAACCCCTCACACTTTGCCAGGTTGGAAAAAAGAAGATGGCAGTTGAACATCCTTTCTCATCATGTGGCAACTATTGATGGATCATTCACTACAAACGTTACAACCGGCTGCTGCGTGCATCTCATCATCTACGACCCAATCATTGATGGTGGGGGTAGATCAATCAAACATCCCGAAAGTTGCCGAAAAACACATGCACGAACACCCTGGAGTTGGGAAAAACACAGCAAGTTGAAACGGTTTCATGATGTTTCAAATTTCCCTTAAGCCAATCCAATCTTTATTCTGGTTGGTGGTTTGGAACATTTTTCCCCATATATTGAGAATAATCATCCCAACTGACTAATATTTTTCAGAGGGATTTCAAACAACGTGTTTTCTCCGGTGGGTCTATTTTACAGGGGGGAAGCCAGCCCCAAGGAAGATGAAACCAACGAAGCTGAAGCTCCTCGTCCAGCAGCACCCGAAGCACCCGAAGCACCCGAAGGGCCGGAGGCGGGGGGAGCTGCTTCTGGCGGTGGAAAATCACCGTTTTCCCGTGGAGATGAATGGATGATCAATGGATTAGTGGAATGTGGGGATGCAAAGGGATATTATATAGTTGGCATTACCGGTTTAAGCATCAACAACCAGGAATTTCATGGGATCTAATGGGATTTACCCTCCGGTAAACATATAAAAAGCTATTGAAAATGGCCATTTATAGTGGATTTTCCCATTAAAAATGGTGATTTTCCATAGTTATGTTAAATTACCAGAGGGTAATGGGATCTAATGGGATTTAATGGGAATATATAGAATGGGAGAATCCAAACAAGGCAACTGAAAATCCCCCGAAGGAGCCATGGAGGTTTCATTCGCTGGGAAAATCATCGAATTATATAAATGGTGAGTTTTCCAGCAAGCCACGTTTGATTGCCGGAGGGTAACTAGGAATCGTAAATAAATGATTTCTAAGCGAGATAGAACGCATGGAACCCACATTTAGCAGGGGAAAATGCCTATACTATATCAGGGTTGCTCCAGCTGATTATAGGTATAAATGATATCTGATAGCCACTTTTGGGGTGAAATATTAGTCACGTTACCTCTTTATTTGCTCAGTTTCAGCCCCTGTGTATCTGTAGAATTTCGAGGTGAACTCGGGGGATGATTTGCCCGGTAAAAACATCACATGATGACCATGTAATCAATTTTCCAAGGTGGGAAGCCCCAGTGTTTGTTGGTTGAAAAACATCCCATCAACATCCATCAACTATAATAACTATCCACCAGTAACATCCTTTAAGCAAATTATAAACTATAAACATCTATGAACCAACTTAGCTATCTAGAGGGTTCCCATCATGTGGTTTTCCTTTTTGGAAGGTTCGGTTAGATTGCCGGAGTCGGAGGGTATCTGGAAATCTTGGGTTCATTTGTTCCACCCCTACCTGGCATGTGTGTGTTTTGTTCCCTGGAAAAAAAGACGTTTTCGGAGTTTTGCAACTGGCTACCCTTTGTAGCTATGGAAAAGTGCCCATGTAATTATATATTTAGATTATTCAAAGATGTTGATTTTCTGTAGTTATTGTTAAACTACCAGAGGTTTCACAAGTGAATGTTGTTCAAAATTGACGTCAAAACATTTTGAGAACACTTCTGGGCATTCCTGACTGTTCTTCCACTGCAGGAGTACAATGCCTGCTGAGCAACCCACTAAAGATGGAAGTAGGAATCATTTTCTTACATCGTGAAAACCGATCACCACTGAGTCTTGTGCTACCTCCATAGTAAACATCCAGCTTAAATTTCCGAATAATATTCTTCTAAATTGAAGGTGAGCACGTAAAATCTCCATAGTGGATGGATAAATTCAACTCTGGTACCTCAAAAAACAGATTGTTCCCACTGCTAGTACCCATTGGTGGTTGGCCTTGAAAAGCCTTGACCTGCACAGACCTACCTGGCAAATGGAAAATAACGGACAATGATTTGATTTTTTTTCCTCTAGAAACCTATTTTCCCATGAAACCTGCCATTTCTAGAATAATAGTTGCAGTCCTGTATTTCAAAGCTTATGTTCTCATTAAGATTGCCATTTCCAAGCGATTCTACTGAGAATATGCTATATAGGAAATAGTTGATTAATGTAACCCAATAGTACGCCATCCGCAACTGGTTGGTGGTTTGGAACATTTTTGATTTGTCTATTGGGAATTTTATTATCCCAACTGACGAACTCATATTCTTCAGAGGGATTGAAACCACCAACCAGATATATTAACCATATATCAACCATAGATTAACCATTATATCAACCATTTATATTAGCCATTTATGGAAACCCCTATGGGTTGTGAACCATTATAGTAAGGATTAGTAAGGGGAGTCAACAACCATCCCCATTTTACAATTTTTTGCCAGGATTTTCCACCATCCCCAGTCATTCCGTCGGGCGACGGAGGTTGCAGAAGATGTGGCATCCATCGCATCCGGCAGCGTGGCGACGGAGGGGTTGCGATGAGTTGTTTGGTAGAAATTGAAAGCTCCAAAAAGGTGGAAGAAGAACATTTAATCATTAATTGAGAGCCATTTAGTTCGATGATGTACCTATTAAAATATTGAAAGTGATGATTTTCCATGGCTATGTTCAAGAACCAAAGGGCAATATATAATCTGGTTGGTGGTTTGGAACATGAATGGATGATTTTTCCCATCATCTTGGGAATATCATCATCCCATGTGACTTTCATATTTTTCAGAGGGGTAGGTCAACCACCAACCAGTTATTATAGAACATCCCAGTAAGATCATATCTAACAATATCTGTAGGTGGAAGAATAACATAACTATTTATCTATATAGCTATCTCTAAGATCTATATGGTTGGGAAATCTTGCACCAGTTGAAAAAGGTGGTAAACATCCCATTATTTATAGTTTTTCAACCATCCTGCCTAGGTGCCTCCGGCGAGGAGCTGGGCGAGCAGCCCGATGCTGACGCCGCAAACCCAGCGGCGAAGCGGAAGAAAAAGAAGAAGAGCCCGTCCAAGGAGGCGCCCAGACTGTGGAAGTTGGGGGCTCCGGCCCATAATATATACTAGATTATACTATATAGTACAATGATGTACATAGACTATTTACCTCTATTTACTGTATCATATCTATTTATTCTTCTTTTGTGATCTTTGTGTAAGTATATATGTATCACCGTTTTTTGGTTTTTCCACCGGAATCGACGCAAACGAAAGGAGTGCCACCGACCAGATATAGCTCTCCCATACCTTGGTTCAAATGACTGAGGTACCCCACAAGCCTTTGTGGTTTTCGACCATCATTTTCCTTCTGAATGGACCATACAAAAAATGAGGGAACATATATGAACATATGATTTATTCCTCCTGGTTCAATCCTAGTTACTTGACTTGATGGTAAGAATTACCCTCTGGTTATTTAACATAGCCATGGGAAATGGCCCATTTATGGATGTTTTACCTATTAAAAATGGTGGATCTTTCCATGGCTGTGTTAGTTAGTCATAACCAGATGGGTACTATTTTCTCCTTTCCCCTCACGTTATTCCAATTTTAAATCCCGAAGAATCCCAATCTTTGATGGCAGTCGATGGTAAAAGCCCATGATTTTTGCTGATTTTTAGGCGCCAGCCGTGAAGAAGAAAGGCGCCTGGGCGATCCCTTTTTGACCCAGTACGGCCCGCTACCGTTCTTCGGATTCACCATTCACCCAGATAGATGTGATGTCCCAATGGAAATTGTGGGGATTCAATGGGAGATCTCCAGGATCCTAAAATGGATGCACGTTAGTACCATATTTTTGGCCATATGAATTGGGGGTATATCCCTTACATAGCCCTTACATGGGCCTTATATATGGTAGGTCATTGTAGGGGTGTAACTGATTTAACATCGGATGATTTTTGATGGGTATGCTGGATGGGTCAAAGCCTGATACCCTGTTGCACACCCCACTGGCATGATCCTTGGGGTGAAAACTCCAAAAGAAACGGGAGAGATGATCTATGGACGTGCACCTACCATCACTTATCCCCTTCTTGGGACGTTTGGTGTAACAAATCAAGCAATGTGGAGATATTGGCCACAACGCGGATCCTTCATTAATTACTGGTTGGTGGTTTGGAACATGTTTTATTTTTCCATATATTGGGAATTTTATTATCCCAACTGACGAACTCCATCATTTTTCAGAGGGGTTCAAACCACCAACCAGATATATTAACCATATATCAACCATATACTAACCATTATATCAACCATATATTAGCCATTTATGGAAACCCCTATTTTTGATTTCACCCCCCAAACCTTGCTCTTCCAACTGGTTGATGAATGGTCTTTTGGACCCGTCGGATTTATCGAGCCCTCTACCAGTGGCTTCCTTCCAGAGTGCTTGGCTGGCTGGTGGTTTCAAACATTGTTTATTTTTCCATATAGTTGGGATGATGATCCAATCTGACTAATAGTTGATACTCTGGGATAATATATGGGATGTCATCCTTCCCATTGACGAACTCATATTTTTCAAGATGGTTATTAAACCACCAACCAGGCAATACATGGTCCATAGAGCCATCTTGTCATATCTTGTCATGAAAAGTATCAATGGACCATCTCCAAGAATCAAAAGTCAAGTTTCCGTGGATGATAATGATGATGATGATGATTAACCAACAATCATTCATCAATAATATCAATAATTCTTCACTGCCATGTGCTTTGGAAACTGCTGTGGTCAGTTCCTGGCTCCGCATGGCTACGGAAAATTCTACAGCTGCTTCAAGGTGGTGCCTCCCCATTTAGAAGTTGGTTTACAAACATCATTATATATCTATAAATTATTACAAATGTGCATATATATTTAATTAATTATATATATATATATATGTATACACGATTTTTCACATATAGATAGTAACCCCAAGATTCTGAACATGGTAATTCTTAATCTGTCTTCCCCATGATTTCCAGGTTTCCAGCTTTTATTGCTGGGATGTATGCGTCCCCTATTTGGGATGTAGCATGACCCCCCTGATTTAATGGTTGCTGGGATGGTGACATTGGATAGGTAGGTATTATAGGCAGCAACATCATTTCTTGGCGGACTGCCACAGATTGACCATGTTACTTCTTTAAAATGGCTATGTATATGTCATCAATCAAACCTCTTATGGCAGTTTAAATGGGTATCAAACCATAGTATATATATATATACAATGTATATATATATATACTATGGTTTGATACCCATTTGAATTGCCAAAAGAGGTTTGATTGATGCTGTTTTTGCCCATGGTTTAGCCTCTCGACTCCCTGACTTCCACCGCACGGCAGGCAAGCCGAAAGCTGGCACGACCATCCAGGCTGCTTGGAATGAGGTTTGGGACCTCTTCATGGAACTTTTCGTGGGAAAATCCATGAGAATCCTACCCTCTGGTAATTCAACCTAGCGAACTGGAAAATTACCCAGTCGAACTAGTGGATTTTCCCATTAATAGCATGGTGGATCTTTCCAGTTCGTTTTTTGTATGTTTACCAGGCCGGGTATCTCAATGGGCAGATTTGGTTTCAGTAACCATTGGTTCTAATCCTCTATTGATACACTACAAAATGATATAAATACTATTATTCCATTGTATTAGTTAATCGTTTATTGATAAATCCTCTATGATTTATCTTATTGCTTGACTTGGGAAAATCGTTGGTGGAGAAGCTTCAGTTCCCAAGGTAAATGGTCTCGTGATGCGCGCCTGAAAAGATGGCCCAGCTGCAGAAAACCGGCCAGCGGGTGGTTCGGGGACGTGTCAGTGCCACCTCTGAGGATGAGCCCAGTGATGTTTGTTGGTTTATAAGTTCCATAAAACCTCCATGTTTGTTGGTTGATAACCTCCATGTTTGTTGGATGATGTTGTTGAAATTGATCATCCAACTAGATTTATTTCACCACCATAAAACCATATAAAACCCGACTGTTTGTTGGTTTATAAGCTCCAGGTGATCATTATTTCACCACCATAAAACCTGGTTAATCTACTTATTTTCACCAACTGGATGTGTCAGTTCACCCTCCAAGATATGGACGAAGAGACTAGCTTCGGATGGGCCCTGGGAGTAGTTAGGTGACTTAGTAGTAAATGGCTAAGAATTATCACTCAGTGGCCACCTGATAGTTCTAAGGCCACTTACGAAGTCATTTTATTAGTTGCTAATGGTAGTCTGGTTGGTGGTTTGGAGCATTTTTTATTTTCTATAATCTATGGGATAATCATCCCAACTGACTTTCATATTTTTCAAGATGGTTAAAACCACCAACCAGTAGTAAATGGCCCTACTTAGTGGGTAGTCAACTAATCCCATGGCCCATCTAAGTAGATCCCATGTTGGACTCAGCCAAGCTGATCCGCGGATTCTGTACATAGTCTTGGCGTCAGCGCCACCGAAGCCACCGATGATGAAACATGATGCTTACCCTTTGGTAAACTAACATAGCGAACTGGAACATGGCCCACTAAAAATTGTGATTTTCCATAGTTATGTGAACGTTTACCAGAGGGTATTTTCCAGCTCTGAGCCCTTTTTGTTGAGTCTGAACAGAGCTTGATAGTGGATAGTTTCGGGTGGTCTTCAGCTTTGAATTTCTGACCCTGCTACCGCCTGCACAGAACATGTTCGAGCGCAATCTTTGTTTGATATCTTGCAGAGTTCGTGTCAGCCTGGGCGAGAGTGCCCTCCGATAAGCAAGCATTGCAATGGGACATCCTATGCGAGGACCACTTTTTTTTAAGCCAGGTGGTCTACACGGACGTGGCCTTGGATCCCTACAACTCTCTAGGCATTGGGTCCAATCCATGCGAAATCCTCTATAAATGGTGGGAAACTATGGGAATATCCGAATATCCAGCTCAAAACGACGCTGGTGTTGTTTTGACAGGTTGTCTAAGGTTAGATTCGCTTAGATTAGATATAGAACTTCATAGAATGACCATGGAAGAGTGTTGATTGAAGGGCGAATTTGCTAGAAATCGGGTTTTCTCCCCATGCGCTGAATGCTTTTCCATAGCATTTTCTGATGCTGATCCCAGACCTGGGACACGTGATGCTCAGAGATATGGCTGATCCGGAAATAATTTTCCCAAGCCACTTCTAGGGGTTGCGATGTTGCATGATGTTGCGTGCTCAGGTTCGTATCATATGTGAAAGCTATGAATCACAGAAGGTTCTCACCAAAACATGTTTGTTTGTTTTTTGTGCTTGCATGTTTCTGGGTAAACCTTGGTTATAGGTCTTGGGCGCACTGCTTGCCATAAGTGGGGGTATAAAAAGAAAAACATATCCAGCTGCAGCTTTGCCGTCTTGAAGGATATCTAAAAGTTACGGCAAGGTTCTATGTTTTACCAGATCGAAACAGTGTTCAAACCCTTTGACATGCTCAAATGCTTGCGCCGGGCGGCCAACGTTTTTGTATTTCTATGACGACCCCAAAGCTGAAAGTCTTAAACCCTCATCCCCCAAAAACTCATTTTTGCTGGTGGCATTGGTGATATTCCTATGTTCATTCCCGGTGCAGTGAACGATTGTCAGGGGCGTACCAGACGACTCTAGAACTTGGCTGCACAGTGAACGGTTGGTCTTGTGGGTTTTTGTGGCTTGATTTTCAACCAGTGTGATGAAAGATGCTGGCATCCCTCCTAGCCATGCGGCATGGTAGCCACAGGACACGATGGCATCGTGCGTTCGGACGGTGTCATCTTGAACGATGAGACGTTGCTTGGCGGATTTGGGGGGTCCGGCAGCGTGCCGAAATACCACCAGTCTGACATGGGCAAAAGAGTAACCAAAAGAATCAAGAAAAATGCGAAGATCAACAAGTAAATAAACATGCAATAAGTGGGGTTTACCCGTATATCTCCCAGCCTACAGGGAGTTAAACCCAATTCCTACAGTAAATCTTTGCATAGCTTCCATTTGAGGCTGAACATGCCATGGAATTTAACCAATGAGAACCAAAACCCAGCGGGTTGTAACGATGGTTGTAAGGATGCTAAGTGCTAGCCTGAAAATGAGCATGGGAACTCAAAAGGCACCCTTAGAATACATGTTTCCATGTCTTTTCTACTGTAATTACATGTAATTACTGAAAATGGCAATTTTGTTTTTTTTAGGATATTGAAGGGTTCCATTCCATGATATGAACTTTGCAGGCTACCGGCCACCCTTGGTTTTGTTATGTTGGCGATTTCTTCAGCACATGGAGTACCCTTCGGCAATCAAACATGGCTGGGTAAATGATGAAAGGGAGGTTTCAATGGGAAAATCGAGGGATTTGTTTCGATGTGCTTTATTTATTTATCTGTTTATTTATATATATATAATGTATATTCATATTTATTTATACCCATTTGCATATATTTATGTATATTTATCTAGTTTATTTGCCAGTTATATATTTGGGTTCCCGGGATTGGCCGGCCATTCCACCATTGCGGGATTGGCCATCGGCGCACCTCGGGCGGCCCATCGGTGGCCGAGGATCAACTACCTCTGCAAGCAGGCCGTGTGCGGGCGCTCAGCGGACCCGGCAGTGACTAGGCCCTGGTGACTGGGCCCTGGTGGGCCGCAGTCATTGTGGCTTCGTGGGAGTAATCACATTAATGTGGGTAAATTTGATCACGGCCTCACGGTTCTCCCGAAGCCTGCAATAATGGTTAGTAAGGGGAATTTTCCCAGAGAAGCCTTATTTCAGGTTAATTAGTGAATTGTATATAATTTACCCAGATTAATGTGGGTAAAACCATGCATGATAAATAAACCAGCCATTTGGGAATGGTTTATACATACCACCTATAAAAATGGTGATGACTGGGGATGGTAGCCATGGCATTCCCACATTGGGGTAATAGTCATAAGAATGCCAATGAATGTCAATAATGACCCGGTGATCATACATGATATAGATGACATCTGATATAATTATATATATATATTTAGATATATTAAATGATATCTAAATGATATAGGTGATATATAAATGATATTTAGATATATTACCCACATTAGTCACTAGCAGGTGAATGTTCAATAATTATATTGCATTCCCTGAGGTCCCAGGCAGAGGCTGGCGCAGACTACGTGAGCCCGGAGCCCCACGGGGATGGCGAGTTGCTGGAGTTTCCAAGGAACATCGATTGGAAAGCATAGTCCTTGCCCAGGTGTCAGGAGATTCACTATCTTGATTTAAAGAGATACATACATACATACATACATACATACATACATACATACATACGTATGTATGACGTAAGCACGTACGTACATACATTACATTACATTCCATTGCATTGCATTGCATTCCATTGCATTGCATTGCATTCCATTCCATTGCATTGCATTGCATTCCATTGCATTGCATTGCATTCCATTGCATTGCATTGCATTCCATTGCATTGCATTGCATTGCACTGCATTGCATTCCATTGCATTGCATTGCATTACATTACATTACATTACACACATACATACATTTGTACAACAATAATCATATATCCATATATTTCTATTTATATTATTTGATATTTACATGTATGCAAAGAGGAAAATCATAGTTTTTACATGCTTTTTGGCAAGAGTCTGGTCTTTCTGCAATCTTCGGTTTACCCATTCCGGCAGAGCCAGGTCCTAGTGACATGATGGATGGACGTGTAGGCCCGGTTGGGGTTAGAACTGCTGGTAACTGGGGGCAGGTTTCTTCACCGAAGCCAAGGTAGGAAGATTTTTCTAAGCTAGAGTTGATTGAGTCGATTTGGAAAGTGAGCTGGATGATTTCAGCAGTGTAAGAATAAACAATTCCTCTCATGCAAAACCCTTCAAAGTCTTAGATTTGATGAAGGTGATATTCTGGTTGGTGGTTTGGAACATGTTTTATTTTTCCATATATTAGGAAAAATAATCCCAACTGACTTTCATATTTTTCAGAGGGGTTGAAAGGGTTGAAACCACCAACCAGTAGTTTGCTTTCCATTGCTAAATCCACCATGGGGAACACATGGACCATCTACCCCAAATCGAAGGATTAGGCAAACTAAGATAGACATGGAGCCAACTCCAATCTATGGGGGTCCCAAATCATCCAGTCATTAGACCATTTGCGACGAATTTATAATTGAAACCCATGGGTTTGGTGATCCCCCATTTTAAATCCAGTCATTAGACCATGACTTAAAGTATTGAAAGAAACCATGGTGACGACTGCGGATCCAAACATGTTTTCGGTCTTGCTATCGCTTCCAGCGCAAAGTCACCTTGTCCATGACATATCTGACTTGGTCTACCCTGTTCGTTGCCTGTTCGCTGCCTGTTCGCGGCCTGTTCCTGGATATCTCCAGTTGGTGGGTTTGAAGTCCCATATGTAGAATAGAATGCTAAGTAAACAACATCCCGACACGGAAAAACACATCCCCAAACAAACACTTCCGGACGCATTTGAGGTCCCGAAAAAGAGTTTGATACTAATGCAACTCCCAAAAAGATAAAAATTAGAAGAAACTAGTAACATCCGACTCAACTAGTGATAATTCACTCTATCTATTCGGGGTTTGCTATGAGAAGACATCGATTTTCCCATCCCAACCACGCAGGCGCCATCCGAGACGCCTTGGATGAAGCTGGCTTTACCAATGTGGGCATCATGGTGCGAAGCGCCCAGTGCAGCTTGAGACTGGGGGGTGATCTTTTATAGATGGCAAATAGAGGATAAATGGTGATTTAACCAACAAAAATGTTGATTTTGATAGGTAACAAACAATAAGAATGGTGACTTAACCAAGGAAAATTGAGATTTCACTGCCACATATGGATACATATGGATGATTTTCAGGTTATTCATGGGTAAGTATGGCATGTAACCTCCATCAGTTGGGATCTAGCCCTTATAACTATGGTGAAACATCACCACTTTTCACCTTGAACTGCGCCCCGAAGTTGTGTCCAGGATTTAAGCCGGGTCGACTGAGCTGTTATCATGTTTGGGGTGTTTATCATGTTATTAGTGATGATTGGAAACAAATACCAAAACATTGCACATACATATGTATATGTATATATATATATGTGTGTATTCGCAGTATATGTATACATATATATATATATACGAACATATGTAGATTATATATTATACACTAGTTGTATGCGTTTGGGGGCCCTATCTCTGAATAAGTGGTCAAAATGGACTTGGCATGTTTTTTTTTTCAAGTGAATCTTGGGTTGAGATTCAAACAGCAAGTAAAATCGTTTTGGCAAATGATTGAACTCGGTCAGTGGATGGGTCAAAGCCTTTCCTTCGAGGCATACAGTGCGAAGTACGCCTCGGCCTTCTATGGGCCCGGAAGCTTGGAGTTGTGGCTCAAAGGGTCCACCGATCCACCCGAAGCCGTGTTTTTCGATGTGAAAGGGCCATCTGGGGTAAGAAAGCAGAGATCCTATGTGGGGGCCATCTGGGGTAAGAAAGCGGAGATCCTATGTGGGGGTAGAATTTTTGTGTGGATATATGGCATTCCTACGATATATAAGGAATGATTATACACTACTTACCTGCTATTTGTGCCCCTATGAATCATCCAGGACATTGAGTCTTGGGAATGGCTGGGATGACATTTCAGGAATTTCATATGGCTGAGGCAGCATAGTTACTCAGTTGCCACTTTGAACAGGACGAACAAGGCAACAATCTTCAACTGCAGTGGTCAGAGATAGATGGATAGACCCTTGACCGCCCCAGTGGTCCCCCCCCAAGTTCCGCAAGTGATGATTGACCGAGGACCTGGATGTGTCTGGCTTCACATCCTTCCAATCATTTACCCTCTGGTCTTTATATAACGTAGCTATGGAAAATATGGTTGGTTATATTATATAATGTCAACCCTGGATTAATAAACCTCTAGGCTGTTTAAGTGGGAGGGTACCATTTATCATTTAAGTATCAGATTATGACTATTGGAGGAGTACCCACCTAATTAATAAACCATGGTTTATTAGTCCGGGGTTGACATTAATTGGTAGATCATCATACATCATCTATAAATGGACGATGGCTTCCATAGCAGCTGTTAAATAACCATAGGATTCCAGATGGTGTTAGAGACGGGAACTCGCATCGAGACATCGTGTTTTCCACCAGTTACTAACCACTTAATCAAGCCCATTTGGGTATGGGTCAAACTTGAATACCCCAATAAGTGGATGCCTAATATTAAAACTCGACTTAACATGGCTTAAACCTGTGGCCGGTCTTTGATTTTGACCCATCCTCATCTGTCTGTTGGTGGTTCCATGATCTGTCTGATTCGTCGCTGAGGCCCTTCAGAGAAGCTTTGGATTCCAATCCTGTCATTGCCGACGATTGGAAGGCTCATCGGCTCATCCGCGCTTGCAAGTGGGTAATGTCAACTATAATGACCTCACTGGAAGGTAGAATGATTTCATGGCTCTCGCCACTACATTCACTTGAAGCAACTTGAAACGTCTTGAGCTGTGGAATTGATGAATTGGACGTTCACTGCTTCGCGCCAGTTTTTGAATGATATACATTGATATGCCGATATTTCTACCCAGCAATTTTGGCACAATCTCCAAGTTTGCCAGCGAAATCACCGATACAAATGGTGGCTCGTCCCTTGCCATGTTGGGTTTCCCCAACGGCTTCGTAACACCGCGCCAGGTGCCCAAGGGCAAGGAGACTTACCAGCAGGACCCAGTCGCAGTCTCAGGATGTTTTGTTTTTACAGTGACTTGGTTGATATGTTGGAACATGCGGAAAAATGCGGAACATTACATCATTGTTTCTCACAAGTCATAGCGACATACATACATACATGCATGCATGCATGCATGCATGCATGCATGCATGCATGCATGTGCATACATCCATCCATCCATCCATCCATCCATCCATCCATCCATCCATCCATCCATCCATCCATCCATCCATCCATCCATCCATCAGTCCATACATACATGCATACATAAATACATACATACAGACATACACACATACAGACATACAGACATACAGACAGACAGACAGACCTACAGACCTACAGACCGACAGACCGACAGACCGACAGACAGACCTACAGACCTACAGACCTACAGACCTACAGACCTACAGACCTACAGACCTACAGACCTACAGACCTACAGACCTACAGACCTACAGACATACAGACATACAGACAGACAGACAGACCTACAGACCGACAGACCGACAGACCGACAGACCGACAGACCGACAGACCGACAGACCGACAGACCGACCGACAGACCGACAGACAGACCTACAGACCTACAGACCTACAGACCTACAGACCTACAGACCTACAGACCTACAGACCTACAGACCTACAGACCTACAGACATACAGACATACAGACATACAGACATACAGACATACAGACATACAGACATACATACATACATACATACCTACATACGTGCATGCGTGCATGCGTGCATGAATGCATACATGCATAAGAAACATAATGAACTATTTTAAACTATGTACCCAGATGTGTCGTCCATTTAAATCATTTACCCTCCAAAATTACCATGGATCGCGAAGTCTTATGCGATCCGGTTGGAGACATTCTCGTCCATGTGGGGGATAGAATGGAACTATGTTTTAAAAAAACATCCATGATTATTTTACGGCAACTAAATGGAACAGCAAGTGGATTTCCTCCATCCCCTATTCATGATATAATGTTTGACCATTTTTGATAACCATCTGCCATCCATTCGCAATTCATTTCATAGCCACTATCCTGAATAAACTAGCCTCTGGTAAACTAACATAGTAACATAGCTATGGCAAGTCACCATGTCTGGTAAATCATCGAACTAAATGGGTCATGGGCTTCCACAGCGAATTACCAATTCTGCCATAATTCTGCTTGATAGTCAAGTCCCTATGATTTTTTGATGAGAGTAACATCCCAGGAAAATCCATTTTTCACATCATGAACCCCCATGCGAAGTCAACGAAGAACAACCCAGACCTTGAGGCCAACTACAAGGAGGCGCTCCTGGAGGCGCTGTTGGTCGCCGGGATGGTGATAAGATCAACAAACTCTTGGGATTTAAGCAACCACTGGGGGCTTCCAGCCACATCAGGGGTCTTTTTTTGGCGGTAACATACATGTGGAAAACCATGGAAAACCCATGGTTTCTCCTTGGGGAAAAATGATCTGCAGCTGGTAACTCGAGTTCATGTGCTCGGCCATCTAGAGCTGAATTGTATGATCATTATTCGCTCGCCAAAATGGGAGAGTTTACTATAATTTTTCAATTTACCATCATGTACCATTTTACTTACCATCGTTTACAATGTCAGCCCTGGATTTGTAAGCTGGGCTGTTCCTGGGCTAATTGCGCGGGGGTAGCATTTTCATGGCAAATTATCACTGGGAGTTCTGCCCCTGATTTACAACCGGGGATGACATCATACCATATCATTATCATAGCATCATTCTGGATAACCTATGACGGCTCAGTTCTTTGCATCCGATGCCACGTAGATATCCCGTTCATAAACCGGAGGAGCGGAGGAGTATAGGACATGGTGCCATCCAAGTAAATCACAATTCCATTGCAACACATAAGAAAGCTTGTGGTACTAATCGAATCGATCGATCCACCATTAGTTTCATGAGAGTACCCCAGTTGGAGGTGATTTCTTGTGAAGCCTTGGGAAGAACTCGCATGTTTCGACACTGACCAAAGCCTTCAAAAAAGTAATCGCCGTGAAAAAAACCTTGGTTCATTGGTTACTCCCTGGCAAATTAACATAACTATGGAATCACCATCTTTAAGCTCGGTAAATCAACCTTCACTAAATGTGCCATTTTCAAGTTCGCAACCATTTTTAGTTTACAAATTGGCAGAGGCTATTGGGGATGATTTTCCAATATTTTCCAACAGGCCCCTTTCCCCCTCTCAAGCAACATCAGGCGCAGTTGGATGAGGAGGAAGGCGCTGATATCCTCATGGTGAAGCCCGCGATGCCCGGGGGCTGAGAGGGGCTAAGGAGTTGGGTGACGTTGTGGGAGACCAAGAAATCGGGGGGGTTCGCGAACCAAAAAGTCGATGGTTAACATGCAAAAATGATCAAACATCAGGGGTTTTACAGTCAAAAATGCTGGTTTCAGTATCAAAAATGGTGGTTTAACCGATTCAAGCGACCAAAAATGAGGTTGAACCAACAAAAAATGCTGGATCATAGGTCCCGAAAGGGGTGGACGATAGGTTCCAAAACTGGAAGCTATGCTCTAGTTTGTTTGACCAGGAAGACCCCAATTTTTCACGGGCCCTCCGATCAGTTTGAGTTGGTGGACCCCATAAGCATTCCAATACCACCAGCAAAACCGGCCAGTTGACAGTTGCATGTTCAAAATCACTGACCATTCATTTTGGAACCGGTGAATACCAAAAAAAACGCAGCCCATTTTGTGTCTATTCTGCTCCCATGTTTGGGAAACATTGGGAAAGTCTAAAAAATTGTTGGGGAAAAGCCTTCTGTGAATAGAAAATACTGGTAGAGACGGGTAGAGATTAAGTCTGGGGTTGGGGGGTTTCACACGGATCTCCGGCAGGCCCTATCTGGACATCATCAAGGGCTTGAAGGACCAGAGCAATCTGCCCATCGCGGCCTACCATGTCGGGCTCCCATCAAAACCCATCAAAACCCAGGAAGCTCAAGAGATTGCAGATGTTGCCAAGAGATGCAGTGACGTTGCGCCGAAAATTTGTCTCAAATGGTCTCGTTCAGGCCGGCCTATGAGGCTCCCAGCAGATAATAGTGATTAATGGCGATTAATGATGATCAATGGTGATTAATGGTGCTTAATAGTGAATAATTAATAGTGATTAATACCTTCACCTATTGACGTTGGGAATTTCTTCGTCTCTTGGGGCTCAGGTGTCCGGAGAGTACGCCATGCTAAAAGCTGCTGCCCAGAATGGTGTGGAACTTAGCGGCGAGACGAGCGGCTAAGGAATGTGAGGTGTATCCTATCCAAAAACACAGCAGAAGCACAAACACAGACCTTTGGTGATTTTATGATATGATTATATACACATATATTACAGATGCATATTATATATAACGTACATAATATGATTTAATATGCACACGCACATAGAAACAAAGGTCTTTGAGGCTACCAGGGCTACCAGGCCACCTCTTCAAACATTGGTTAAAATTTACTTGAAACCATGGTTTCCCCAAAAACATGGGGCCGAGGATCGTGCAGCTCAATGAGCTGGACCTGGCCCCATTAGAGAAGTTAGGAGGCCAGTTGCCCCCAATGTTTTTGGGCGTTGATTTGTTTGTCAAGGAACGCTTGAATTGAGATCTGGTAATTTGACATTACTATGGCAAATCACCATTTCCATAGGTAAATCATGGAATATCATCGAACTAAATGGGCCATGGCTTCCATAGCTGTTAAATTACAGGAGGGTATATCCTTTTCTGGTCGATTCGTGTTGGTTCTTCCCAGATCCAATGAGGCAGGCAGTTGTGATGCTCCCTGCACCCACGAGCTGAGGCTGGTTAGATGAGAAGGCAGTCGTCTTGGAGGCGCTTGGGGAACGCATGGGATGTGAATTATCTGGGTAAATTATGACGACTTCACGTCGTGCCGGAACCCTGGAATGATGGTTTCTATATGGGGAATCATTTGTGAAGCCTTATTTCAGGCTAGTGAATTACTATAATTTAGCCGGAGTTACATATGTTAATCTATGCTTTTTTTCGAGACAAAGATGTGGCTCAACATGGCTTAACCAACATGGGGGTTAAACCAACCAAACTGCTGGTCAAAACTATAGTTAATATATGTAACTACGACCAGAATCGGCCTATACCGGCCTGTTTCTGATTTTGGAACGATTTTCTGGTTGGTGGTTTCAAACATGTTTATTTTCCACAATATATGGGATAATCCTTCCCATTGACGTTCATATTTTTCAGAGGGGTTGAAACCACCAACCAAATTTTGTTTTGCTTGGAGACTATTGAATATGGTTGTGGCTCAAAAATGTGAGACCAAGCCCACCAGATTGGTCGTATGTTTAGTGACTTTAGCCTCTGGTTATGACTAACAGTTTGCGAACTGGAAAATGAGCCATTTAGTTCGATGATGTACCTATTAAAAGTGATGATTTTCCATGGCTATGTTCAATAACCAAAGGGTAAGATATAATCTAATTGGTGGTTTGGATCATTTTTTATTTTCCCTAATAGTTGGAATAATCATCCCAACTGACTTTCATATTTTTCAGAGGGGTAGGTATACCACCAACCAGTAATCCTTTTATTGGTGTGACGTTGAACCATCCCTTTGACGTTGATACTTTGATTTCCATTGATGAAGTCTGGGAGATGTCCTTAAAAATCTTGTGTCGCTTGGGGCATGCCACAAAATAACAGGATTTTGCAAAGATGATGAGAAACCATAGGTAATCTATAGGTAATCTATAGGTAATCTATAGGTAATCTATAATATCTATAGGTATTCTATGATAAACCCGAATGTTTCAATGGGATTCCGAATATTCCGATGATTCTGTCTTCCATTCACAGTATCCAAAAACTCCTGATGTGGCACCAATGTTATTTTCTCGGCGAAGGTGCCTCGGGATCCCTGCAAGGTGGTTCTCCACAATATACCTAACATTACTTCAAGTTCCTTCGGGCCACTGGATTAAGTATATGGCTTATGGATGCTTCATATGCTTATGGAGATATACCCTCCAGTAAATTAACATAGACCCTGCCAGATAAGCGTCGGAAGATTCATTTCCACTAACAACTGGTGATTTTCGGGGTCTATGTTAATTTTCCGGAGGGTAATATCAAACATTATCAAACCATTGAATGGGTCCATACACCAACAAACATCACTTGTACCCTCTGGTTATTTAACATAGCCATGGAAAATGGCCCATTTATGGATAGTTTACCTATGAAAAATGGTGATGTTCCATGGCTATGTTAAATAACCAGATGGTACAGGGCACCACCGAAGATTCCTCAAGAGGCCTTGATGTCCATCAGAAGATCTGGTGCCACTGTGATTTTGACCTACTACGCCAAAGAGGTGCGAGGAGGGTTGGAAGGGCTGGCGATTGCAAAGTTGTTACCCTCTGGTTATTTAACATAGCCATGGAAAATGGCCCATTTATAGATGATTTTCCCATTAAAACCTCCATTTATAAGGGATTTTTCCATGGCTATGTTAAATAACCAGATGGTAAAAAAATAGTGAATAATAGCAATCTATGTCAAATTATCAAAGAAGAAGTGCAAGATACTAAGGTCATCTAAGGTCTAGATAAATCTGCCATTTTTCAATCTTTATCAATTTTGAACCCGTGACTTGACAAGATATGGGAAGAGTTGGAAGAGGAAACTGCTGCGAAAACTGCCTCCCCATCTTTCCCAGGCGGCTCGATGGCTGCAAGAGGAAGCCAAGTAGTTGGTGGCAGCGTGGCTGTTTTTAAAGGGAACCCCGGACCTCCGCGTCCGCGCGGCTCTCAGCCGTATCTATTGGAATCCTTTGAGATATCAACGGATCATTGCTGGATGCCGGTGCCATTTGGAGAGTTGATGGCTTTGGAAAAACAAGATGCACAGCATGACTCTGACCCTCCGGTGATTTAACATAGCTATGGAAAATGACACTAACACTAATGACCCATATTTATCCATATTCAGTGTAGATGATTTAATAGGTTTTCCCTTTAAAGATTGAAATTTCCAGAATTGGCTATTTTAGACTAAAAGAAGGCATTGATATTATTTGGCACTTGACGTGTTGGGGTCCTGCGAGTTGATACTCCAGCTGTTTGGAAGCTTATGGAAGCCCGCAAAAAATGTCAGTTCTAAGGGCTCAAATCTGTGGTTAGTCAGTAGATATATGGATAGTATGGATTCCAGTGATGCACTTTGCAGTCAAACGAATTAGCCTCCAGTAATCAATCGTGGCAATGGAAAATCCATGAAATTCCTCTATACATGGAGGTCTATAGTTGGGAAAATCATCTATAAAAATGCTATAACTGGGATTTCTAAATGATATATCAATGGGAATTTCTAATTGGGATTTCCTAATTGCCACGTTTTTTTCCCGGGCGGTAAGTTGTTTCAGACCTCCAGTGTCTGTATCTTGCAGCGGCGCCAGCTTTTTGGCAAACTTTCCTCGGGATATCTCCGACCAAGATCTTTGGGGATCATCTTACGTCAAACATTCCTGAACTCTCCTACCCTGTGGTTATGTCAAAATAGCTATGGAAAATGGCCATTTATAGTGGATTTACCCATTAAAAATGGTGATTTTCCATAGTTATGTTAGTTTACCGGAGGGTAATTCTCCTTACTGGTGCTGGATGGGAATGGATGGGTTGCTGGGGGTTGCTGGGATGATTATTGATAGGTAGCCAGTGGATCATTCCCGAAATAAAACGCACCAGTAAGTCTCATGTCATCTCACGTCATTCGGTAGGCTTTGATCTGATCCTTGCACCGGCATCTAGGGTGGAGCTCTCCAACATTTGGACGTTTTTTTGGCGCCTCATCAGGCAATGTGACATTTGATTCGCAAAAGCTAGCCCCGCGGGGCTGGGCCGGTGGGTTAAGTCCCTCTGAAGCATCAAGCTATCACGTGTATAGCATCTCCTAAGATCGAAGGTCGAAGCTTTTTGAATGGACCCATTTGCTGAAAGTATTGGATCAACACTACCCTGCAGTGTCAGAAGCCGCACTTTGGGTAAGTTCATGTAGGTTCCACTGACTCAGATTTCATTTCTATGTAGTTTGTGTTTGTGGATGTGGGCTGGCCCCTGAAGTATGGAACGTCCATGTGATAGGTGCAATTACCCTCATCAACGGTTCATCTGAGGGTCTTCTGGTGCGAGTTTATGGATACAACATGATATAGCAACATGCCAATCTTAGATGTTTGTCCCATAAACACGGTGCATTCAGTCGTGTCTCACTTGTATAATTTTGTACATATATACGCACACAGACTATATACATATAAAAAAATATTGATACTGAATTTAGGTACTATATGTACATATAGATCTATATGCACATAAATGTTTAATCAGTTTAATTGAGTTTACTCCTCTTGCCAGTGCATACCAGATAGGAATCGTCCAAAATCCTCCAGTCTTCGGGTCCCGCAGCGTTTTGCCCTGGGCTCAACGGGGACAGCGTCGGACATCCGGAGGGGCCATGGGATGTGCGACGGCCACGGGACCCACGGGACGCCATGGACATCGTCAATTACTACGCAGACCTTGGGCTCGAAGATGACCACGCGGATGAGGCACGACTGGGATAGGTACTCTATAGCTAATCTATAGGTAATCTATAGGTAATCTATAGGTAATCTATGATAAACCAAAGGTAATCTATAGGTAATCTATAGGTAACCTATAGGTAATCTATAGGTAATCTATGATAAACCCGAATGTTTCAATGGGATTCCGAATATTCCGATGACTCTGTCTTCCATTCACAGTATCCAAAAACTCCTGATGTGGCACCAATGTTATTTTCTTCTCGGCGAAGGTGCCTCGGGATCCCTGCAAGGTGGTTCTCCACAATATACCTAACATTACTTCAAGTTCCTTCGGGCCACTGGATTAAGTATATGGCTTATGGATGCTTCATATGCTTATGGAGATATACCCTCCAGTAAATTAACATAGACCCTGCCAGACAAGCGTCGGAAGATTCATTTCCACTAACAACTGGTGATTTTCGGGGTCTATGTTAATTTTCCGGAGGGTAATATCAAACATTATCAAACCATTGAATGGGTCCATACACCAACAAACATCACTTGTACCCTCTGGTTATTTAACATCGCCATGGAAAATCGCCCATTTATAGATGGTTTACCTATGAAAAATGGTGATTTTCCATGGCTATGTTAAATAACCAGATGGTATAGATGATGATGAAGCAAAGATGAACAAAAATAGAATGGTAGACAGTAGATGTTCGATCTTGTTGGTAGATATTGGTCGTTTTTTTTTGGGGGGGTAAATTTTTGGGGAGAAGCCCGGGGAAAAAGAAACATGAGCCTCTCCCGAACTTAGCCGGTAGTCGAGCCTGATGTTTTTCAGGCGACCATCAAAAAGGCCTACCGGAAGCTGGTGCTCAAATGGCACCCCGACAAGCACCCGGAGAACCGCGCCTCGGCGATCAATCTCAGTGGGTCGACCCCAGGATGATTTTCACCCTGAAATTGGGGTCAGATGAAAATTTACCCTCTGGAAAGCATACAAAAAGCGAACTGGAAAATGGCCCAGTCAAAATAGTGGATTTTCCCAGCTATAAAATGGTGATTTTAAGGTGGTTACATGATGTTACATGGTGGTGAATGGGATATGGGATGAGTACTGCAAAGCTGCTGCGAAAGGATGATCCTTGTGGACGGCTTAGCCTTACTGTACACTGTACAGCCAAGGTTTCAGTGGCATGGTTTCTTATAACCCTTATCCCCTGGTTATGTCAAAATAGCGAACTGGAACATGGCCATTTAGTTGGTTGATTTACCTATTAGACATGGTGATTTTCCAGTTTGCTATGTAAACGTTTACCAAAGGGCAAGCATCACCAGTAATATCATCCCCTTATGAATGCCATATCTGCTGGGCCAGCTGCGCCGGTCAAGGTGACGAAGCGGAGACACGAATCCGAAAGATCAACAATGCTTACGAGGTGCAAATGGGGGTTAAGGATCCACGCTTTTTTCGGAGGTAAGAGGATCAAAGCTGTTGACTTTTGGAAGGTGAAAGGATCTAAACCTGGAGGTTTTACCGGGCATTTTATAGGGATTTAACGTGATTTAAGCATCAATCATTGGGATTTGACCAATGAAGAATGGATCTGGTTATAGGTATAGCTTCAAGATGCTTCAAGTTTTCTTTGTGACGATCCCAGTTCAATCCAATTGCCTAAAAGAAATTGATGTCAATTTCTGTTGAGTCCTGCCATGTATATTTAGTTATAAAATGTTATAAATATGTGGTTTTTTCCAGCGCCGTCACATCATAGGTCAGCATTCAGGTGACCGTGCGCCCGTGCGGGCGCCGAGTTTCTCGGCCCAGGTGTTGAGCAATCCCACGAAGCGTCAGACCTATGACGACCAGCGGAGGGCCGTCAAGCGAAAGAAGCAGGGCTTTGGGCCGCCGCCGCCGAGCGGTGTGGGGCGACCTATAATATAGGGGGACCGCGACGCGACCTGGGGCCTCGGTATTAATGACGGTTGGTATGTAGGCAGATAATGCTAAATCCAATAATGACCAACAATGATCACCAATGATTAATGATGAATCAATGATGAATCAATGATAAATCAACCAGAAAATCAGCCTTTTTTATCCATTTTGGGGTCATTTATACTATACTTGTCTATCAAAATATAGGGATGTCCCCAAAAATAGACCCAACTGGGGATGGTTTGCGGTAAATCTGTGATTTACCATGCTATGGGGAATGATGGAGGTACATGTTCTGTTAATTTTAACTGCTTAAACACAACCTAATACCATGCTATGGAAGAATACCATGTTCGAAAACTACTCTCTGTTTTTTTTTCACAGTTCGACCCTGAAAACCAACGTTTGAACCTCATCTTCCAATACCTATCAGGGTCGAAGTCTTAATTGACTGGAGGGTAAGTCCCACTATCATTCCCATTTAAGTACTATATTCCTGGACATTAAAAATCCTAGGAATTTCACGGAATTCTATGGAAAAGGATGCTCCAGGTTAATCTATATTATATGACGATAAGAAATGCTACGAATGGAATTATCCTACTCATAATCGAGATCTTTTTGTCAAACACTGCCATATCCCATGACGGATCCATGTATGCTATATATGGCAACATGGATCCCATCAATATACCCCAGTCATGTCAGCATTTTTCTACCAGCACCATGGATCCGTCATGGGTATCTATTTTTCACCTTCCTGAGGCGCCACGGATGCGGATCCCCAAGGAATTCATGATGATGCCCATCGGTGGGGATGCGAAAACCGATGGCGGTGATGGAAAAATATGGGGAAAGGATAGTAATACCACCATAGTATACCATAGTGCCATAGTAAGTATGGAGATATATGGAGATCACCAGATTTTCTTGAGTCTCAGATTGTCCATCACAGATGATCATATCCATAGTATAGTGCAATATAGTGCCATACTATAGTATGTTTTAGTGCCATATCACCAGTATAGTGCCATGCAGTATGTTGCTTTTATCTATCACCTGCGAGCTGAGATGGTTGTTTGGATGGTTCCTGGGGCCTTCAGGGCCTTCATCGATCAGAGAATCAATGGTTTTTTGGGGAAATTTGAACCGGAAACCATGGACTGTTCCTATGACATATGATATATAAATATTAGCTGGGGTTCTGGTAAATCTATGTAAATCTTCCCTTGAACCAATCCATTGGTTCAAGGGATGTTTGTACTCTTCCATGTGGTTTTCACATTGTTTCCATGGAGGTTCTTTCCTTCACTCCGGTGCCTAAAGGATCCACGAATCGTAAGTGGTTCGTGACAGCCAACCTCAATATGTCCCCAAAAAACACTGCGGTTATTATTCCCCTGATATACTCGAATCTATGGGTGCTGGGGCTTCAATTTTGACCCATCAAACTAACAGTTTGCGGACTGGAAGATCACGATTTCAATCGGTAAATCATCTAACATCATCTAACAGAAATGGCCCATGGCTTCGCACCATTCAACACCATTCAACACCATTCAACACCATTCAACACCATTCAACACCATTCAACACCATTAAACACCATTAAACACCATTAAACACCATTAAACACATATAAACCCCAAATTTCCAGATGGTTTCCATAGCTATGTTCGTTTCTTCTCCAACCCCAGCGCCTTTGGCGCCAGGTTTCCCGGACAAGTTCGTGCGCTACAGCGGCCGGCGGCTCTTCGTGCACAGCCGCAAGGATGATCCCGACGTGGAGTTCAAGGCCGACGGACGTGGCGTTTCTTTGGATCCATAGGGACAGTAATACTATATAGTACCGGTAACGATGGTTAATGATGGTGAATGATGATTCATGGATGGTTGATGGAAGACTAATGATGATTCAATCTTTGTTGGGTCAATGGGAGATCTTCAGGATCCTAGAATGAAGGTACGTTAGTACCATATTTTTGGCCATATTTTGTGGGGACATTCCCTCACATAGGCCTGAAAAATAGGCCTTATATATGACTATATATGGTAGGTACCTCCAATTTAGATGGCCATTGATAGATGGGTTACCCTATGGTTATTAAACATAGCCATGGAACATGGCCCATTTCTAGATGTTTTTTGATGATTTACCTATTAAAAATGGTGATTCTCCATAGCTACGTTAAATAACCAGAGGGTAAATGGTATGGAAATGGGGCCCTAAGATGCTGTAAGATGTTGATTTTCTTGAACATATACTGTACCATGTAACATGTGTTTTTAAATATATATATATATATACACCACGTTGTCTTTGTTATGTATCTTGTGAAGATGTTATGAGATGTTGAGATTATCAGATGTGTTATTTCATAAGATGTGGCACACACACACACACGCACTATATAATAAGTATGTATGTTAGAACGCTTCAAATATATAAGATGTAATTAGCGAGTATGACCCAATAGATCAGGTTATGCAATTTCCTGCTTAAGCATCAATTCTGCATTTGCAAACAAAAAAATCAAATATTTCTCCTGTGGAAACCGCCAATTTCTGTTGTCACTTTGGGTCAACCAGAAAAAAAATCATTTTGGTCATCAAAAACCGGAGGAATTTGTCATTCTTGTTCATGTTCTTGATTCGAAACCAGCACCACCCTACATTCCAGAGGATGGATTTCATGTTTGTTCCAGACCAATTTTCCGCAAACACATGATTTAACATGACCCACCACAAAGTCGTAAAACACCCGTTTTATCCCGTTTTGGCCATTTCAAATGACGGCATCATATCCTTGTGGCCACGCTGCTCTCATTTTACCAGCACCGCCGACGAGGCCTTCTTTGAAGACACGAAGTGGTCCCTCTGGTGGCTGCCGGAGGTGAACAACATGTGTCGTGTGCGCGCGTTAGGGTCCAGAGCAGCTGGGGAGAAGATGGGGGTGCCTTGGTTGTGCGGGATGGGGATGGGGATGGGAATGGCTTGGTGCGGGCTTGTGGAGGTGATGGATTATATTTGATGGGGATTTATATAATATGATTTAATGTGATTCAATTTGGGAAATGATGGGTTTCATTACTGTTTGCTTTTTGAAACACATTATCGGATGGTCGGAGTCAAGATTTAGGACGTAAGAAACCATCTACATTTTATCTTTCAGAAAAATCTCGTGCTAAACCCACCACTTTCTCCACCCATCTGGGCATCTGTGTTTTGTCATAGAACACGGATTTTTTCATGTCGGAGGTTGTGGCGTGGCGACAGGCAGTCATTCAATCCCCCATGGTTGCATAATATATACATAATATATATATATATATGTGCTACATATATATATATATATAAATATGTATGTGTGTGTATATGGTTCATTTTCATTCATCAATTTCAGTCATTGGTCGCCGGAAATGCTCAGAACATTGCTGGCTGGTGGCTTCATCCTTTGGGATGGGCCATTTTTTCGCAGCCCAGGTGGCAGCAGGGCTCTGCGGCGGCTTGAACTTGTCCTTCTTCATCGACCCGGCCAGTGGGGACGCCCTTTACAAAGTGCAGGATTTTCAGGGCACCCAAACAGGTGGTTACCCTCAACCCACTATTTATAGATAATTTTCTTAAGGGAACCATGGGATTTCCACATCTTTTTGCATGTTTACCCCAGGGTACTGTTGGTTTATACTCATGTGAACATGAGTTATGGCGATTTTATGGTATTTCGAGCGGATACAAACTAGGGTTGCATGGGATAACATGAGCCAACAGGAGGAACCGGTATCCTGCTGAAGGAGATGATGTTTTGCTAAGTAGCTAGGAAGACATCCCCATTTTATGGTTTCCAAGAGTTGAAATCCCACACAAATCATCACAAATCCAGATTTTATCAATTGATATCCAGTCATGTTATCCAGAGTTTCTGGGTTATAACATGTTGTACCCTCTGGTTATTTAACATAGCCATGGAAAATAGCCCATTTATAGATGGTTTACCTGGGTTTACCTATTTAAAACGGTGATTTTCCATGACAAACTGTTAAATAACCAGAGGGTAACATGTTTATAAACTCCAGTTGAAGCTTCAAAAACTCGGTGACGACCTTACTCCGCTTTCTCGTGACTCGCCGAGGCCCGACGGACTCCGAGGTAGGCCTGGAGGATGCACGGAAAGGTGAGAAGGTGGACAAGGCGTGGGCGTTGCATGCATGGATGTCCTGGGTGGGTTTGCTTCATGGGAAAATTGCGGAAAATCATGTGGTTAAAATCAATAATAACCATTAATAAGCTACACATTTGGGAATGGTTTATAGCACCTATCTAATTATGGTGATTTGGGGGGATGGTTTATGGAGGATATGGAGGATATGGAGGTCGTTTTTGGATCACTGGCTGCACAGAATGAAGGCCGCAGCTTCACCAATGCTTCACCGGTGGGTTTTTGAATTGGTGATCTAAGGAATTCCCGCACCGAAGGGATTTCAAATGAAACAATAGAATCCAAGGACGGAGGGGGCTCTGAAGCTTGAAGAATTGATTGTCTTATGGACAAGAGCCAGTATGAGGGGCTGGTAAATGTCCAGTTTTGGAGTTTCTGAACATCACCCGAAAAATCCCGAAAATGTATTTGTGTGAGATTATAACCGCATTTTGTTGGGTGATGTGAAAAAATGGTGCAATCTTTTCAGGTGACATGGACCTAGCTATTCCACGTTTTTGTTGGGTGATTTGTCTTATCCAATTCTTGGGTGGTCAATTTTAAGTGGTTTTGCTGCGCCTTCCAAATTCCTTGAAATCCCATGGGTTTTCCTCCGTGAAATCCATCTTTTAGGAGGTGGTTTAATAGATCTGGTTGGTGGTTTGGAACAGCCATTTTATGGTGGTTAATAGTGGTTATTTAATGGTTAATGAGATGACCTGGTTGGTGGTGACTGGAACATGGATTTTATGACTTTCCCATCATATTGGGAATGGAAAATCATCCCAACATATCCCCACTGACGAACTCCATCATTTTTTTGGGGGGTGGCTCAACCACCAACCAGTTTGGGATATTTTCCGAGGTCAGCTCCGAGTTTTCACCGGTGACACGGCCGGTGACACCGGGTGCCGTTCCAAGGTGAACTTCATCGCGGTGACCAGTCCCGCCTATGAAGGGGCCTTCCGCTTCGAAGCAGCCTATCGCAAAGGCGAAGTGTAACGGTGTGGGGGAGTTTGAAGCATTATATAGCTGCTGGTATGCAAGTTGAAGTTATAGAATAACGAAAGGCATATCATATGTATATAATTGTGTATATATAATTATATATATATAATTATATATATATGCGTATATATAAATATATTTATGCAAAATTATATACGAATATGTGATAAGTGGATACAAGTAATAAGTTGTGGATGGTTTCGCAATGTTTCGCGGGTGTTGCATTGGATTTCCATGTCGGTGGATAGCACATTGTCTATGAGGTTAATGGGTGAATGTCCCTCATCTGTTGGTGAGTGTGACCCCACCCCATGTCTGTGCAGAACATCTGCGTTGGTTGATCAATCTCTGCTCACATGCCATCTGTTCCCTCCTCATTTAGTTTCATGATTTGATATGATGTAAATTGATGTACTGTACCCTCTAGTAACCAAGCCAATGGAAGATCATTTATCGTTGATCCCTTTAAGACATCCATTTCGTTTGTGGATTTTACAGCGCGCCATGATGAGTGGAGGGTCAACATGGTGATTTTCTATAGCCAGCTGTTAAATCACCAGAGGCTACGGCTGCATCGCAGGTTTCTACCTGATTTTCTTCCCTCCGAACCATCTGCGGGTCGCGCCCTATGGTGAGGTGCCCGGTGCCCGGGTGGAGTGGATCCCTGGATCGGCGGTCGGGGATCTGGTCTTCTGGTCGTTGTTGATCTTGGTGGGAGCACTTGAACATGTTTGAACAATGCATACCCTCTGGTAAACGTTCACATAACTATGGAAAGATCCACCATTTTGAATGGGAAAACTCCCTATAAATGGCAATTATCAATAGCTATGTTAAATTACCAGAGGGTACTTGATTAGAGAATGACAAGCATCAGGAATTTAAGACATTCAGAAAGAGACCGTATAAACATTCATTAATATATGCACATTATTAAACACTACATTCGAACATAAACTTCAGAACCACTTATTTTCAACATGATGTATAAATACCTTGGTGAGTTCTGCCTTGCAGGACGACATGTTTTTTTAAAGCACAACGGTGCCATTTTGCCTGGTTCACGCTAGGACGACGACCGTGGCATCGCCGATTTCACCCTGGTGGACTTCGGTGTGATGTTCAAATTCATCGAGATGGAAGAGGCTCCCTTCCGCGGGGGAAAGCAACGCGGAGAACGCGTTGAGGTCACCTAATGTCAATTGTTGAAAATGGTAGTAAAAATTGCTTCCAAAAAAGTCTGAAGATGGGATAGTCACTCGGAGTTTTAGTGAAAACATGGTGGTTTTGGTTTGTCATGGCCTCATGGCCATGTTAGATTACCAGAGAGATGGGGGGGCAGTTACCCCCAACCCCCAATTGATGGCAATTTTAATAGGGAAAATGGTGATGAAGCAGATGGAACGGGGCTCCCTGAGAATTAGACAAACCCACTTGGCGAATGACAGGTGAAAATGGTTGAATTTCTTGCCAGAAATGGGACAAGTGACTAGCCAGCGTATCTGAGATTAGCCATGGTTAGCCATGTGATTTTGGTGGTACCCTCTGGTAATTTAACATAGCTATGGAAAGATCCACCATTTTTAATGGGAAAATCCACTATAAATGGCCATTTTCAATAGCTATGTTAAATTACCAGAGGGTAGGCTTGCTGGAAAATCCGCAAGTCTGCTTACCATTTGTTGATTATTTTCTACAAACATGATTCAACAAAGTGGAGATGTTCCATTCGAATATGTTTTTGTGAACCCCGGGGCAACATGTTGGCTTGTGGAATTCTAAGAAGAATGGGAAGCTGCATGGTAATGGTAATGGTAAAGAGGGAGAGTTGGAATACGACGAGATCAAGATCTTTACCACATGGTTCCTTACCAAATGGTGAGATCAAGATCCTGACCCCGGCCAAGCTCCAGGAACCATATCTTCCACCAGGTTTTCACAGCTAAACTGGATCAGCCCCATCCTTTCAAATCGTGACAGATTCATAAATTGTACACTATTCAGATTCATATGGAGTCTCCAGACTTATGAGTTTATCATGTTTTATCATGTTTTATCCAGATTCACAGGTTAGAATGTAATTAGTTATAAGTCAAGATTCTTCCAATTGACGTTGTAATTTCCCCTTGGTTTCCCACATCTTCGCCAGGTGTTGCAGCCCGCGGTGGCTGCCTATCAGGGCTGGGTGAAGTTGGAGCAGCTGCGGAAAGATCCCAATATCGTGCTCTACTTCAGCAACATCTTGCAGAAACCTGCCACTTGGATCACTTGGATCGCTTGGATCTGGCTCTGAGAATTCACGTCTGGCTTTTCTACCTGGCTTTGCTGAAGATTGAAGATGATGTTTTTTTTTTAAATATATGGTTTAACACGATTAATAGGGAAAAATCGTGGGATATTGATGGATTTAGCCTGTGATAAGCAAACATGGCAATGGGACTACGTGTGGGTTTATAGCTTGGAAAATAATCTATATGTAAATAGGTGAATTGTCTATTTATACCACGTTTGCTTACCAGAGGTTTTCCAGGAGACGTGTATCATTCCGAGGAATTTTCTGGCGGAGGAACATATAGAAACCTAGAAACCTGACCAGGCCTGACCTGCTGATGCGCTTTGTCACATTAAACAGATGGATTTTTGTTTGATTCCATGAACTGGTCTAAGAGGAAACCTAGAGGAAACCATGATGTTTACATGTTCTTACCATTAAACATTAAATATACAGTATGCAGCTATATTTAGAGCTTCCTGTACAGTTTCCCGGAAAAAAAAACATCCAATGATAGATGATTTTGGGATTTATACATACCGATGACTCAGATTGGTGACTCGGAAATTTGTGACATGGATTGGCAACTCTGATGTGAAGTTGCATGAAATTAATGGACATCAATGGGGTATATAATGGGGATAGCGATGGAGAGAGAGAAATGGGGGATGAGTTGCTGGTTTGTTGTGCATTTGTTGTATCAATCAGACGGATTTGTTCGGGTGAATTGCGGAAAACTGTGGCCTGACCTGCTGATGATGACACGTAGATGAAGATCCAGATGCAGTGTAGTATAAATGCATATATTTACGGGGTGTGCTACTCGACTGTTGGGGAAATGTATGGCATGTATGGAAACGTTCAATGTGAAGGGATCAGTGTGTATTAGCTGAACCCATAGCAACAGATCAGCTTTAGAGCCATTCAGCCATCTTCAACCATCTCAAGCCATCTCCATCCGATATTCGATGCTTTTGCATGGAAACCTTGATTTATTGGATCTGTCTGTTCATTTTAAGGCTCCATGTAGGTGAATGTTCCGCATATTTTAGCATGAGATTGTTATCCATAGGCAGCTTCCTCTGGATGATTTTTTTGTGGAGTTGGATGATGTGTCGAAGATGCGAAGTATGACTCAGAGACTTGTTAAAGGACTATATTATTGTCATCAGGTATCCATTGATCTATGATTGATCGGGATCCTATTCTCCTACTATCACAGTAGACTATGTAGTCATGTCATTATCAATCATTCCCAGGTTTGGCTCCAGGGAAAATAATCCGGAGCCCCCAACCTATTTAGGCGAAAACAGCGGCAGGTTTCCTGCAGATTTTCCCTCAATCCCATTCATTGACATCATGATATCCCCAATTCAAGATGGTTTAAAGTCATGGTTTAATCACCATTAAACATCGTAAGATGTTTTTTTTTGTCATGGTTTAATCACCATTTTCAACCTCGTAAGATGGTTTTTTGTCATGGTTTGATCACCATTTTCAACCTCGTTAAAGCCCATGTGTTTCACCGGAAAGCCATGGTGTTCCTTTCGTTCGTTCAACCGTCCGAGGTTTGGGATAGCGAGGACTTTATCATCTACTTCGAGGGCCACTGGGAGACCTGGGAATTCAACAAGGACACCCAGTCCGTGCGGTGCCGTGGCAAAAAATGGGGTGAAGAAACGGTGACAAAAACATCCCGGCGGACCGGAAAGTGAGGTCGTGAAATACAGTTTTTTTCAAAAAATCATCGTTTCGCCTAGGCGAAAACACAATTCAGCGATCACAAAAACTCTGAAATTCAGACGTCTGAATTTGGTGGTTTTTTAGATAAATGTGTATTTCGCCTAGGCGAAACGCAATTTCTGCTTCAAACAAGTTCAGGCATGCTCAGCTGTCCGCACCGTCATTTTTACATCTCTTGCAGTTTGGACACCGTGGCTTTCGCCAAGTTTTTGTACGTGTGGATGAATCTCCATTGCGTAGCATCAAGAACCTCAGCAAGTTCACACGAACGTTAACATGCCCCACCCCACCCCACCCCATCATCAGCGTAGCATCAAGAACCTCCGACTCGAAAAAGAAGCGTTTCGCGACCTCAGTTTTCGGTCCGTAGGCAAAAACATGAACAAACAAGATACATGTGGTTTATGGATGTTTATGATGTTTATGGTGCTTATACCATCTTATACCATTTTAACTCATCTTATACCATCTGATACCTATGGTCAGATAATCAGATGGGTGAATAGAAAGCAACAAACATACCTGAGGGGCCACACATTGTTGGGGATAAAAATCGGATTGGTCGTAGCCAGGGATATGTGCGGTAGAAAATCTACCAGGGGGCCACCCAGCAAAAGTCACTTATCACCTCAATGGGAATTTCAGGATCCTAAAATGGAGGTACGTTAGTACCATATTTTTGGCCATATTTTCTGGGGATATTCACTTACATAGGCCTGAAAAATAGGCCTTATATATGGTAGGTACCTCCATTTTAGGATCCTGGAATTGCCATTGATCACCCCAAGAAACAAGTTTTAAGTTTACTTGATGAGGCATTAGCACCAAGTGCAGGTCGCACTTGGCCATCAATGAGTTAAGATTCTTAAGATGTTGGACCCTTTTGCGAAGACGATGACATGCGAGGGTCTTCTATGTTGGTTTTTCAGGTGTATGCCCGCAATTTTGTTTACATGAATGGTTATGATGATGATGATTATTATTATGTTTATTGTTAATTATTTGTATTGTTTTTGTTACAATATATTATTTATTATATTATTATTGTTGTTATTTTATATACACATGGATATCCCGCCCCTTGTTCATGTTCATCACAGTCATCCCCGAAAAGATCTGAAGAAATCGTGAATCTGGAAGATTCCCATGAAAAATCGTGAAGATTCACTATTTTAGGCATTTGTTTATATCTTTTGGTGGTTTCATATTATATATCGAATTTCGACTATTATTCTGGTTGGTGCTTTGGAACATGAATGGATTATTTTTCCATATATTGGGAATAATAATCCCAACTGACTTTCAGATTTTTCAGAGGGGTTCAAACCACCAACCAGTATATATCGACTAATATTTGTATTCCAATGATTTCCCATGTGGGGCTTGCATCAGGGCTCCAGGGAAAACCGGGCCGATTGGGTCGATAGAGTCGATGGGCTTTGCTGATTTGGAAAGGCAATGACTTGAATCAGTCGGTTCTATGACTTTGACAACTATAAAGGTATATCATTAAGTATTGATATATCCTAAATGATAATCAGCAACTATAATGATATACTTAAAAACTATGATTAGTCGGTTCTATAACTTACAAGTATCTTAAGTATATCATTATAGTCGCTGATTGTCATGAAGTTATTATTATTTCTAAATGAACATATATGACTGTTGATGACGGTTGTGTATAGTATAGAATAGCCAATATTTTGATCAAATGATGGACATTGTGAGTCATTACGACTATTATATACTGTTATAAGATTATTATGCATATTATGCAACCAGCGTATTATGCTAAGATTATAGCTGTCGTGTTTGTTAAAACTTAGAACATGGATAATTCCATATTCTTAGATTAATCAAACATATTAATGATCAAACATATTAATGATGCATTAATGCTTAGATTAACTTCAGGATGATTAATGCTTAGATTAATCAAAGGTGGCTGGGGGATTTACAAGCCAGATCCTTGATGAGTCACATCCGTCACAAAAATCGATGAAGCATATTAAACATCACTAACCCCCAGTTAATGGGAATGTTACTTATCAAGAATCAATCACATTTAAATCCCATTTAAATCCCATTTAAATCCATTAAAATCCATTAAAATCCAATAAACATCACTAAACATCACTAAACACGATGAAATCCCATGGTGATATTCTGTGGCTTCACTCCCTACGTGACCAGCAAGGCTACGAACGAAGCAGGAGAAGTTGGCCCAGCTCTTAGGTGGCGTCAAGGACATCGATGGCGTTCCCTGGATGGAACCGGAAGATGCTTTTACGGTGGAACTATGGGATTTACTGTGCTCATACCTTTTTTTTTTGAAGGAGTCTGAAGTTAAGGGATGTGAAGGGTCGACACAAATGGCTGTTTCTTGGATTGTTGTGGATTGAATATGGCATTTTGACTCGGGAGAAGAAGCGGCTGAAGACGTTCCATTCCGATGATGGTCCCAGCTTGACGTGGTATACCAAACTCATCTGGTGGTATTTAAATCATGAATTTGGATGTTGAGATTTGTTGGGCTTAGCCGGATTTTTCCATACATCCCACTTAAGACTTAGGAGTTGATTTTAGGTAGGCTCTTTCGTATTTCCATGTGAATCCTTAGAAACTTTCATATGGCATGGTTTGGAGTTGAACGTGGACCTAGTTTTGGTATGTGGAAATATCACCCAACTTCCAAAAGATTTCATAGCTTGTACGGCTTATACCATCTTGTAACACCATTTTTCTGGCAGACAATTGCGTAACTCACACTTATATATGCCTAGGTGAACTCTTCGAGAAGGCGATGGAGAGAGAGAGAGAGAGAGAGATCGGTTTCTTTGTTGATTTATGTTTTTTGTCTAAAGAAATATTTATATAATTACATGAAACCCTCACTTCGGACAAATTTCCCTGGCATTCATGGATTATTTTGACACCTAGTTCTTTTGTTTCACCCCCTATGTTCATGGGATCCAACATAGGTTACCATGTCATACCCCGTCTACTGCATCATGCGCCCCAGTTACTTGGTTCACTACATTCACCCATCTATAGTTAAAATGACCATAAACCCAACAATTATCCCATTATGACGCCAACTTGGCCAACTTTCCCAATGTCTTTCCCATGGTTTTCCAGTGTGGTTTCCACGCTTTTCCCTAGTTTCCAATGGTTTTCCATGTTTTTCCTATGTTTTTCCATGTTTTCCTATAGGTTCCCCATGTTTTTCCCTGTTTTCCTCATGTTTTGTCCATGGGGTTGTCCTATGTTTTTTCTAGGTTTGTTGTTGATTGTCCATAGCTTCCCCATGTTTTTCCTAGGTTTTTTGCAGTTTTAACCATGGTTTCCCTACGTTTTTCCTAGTTTTTTGCAGTTTTAACCATGTTTTTCCCATGTTTGTTGCTGTTTTCCCAACATTTTCCCTATGTATTCCCTATGTTTTTCCATGGTTTTCCCACGGATTCCCCAGCTCCCCGGTGACCTCCGGCTTCGCGCCGCGCGGTGAGGTCTCCGCCGTGGTGGCCGGCGCCAAGGACGAGTTGACCAAGCTGCCGCTGCCGGCGGCGGCGCGGGCGCTGGTGGTGCTGGCGGCCTCCACACACGACGGAGATGGGTACCGCGGCGGGAATGGAATTGGGAGAACCTGATATGGTAGTTGGTAATATACATGATGTTGTTATTATTATTATTATTATTTATTTTTTTGTTATTAATGATTATTAATGATTATTATTTATTATTATTATTAATTATTATTATCAATGATTATTATCAATGATTATTTTTTAATTTTTATTATTATTAGTTATTATTTATTATTATTAATGATTGTTATTAAAATTATTTATTTATTATTATTAATTATTATTATTAATGATTATTATTTATGATTATTTTTAATTTTTATTATTAATGATTATTATTATTAATTATTAGTACTTATTATTATTAATTATTAGTACTTATTATTATTAATTATTATTAATGATTATTGTTAATATTATTTATTAATTAATGATTATTATTAATATTATTTATTAATTATTACTATTAATTATTATTATTAATTATTATTAATTATTATTAATTATTATTATAATTAATTAATTATTTTTATTCTGAGTTGTTGTTTATTATCACAATTTTCCCAACAATGGGAGATATCAGTGTGAGATATCGGCACTTGGAATAATTGGGATAACTGAGAAACTAATGCTAATTGATTATGTAATATTATAAAACATTATTCTGGGAAACTATATTGCTGAACTCAGTGGTTTATTGTACTATTATTGACATATCACTTTTTTAATTCTGTATGTATGATTCTGGTTCTGATCGTCATAAACTATCATTATGAATAATTGGGACAACCCATCTCAAAAGGGATAAATATGGTTTATATTATTACTATTAATCCTGGAAAGTAATGTTGATCTTGGAAATTGTGATATAATTATACATAATAATGGGATCATTTTGTAACATATGGCAACATGTTATTCCCCAATTTGATTACTATCAACTGTGACTAAGATAATACTTAGTTGATGAATCAGCCAGTAATGATCTTGCTAATGGGATATAACAACTAATGACTAATGGTTATATCATGTTATATATGGTGTTATCAATTTCTATTTCGAAGGGTGTTTACCCTGGTTGATTCCTAGGGATTCATAGGGCCATCTCTTGGGGGTCGCCTGAGTCACCCATCAAGATACTGACGACGTGGGAAATGGTTTTTTTCCGGCTTTGCCTTAAACTACCCGACCGATCGTAAACGTTTACAGTTTGCGAACTGGAAAATGGCCCAGTCGAAAAAGTTGATTTACCTATTAAACATGGTGATTTTCCATAGTTATGTCTGGAAAATGGCCCAGTCGAAAAAGTTGATTTACCATGAATTACCCATAAATAAATGTGATTTTCCAGTTCGTTATCTTAGTTTACCAGAGGGTATATGGAATTGCAACTGGGTGAATTTGAAGAATCGCCTGATTCTAGATTAGATCTATGTTGAATAGGCGATAACATGCGATAACATCTGGATTGCCATCGCTGTTATATACTATATTGGGCGGGTCAATTGACAACACGATTTCTGTAATTGTTAGTGCTACTCCTACTCTTACTGTCAATCTAGTCCACCAGATTGTGGACAAGCATGTGTTTGTTGATTGTTGTTTTTAAAAAAAGTAATACCATTGGATTGCGAAACCCAGTGAGGAGAGGTGTTTGGGCTGGGACGTTCATGACGCTCATGGGCAACCTCTTGGATTTTTATCTCGGAATTTGAAGTCAACAGTTAGTTTGTTTGTTTTGTTTCGTCTATTTCTTTGTGTCTTCGTTTCTCTATTAGGGCACGTTTCAGCCAACATCTTGTTGCGAATTTCTGCTTGCTTCAAGACTAAGGTTGGATGTCACCAAGACCATAAATCGCATTGCAGCTCAAAAGAAACTGCGGCTTGGCGCTGGTTGTGGGCTGACTGGGCAAGAGTATCAAGGAGATTGACGTCATGTGACTTCTTTGGACCATATTCCCATTTTTGTTGTTTAAACAACCGGAGGTTTCCATAAATGGAGGTACCCAAAATGGATAGTTTATAATTGAAAGTTTGTAAAATGGATGATTTGGGGGTACCCCTATTTAAGGAACCCCCCATATGTGTTTTATTTATATAGGTAGATGGTAGATGTGAGGTTGTTGTCTACATGTGGGTATGTACACTTTTACCTGCCGGTGTCAGCCATTTTGTTGGTTTTACCTATCATACCATATGATTTGTTTCGTCCATTTAGCAAGCTAGCTAGTTTGAGGCAAGAACTCTACAAAGCCGCATGTGTACATCTCCAAGCGTTTGTGCTCGTAGAAAAATTAGTTATGTTGATTGATTATGTCCACATGTGCCTTTTATTTGCTCAATACCAAAAAAACAATTCAACGGACAACAGAATGGATGTGGCTCAAACGTATTGTCAAAAAATAGGGCGCTCCAAAACCCCATCGATAATCAGTACCCATGCCTTAATAGCAGTGCCCATCCTTGGACAAACCCAAATGGTCTTGGTTGAAAACATGGTGCTCAAAAGTCCAATGGTTTATCATGCTTTATCGTCATGTTGTTTGCTAGAAACTGTGATTTTATGGAACTGTAGGACAAAGTGGTCCTTTTTTCCGAATGAAACTCCCAATTGATCATGGTAAAAACCAGCCTTTTTCACCGCAAAGCATCCAGCGGTTCGCCCAGGCTGGCGAACTTGCGCAGCATCTTAGCCACTGCCACCAATGGTGGTGACATGGTGCGCGGGGGCGCGGCATTCATGGAGACTGGGCAAGGGGGGGGTATGTTAACAACAAAACAGGCATATGGAGGTTTCCATAGGTTTCCTAAGTCATGGGGGTACCCCCAAATCATCCAAAATCGGACCATTTTTAGTATTGAAACCTATGATGTTGGGGATCCCCCACTTTAGGAGACCTCCATAAATAACATGCCAATGGAACCATTCAGCAATGATCCAACATGGGTATGTAACCTGGCAAGGTAGGCACTTAACCTACCAGAGGTCATGAACCAGATAGACATGGATATCATCTGAGCGATGCTTCAGGTTTGCACCCCGCAAAAGTGCACATATGAAGCAGTGCACGCAGTTTTTTTGGGCCTCATGAGTCGCAGTTGGCAGGTTCCGAACGACAAAAATTTGGCAGGTAATGGCCAAGGTACATATCCCTAGGACACCCCGTGAACTAGGGTTTCTAGGCTTAGGCTGAGAACTTCCACACACCCATCGTCTGACCTGAAAGAAGATATATGATGTGGAAGATGCAGATTTCGGGACGCATCTGTTGAAAAATATGAAAAAGTATCAAGCAGATTTCAAGTTTCAAATGTGTTGTGTTGTTCTGTGTTCATTTTAAATGTTTGGTGGAATTCTATTCCCAGCATTTCCCAGCTATTTCCTGCAAAGTCTGTTAATGTCAGCATGTTTTTCCCATCTCTTCCCAAGTTTTTCTCCATATTTTCTCATGTTTTCCCATATCTTCCCACGTTTTTCTCCATATTTTCCCAGGTTGTTTCTCCATATTTTCTCATGTTTTCCCATATTTTCTCCATTTACATTGGATTTTCCCATGGATTTTCCCATGAAACCCTCCACTTCTCATGGGTTTTTTCCACGTTTTTCCCACGTTTTCCGGTGACTTTCCCACGTTTTTAGTGCCAGGTGCTGCCGCTGCACGACTTGTTGGACATGGCGGACCTGGCGGCGGCGGTGGGCGGAGCTGGTGGGGGGCACTCAGAGGCAGAACAGCAGGGGATTTTTATGGATTTTCCCATGGTTTTAGTGATGTTTAATGAATGTTTCATGGATGTTTAATGGATTTTCATGGATTTTAATGGATTTCAATGAATGTTTCATGGATGTTTAATTGATTTTCATGGATTTTAATGGATTTTAATGGATTTTCATGGATGTTTAATGGATTTTAATGGACTTTAATGGATTTCAATGGATGTTTAAGTGATTTTAATGGATGTTTAGTGGATTTTAATAGATTTTAATGGGATTTGTGGTTGATAAGTAACATTCCTATTAACTGGGGGGTTAGTGATGTTTAGTGGATGATAATGGGATGTTTCATGTTTAATCACCAAGGGATTTTAACGGAATATGGAATGTTACTTATCAGCAAATATCAACAATAAGGATCTTACCATGAATTAAAGAGAATTGGCAATGGAGGGGAGGGTATATACCATGAAACTAAACATCTCTGATCCCACAGACATTGAAATGGGATTTAATATATACCCTCTTGTTATTTAACATAGCCATGGAAAATGGCTCATTTATAGATGATTTTCCCATTAAAACCTCCATTTATAAGGGATGTTCCATGGCTATGTTAAATAGCCAGATGGTAGATATTTAAGGATTGGGGGGTTCAATGATTAAACATGAATTCATCATGTTCAATTACACATCATTGAGCCCCTGCAATAAATTTAATGAGATTTAAATAATTTCAAATCCATAATGTTAATTTACATAGATTTTAATGAGATGTCGCTCATCAACAATTAGAAGAGAGGGTGATATACCCTCTGGTGTCCTCAAACGTGGCCGTAGCCGGAAAATCCCAGAGCCATGAAGGCTTTATGCAATGATATCTGGCTGGTGGTTTCAAACATGAATGTTATTTTTCCATTTGATATATGGGATGTCATCTTTCCCATTGACGGACTCCATCATTTTTCAAGATGGTTAAGTCACCACCAAGCAGGTATCATGGGGAAAAAAACATGGATTTTCCACCACGCCAGGCTCATCCCGTTTAGTAAGTGGTGACTGTGTGCGGGGTGATAACCAAACTATCGTATTCATGGGGGTTGATTGGATTTATTGGGGGTTTATAAGCACTAAAAATGATGGTATCTTCGGCACGTGGGAGTTTCAAAGGATTCTTTTTGGATTCTTTTTGGAGTTTCACCACCAAAAATGGAAAAACATGGTATATAATGTGGCTTTAGCAACAACATTGGTGATAAATAGATGGTCTAAGTGCTTCGAGGATCGTCCCAGTCGATGGTTGTCTTACTGCGGTTGCCCAGTTATCAATGGGATAACCCTCTGGTAAACTTAACAAAAAGCCATGGAAAATCACTATGTTCAATAGGTAAATCAACTATTTCCATGGCCATGTTCCAGTTCGCAAACTGTTAGTTGACCAGAGGGTAGTGGGATGATCCTCCAAATATCATGGTGCTACGGGTTTTCATGGGGATTTCATGAAGCAACAACAAATGGTGATTAATCAGCAGATGTCATTTTGTATAAAATGAGGGTTGAACCAACATCCAGATGGTGGTATTTTCGGCAAACGGGTGGTAAATGGATGAGATTCGGCGATTTTTCAGCAAGAAACATGGAGAGATAACGACAGGTGATGAAGCAGCAGATATCATGGGATGAAATGGGGCTTCAACCAACAGGTTACTGTAATGGTTGTGGGGATGTCATTTTATGACATAAATGTCTTTAAAAGACTCGGATCCAAAGCCTTTCAAAATCTGGATCCCAGTTCCTGGGAACAATTGGAAGTTCACCAGGAAAATTCTGATCTTTGTGGCTTGGCCAGAGAATTAATCCCTATGTATCCCTACAACACTTTTGGGGTGGAAATGGCGCATGTTTCCACTTTATCTATCTATATAATATATATATATATATGTGTACATATATATATATATAAAATATTCCATTTACCCCCCAAAGACATCTCGGTGTTGGAAGCAAGCCTGTGGATTGAGGGCCGAATCCCATTCACAGGTCCGTTCTTCATGGTCATTATCTCAACAAGCTTTACTTGCCCAGGTCATCCATATGTGTTCACGGTCTACATCCAGGACATCTGCAGATGCGAGTCCTACGCTCCATGATACTTCAGGGATACCTAGCTACACCAGATTCCAAATGTGGCCTCCACATCTTAGTGTTGGCCGAGAAAGCTCAGAGGGGAGGTGTGGCTGAGCCGCTCAAGGTGGGATGACACAAAACCGCTGCCAGACGTGGAGATGTCCGGCCTCGCAGAACGTGGAAATCGTTTCGGCAACGTCGTTGTCATCCCCAACTGCACCCACAAGTACAAGGTGGTGCCCCCCAGATATCAGTTGGTTCATAAGCACCATGATACATCTACCATAAACAGATATAAACAGCTTTCCCCAACTTAGCTCTGTATCTACCATGATACATCTACTGTACCATAAACATCCATAAACCATAGTCATAGTCATTGGACTAATAAATCCACCAACGGAAGGATTTCGTTTGAGAGCCTGCCTCCCTGGTCCATACCCTGAGGAGCGGGCAGCGATTTGGTCCATACCCGGCAGGTGCGGGCTTTGAAAAGTGATGTTTGGTTTATAAACCCCATGAATCATGTTTTACAATTTACAACAATTTATAACATCTTGAATACATTTATATACTATAGTTATAAGATGTTATAAATTCTTATGAATATCACAAACCATAGTTATGTTATCTTATGTATTTAGCAAGTTAGCGACTTTTTCGGGTGATTTTGTAGGTATTTTTATCGCCCCCAACCGACTGGATAGGTCGTTTAATCCTTGAGTTTTTTTTCGTGGACTGCTAGAGGTTGATCCTGATATTCTGAGAAAAACCTGACCCAAAATGGTTGATATGATTGGAGGTTAAATGGTTGATATTATGGAGGATATACCTGATATTCTGATATACTCTGTAAATGGAGCTTTGAATGGGAGAATAATCTATAAATGGTTGATGCTACTGGGGTTTTTTCACAGCCAAAGGTAGACATGTTACAGCTTTTTTTTTATGGTGGCATAACAATGATTTTCGGTTTGTGCTTTTGGTGCATTTGGGGATTGGCTCTAGGAGGCTCTCGCATCCCCCAAGAACGAAACGTAACTATGGAAATCTACACCGCAAAATGTCAAGGTAGCCATGTGTACCCATCTCTTTGCAACACTTACCCTCTGGAGAATTTAACAATAGCTATTGCAGCTATGAAAAAAAGAAGCTACTGTAATTTTATAGGTAAATCAGCAAATCATCAAATGAGTCATGGCTTCCATAGCTTATGTTAGATAAGTATCCGGCTACCCTTTAAAGCCCCAATAGGCCACCGGGGCCACTTTTTTTGCGTGCCAGGCCGCCCAGCAAGCCGTGGCCGATATCGTCTTTCGCCAGCTGGAGGATGACAAGTCCAAGGTGGACGTGCGGAAGCTCAGTGGAACTCGTGGCGGTTTTTCCCCGGAAGATCTGGAAAAACCGAAGAGGACTTTTGTGGTGTTTTTTGAGGTGAAACCAAAGTCAGGACTGAAGGTAGTGAAGGTAGTGAAGCCGATAGTAAACTGGGATTTTTTTTTGGGGGGCGGTGAGCAAATGATAATTGTAGATAATATAGGAGGGTTCCTGAAATGGGGGCACCGCCGTTACCCAGAAATCATCCAAGACATTTAGATCATTTTAGTAAACCCATGGTTCTGGGGATCCACAATGTAAGAGTAATCCCCAATAGTATAGAAAAGTTATTTATATTATGGTTATTGCACCTCTCATTATTATATATGCACCTTAAATGGTTTTCTATGTATACCCCAAATGGTTATGTATATATATATAACCACATGGTTATTTGATTAAATATATATATATACAGCTACATTATATATATATATATTTATATTTATATATATATAAGTAATTAATAATTATGGGTATCATACCTGACGGCCGAGGTGCCACTTCTGAGTCGCGTCCTTCGCCTCCCTGGGGTGGACGAAGTGGACTCCAAACTGGCGTCCATGTGCGGGATGGGAGAGCTGGGCCATGGGGAAAGCAACGAAAAAACGGAGGTTTTACCGAGCAAAATGTCGATTTTACAATGATTTTACCATGAAAAATGGAGATTTAACCATAAAAAAAACAATAAACAATGTGGATCTATCCGGTCAAAATGTGGGTTTTGCCAATTTTTTCTATGGAAAAATAGGGATTGAACCAATGAAGAATGGATTTTCCCTTAGAATTGTCAATGGGTTTTGTGCAGGGAAGATGATGATTATCCCATGATTTTGGGCATCATATGTTTAAACCCAATTTGGTTCCGGAACTGTTTCGGGGGTTGGCACAAACGACAATCTATAGAAGCAACTGAAGGGCCGCTTTATCACAACCGAACATAGGAAACTCCCCCAAACCCACCCGGAAATCTAACTAGAAATAGAAAACGTTGCGAAATCTGACTGAACAAATCACAAACAAATGGGAGGTTTAGGTTCAATCTAGAAATAATCCATGTTTAAGTGCAACACAAATCTCTTTTTTCCATGGTAAAGTGGTGTAAAGATGCCGCATTTTGACGTGAACTCCCTTGGGATGGTAATGTCCAGCGACGCCAGGTGTCAGCCCTTGGTGGCCGATGTGGGCTTGGAGCAGGCTATGGGAAACATGTAATCCCATCCCCCTGAAAAAAAAATGGTCCCGATGATGTGCAAACTGCCTATGTTTTCTATGTTTTTTTGTTTCTTTTTGGGGTGTTCAATAATGTTCAATACTAGGGGGAAGGGATTACTAACCATCCATTGTTTTGAGTACTGAAGTTTGGTCCACAAGGCCGTGAAGGGTGTGAAATTTGAGACACCCAATTCCACCAAACTACGCCATGATACGCCATGCTTCTGCCTTGAGTTAATTTTGCGAAACAATTGTAAAGCAACAAATTCAAAATAACCATTTTAAACAGATCTAAACAGCCAAAAAACATGGCCAAAGATTGACTACCAAAGATTGACCCATATTATTACCTATTATTACACAGTATTAAGCATATATTAACCATATATTAACCATATAATAACCATATATTGACCACCATTTTTTTGCAGAGATTGGACCGTGACTTGGTCTCTGGCCGCCGAAGTCCAAGAAGTCCAAGGCCTTGGACTTCGTGAAGAGCGCGGGAAGCTCCAGCTGCACTGAGGTGGTTTCTTGGCGTTGCAGGCCTCGGGACCAGAGTGATAAAGAAGCCAGAATTTTTGATGGTGAATCAGGATTTTTATAGATTTTTTTCAGAGGTAAATCATGGTAAATCATGGTAAATCATGGTAAATCATGGTAAATCATGGTAAATCGTGGTAAATCATGGTAAATCATGGTAAATCATGGTAAATCGTGGTAAATCGTGGTAAATCATGGTAAATCGTGGTAAATCATGGTAAATCATGGTAAATCATGGTAAATCATGGTAAATCATGGTAAATCATGGTAAATCATGGTAAATCATGGTAAATCATGGTAAATCATGGTAAATCATGGTAAATCATGGTAAATCATGGTAAATCATGGTAAATCGTGGTAAATCGTGGTAAATCGTGGTAAATCATGGTAAATCATGGTAAATCATGGTAAATCATGGTAAATCATGGTAAATCATGGTAAATCATGATAAATCATGGTAAATCGTGGTAAATCGTGGTAAATCGTGGTAAATCACGGTAAATCACGGTAAATCACGGTAAATCACGGTAAATCACGGTAAATCACGGTAAATCACGGTAAATCACGGTAAATCACGGTAAATCACGGTAAATCATGGTAAATCATGGTAAATCATGATAAATCATGGTAAATCATGGTAAATCGTGGTAAATCATGGTAAATCGTGGTAAATCATGGTAAATCATGGTAAATCAAATCATGATAAATCATGGTAAATCATGATAAATCATGGTAAATCATGATAAATCATGATAAATCGTGGTAAATCGTGGTAAATCATGGTAAATCATGGTAAATCATGGTAAATCATGGTAAATCATGGTAAATCATGGTAAATCATGGTAAATCATGGTAAATCATGGTAAATCATGGTAAATCATGGTAAATCGTGGGTAAATCATGGTAAATCATGGTAAATCATGGTAATCATGGTAAATCATGGTAAATCATGGTAAATCATGGTAAATCATGGTAAATCATGGTAAATCATGGTAAATCACGGTAAATCACGGTAAATCACGGTAAATCATGGTAAAACATGGTAAATCATGGTAAATCATGGTAAATCATGGTAAATCATGGTAAATCATGGTAAATCATGGTAAATCATGGTAAATCATGGTAAATCATGGTAAATCGTGGTAAATCGTGGTAAATCGTGGTAAATCGTGGTAAATCGTGGTAAATCGTGGTAAATCGTGGTAAATCGTGGTAAATCGTGGTAAATCGTGGTAAATCGTGGTAAATCACGGTAAATCGTGGTAAATCACGGTAAATCACGGTAAATCGTGGTAAATCACGGTAAATCACGGTAAATCACGGTAAATCACGGTAAATCACGGTAAATCACGGTAAATCACGGTAAATCACGGTAAATCACGGTAAATCACGGTAAATCACGGTAAATCACGGTAAATCACGGTAAATCGTGGTAAATCGTGGTAAATCGTGGTAAATCGTGGTAAATCGTGGTAAATCGTGGTAAATCATGGTAAATCATGGTAAATCATGGTAAATCATGGTAAATCATGGTAAATCATGGTAAATCATGGTAAATCATGGTAAATCATGGTAAATCATGGTAAATCATGGCAAATCATGGCAAATCATGGCAAATCATGGCAAATCATGGCAAATCATGGCAAATCATGGCAAATCATGGCAAATCATGGTAAATCATGGCAAATCATGGCAAATCATGGTAAATCATGGTAAATCATGGTAAATCATGGTAAATCATGGTAAATCATGGTAAATCATGGTAAATCATGGTAAATCATGGTAAATCATGGTAAATCATGGTAAATCATGGTAAATCATGGTAAATCATGGTAAATCATGGCAAATCATGGCAAATCATGGCAAATCATGGTAAATCATGGCAAATCATGGCAAATCATGGCAAATCATGGCAAATCATGGCAAATCATGGCAAATCATGGCAAATCATGGCAAATCATGGCAAATCATGGCAAATCATGGCAAATCATGGCAAATCATGGCAAATCATGGCAAATCATGGTAAATCATGGTAAATCATGGTAAATCATGGCAAATCATGGCAAATCATGGCAAATCATGGCAAATCATGGCAAATCATGGTAAATCATGGCAAATCATGGCAAATCATGGCAAATCATGGCAAATCATGGCAAATCATGGCAAATCATGGCAAATCATGGCAAATCATGGTAAATCATGGTAAATCATGGTAAATCATGGTATAAATCATGGTATAAATCATGGTATAAATCATGGTATAAATCATGGTATAAATCATGGTATAAATCATGGTATAAATCATGGTATAAATCATGGTAAAAATCATGGTAAAAATCATGGTAAAAATCATGGTAAAAATCATGGTAAAAATCATGGTAAATCATGGTAAATCATGGTAAATCATGGTAAATCATGGTAAATCATGGTAAATCATGGTAAATCATGGTAAATCATGGTAAATCATGGTAAATCATGGTAAATCATGGTAAATCATGGCAAATCATGGCAAATCATGGCAAATCATGGCTCATGGCATCATGGCTCATGGTAACTCATGGTAAATCATGGTGGTAAATCATGGCAAATCATGGCAAATCATGGCAAATCATGGCAAATCATGGCAAATCATGGCAAATCATGGCAAATCATGGCAAATCATGGCAAATCATGGCAAATCATGGCAAATCATGGCAAATCATGGCAAATCATGGTAAATCATGGTAAATCATGGTAAATCATGGTAAATCATGGTAAATCATGGTAAATCATGGTAAATCATGGTAAATCATGGTAAATCATGGTAAATCATGGTAAATCATCTGCGAAAGGACAATTTTCCAGAGCTATGTATAGCTGGTTGGCGCTTTGGAACATTTGGTTTATTTTTCCATAGTCATGGGATAATCCTTCCCATTGACTTTCATATTTTCAAGATGGTTAAAACTTGCTTCAACATGGACTTCCCACGATGTACCCTGACAATCCATGTTTTAAAACATGGTTAGCTCACATTTTAACTGGATATTTTAAGTTTGATACTTCCATCCACACGTTAAACCCCATGAAAAACCTAATGTGTCAATCCTGATATTTCAAACCTGATGTTAAACCCAATTCTCAACCTGATTTGTCATCTTAGTTCACGGTTTTCGTCAAAAAAAACGGTATTTCATTGCTGCCACCGCACCACTGCCGAGGCCAATACCTTTGCCACCTCGGCCCTGCTGATGATGGATACCAAACAACCGGAGCCTTCCACGGAGGCCGCAGCAGGGTCTGACCATTGTTTTTTTGCGCGAAAGACGCGGGGGATGTTAAGGTAGTTTATGCTGATTTCTATATGGCAAACATGGGGTTAATATGGATTATATAATGATGATCTTTCTGGTTTCTGGGGTATAAAATTAAATCCTCTGAGTCTGCTTTTTCGTTTGTTTGCTTTCGATGTTTGATAGAACCTCTCCACAATAACTATATACATACGATAAATACATACACACACACATGCATACATACATCTGGTTGGTGGTTTGGAACATTTTTTATTTTCCATATATTGGGAATAGTAACCCCAACTGACTCATATTTTTCAGAGTGGTAGGTCAACCACCAACCAGGCGCGACTACTTTTCAGTGGAATCCTGAAAGATTCAACCCCAAGTGACTTCCCCAATGGAGATTTGCCCAAAGTCGATATGTGCAATTCTTGTTTATACCTATGGAATTTCCTATGGAATGATTTCCATATTATAATACATTATATGTTTATATATCATAATCATCATCATAATCATCATCATAATCATCATCATAATCATCATCATCATCATTATCATCATAACCATCATCATAATCATCACCATCATCATCACCATCACCATCATCATCATCATCATCATCATCATTCATTACTAATAGTTACAGCCAGAATAATGGTTGATGATGCTTAAATGAACGGTTTTACAGTAGTGAACTTAGCCAATCAACGATTCATGATGAGAACAATTAAGCCTCTATTTGTCCATATTTCATGTGTGATTCCCTTGAAGTGTTGTTCTATTTATCACTAACATTAGCAAGCTCACCCTAACATTAGCTACCTACTAGTATCCACTAGCAACATTGATTGCAGTAAATGACATGATACATTGATTGATCAACCATTGGGTACTAATCCTCTGTAAACCCATTAATGAATTACAAATGGTCATCCATGAATGGTGAATCAATGGTTAATCAATAGTAGTCCTGTAATCAATTAATCCTCTAACACTTCCATGGTCAACCATTTCATAATAACTGATTCCTCGATAGTAGTCCTCTATTATTCATCTATTACTGGTTAAAGAATGTTGCCTTCTTATTCTGTTGATTCCATTACTTGTGTTGCCTCCCCCTTCCATTAGTGAGTCTTAATCAATACATTAAGGTACTGAACCGACCATACTATACTATATATATATACACATGTGTCCATGTAGTTACCATTGAACCACTGATGGTTTGCCATGAAAATCAGTTATCGCTAGTGATTAACTAATGGTTTCAGTAACCATTGGTTACTAATCCTCTATTGATGCACTACAAAGAGATATAATGCCATTGTTCCATTGTATGTATTAATCCTTTACTGATTAATCCTTTATTAATTATCTTATTGGTTGATTACTATTCCGTTATTAATCATCTATTAGTTCCATATTAGTTCCACTATTACTAGTTCCAATGTCCCATGATTATTCCATTAATCCATGGAACAATAGAACGTGGAAATTGTTCCATTATTATTCCATGATTATTCCATTGTTATTCCATATTATTTCCATTAAACACTTCAATGGTTGACCATGATTATTAGTCCATTAATGGGCCACCAATCCATTATTAATCCTCTATTAATCATCTATTGGTTAACTAGTGATGGTTACTAATTAAGGATTATACTTTGGTTGACCATGAATGGAATATCAGTATTAATAAGCCCATTACCAATACTAATCCCATTAGTCATTATTATTCCATTAATTCCCTTACTAATCCCATTACTGACCATGATTATTCCCATTAGTAATGAACTACATTTCCTATTATATATTATTAATGGTTAACATTGGTTAGTATGTATTATTTACTATTAATATCAACCTTCATATGTTAACACTATTACAGTCAATATCATAGTTACTATTAATTTAATTTCATATATTAATATCATATGTTAATCATTTCCTATTACTATTGCTGGTTGGTGGTTTGGAACATTTTTATTTTTTTCCCCATTCTATACAGTGGGAATAATAACCCCAACTGACTTTCATATTTTTCAGAGGGGTAGGTCAACCACCAACCAGATTAATATCATAGTTGCTCTTAATAGTAAAGTTGCAATGTTAATAGCAATTAATGGTATTAATAACTATGGTATTAATAGTAACGGTATTGATATTAATAACTATCAATCACTATTATTATTCCATTAATACTAATGACTATTCCCTTTTTATTCCATATTAGTTCCATTAAACACTTCAATGGTTGACCATAATTATTAATCCATTAATTGGCCACTAATCCATTATTAATCCTCTATTAATCATCTATTGGTTAACTCGCGATGATTACTAATGATTACTATTAAGGATTATATTTTGGTTGACCATTAATGGAATATCAGTATTAATAACTATTAACCACTATAAACTGAGGTATTTTCAACTATAAATGGGGTATTTTCAATAGCTATATTAAATTACTAGAGGGTACTCTTAAATTACTATTAAAGATTAATTAATGGTATTAATAACTATGATATTGCCATATTAATGGTATGAATATTAATAACTATTAACCACTATTGGGTTAGTCTTATTCCATGGCGTTGCCAGGAGCAGCTGCAAGTCCTCCGCATCATGGGTTCCGCCGGTGCGGCGCTGGAAGACATCTCTGGGCGACTGGCGGCCTTGGCGCAAGGCGCTAAGGCGCTGGGGATGGGGAGGTGGTGGATGAAAAACCTAGGAAAAGCTAGGGAAACCTATGGGAAATCTATGGAAAATCTATGGTTTTTGGAGATTTTGGAGGTATCTTGGTGGAATCTTTGGATGAAAACATTGCCTTAGTATGTCAATTATGACATATTTTCCCCACCCTAGAATTGTGATAATCCAAAATTAACATGAGGTGTAAAATATCATGATTGTCTGGGATATGAAAACTTCAGTTGTAGTATAAAATATCCTTTGGATGGGTGGTTTGGGCGTGTGCTCTAGATGTTCTTTGGGTGAAAAATGGGATGGGCCCAAGATCAAGCATCATTACAGTTGTGATATATTGTGAGTTTGGGGTTAGAAACTCAAAAAATCACAATTCTTGCAAACACCGCTAGAATTCCTCCTGTCTGATGATTTTGGTTGGTTAGAATCCCAATGTTCCTTTTTTTAATGAAACATGTTGAAACTTCACCTGTTTTCAGAATGGTTTCATATTCGTGTCAGACATGTCCACGAAAAAGGACGACTTCCGTTTGAAGGTGGTGCCCCAGTTGTTAGTTGGCCATAAGCCCTGGTTGATTCACCAAACGTGATCTTTGCACCAACCTAGCGATTCGGAACTGGGGCGCCAGATTGGTATCACATTCTATCCCTTCAAAAACTCCCAAAGTTCGACAACATCACAGATACTACATTTGGTTGTTAAATCCCAATTCACCAACCATTTGTATCCATTTGTCACAATACATTCAAGTAGATCAGCTTTAGTGGATTCTCCTTGTAAAATTCCTGTTTGGTTGGTGGCTTGGAACATTTGTTATTTTTCCAGATATTGAGAATAACAATCCCAACTGACTTTCATATTTTTCAGAGGGGTAGGTCAACCACCAACCAGTTAGAGAACCCGAGTTCACGTGTTCATTCAACTATCCTTTGCACAGCGGCGCTGACCGATCAACAGCAATAAACAGTATTTTTTTTTTTCAGACTGGTAGGTCATCCACCAACCAGCTACCCTCTGGTAAACAAACATAGCTATTGAAAATGGCCATAGAAATAGTTGATTTACCCATGAAAAATGGTGATTTTCTATAGCTATGTTAAATTACCAGATGTTTTTTTTTAATTTTCCATACGTATATATATATATATATTTATTTATTGATTGGGAATAATTATCCCAACCGACGAATATGTTTCAGAGTGGTTAAAACCACCAACCAGCTATAGAATCTCACGGATCAACCATGGCATTCCCTCATGGATCACAGAGGCTCAAGACCTGGCTGATGTGGTGCTGGCGGTGGGCGAGCGGAGCTTCAGTTCCGACGCCTTGGCCCGGGGCGCCCGGAGGTCCTCTCTGCTGGGATCCGATGACGGGAAAATCGTGGGAAAATACCATGGGAAATCATGGGAATATGTGAAAATCCATGGTATGGATTTCCCATGATTTCCCATGGTATGGATTTCCCAGAATTTATAGGGTTTTCTTGGTAAAATATAGGTAAATATCTTCTCATCACCATGTTTGGGAAATTTTGATAGGTTTTTTTATAGGGACGACATCGTGGGCGAAAATCCATGGTGATGCCAAAAGGGCCGGGCCCCAAAAGTTGGTCTTGTAGGGGGTAGCGACCTTATGATTCGTGACCGAAGCTTGGAATCATGGCGAGGATTAGGGAAATCATCCGAGAAGGCCGCAAATTTCAGGTTAATGAAATATCCTGAGCTGATACAAGCTGGTGCCCCAGTTCCTTGGCTATGCAAGCCATGACCCATTTCTATAGATTCAACTATCAAACATGGTGGTGTTCCATATGTTAATTACCAGAAGGTACTTCACTTACATAAAAAACAATCTTCATTGATGAGTAAATATCCCATAAATATCCTATTAAAATCTATTAAAATCTATTTAAATCCACTAAACATCATGAAGACTCCCATTGAATCCCATGTCTGGTTGGAACGACCGCTGCTTTGAAAACGCGATTCTGAATCCATTGGCCCATTGGCCTCAGGTCGTGACATCACTTGCACTGCTTCGAAAAAGAAAACCGGGAAAAAATCTGGAAGCACGGAATGGTTTTTGTAAAAAGACTCGTCCAACTAAAAAAAGGGCTCATTTTTTGGGCGCCCGTTAAACTTTCTCACTTTCCATATTTCAAGTTTGAAGTTGGAAGTTGATATACCCTCTGGTAAACTAACATACTGTAGCTATTGAAAATCACTATTTTTAATGAGAAAATCCACTATAAATCACCATTTTCAATAGCTGTGTTAGTTTACCAGAGGGTACCCATCCTTCCACTTTGTTGTCCAAATTCTCCGAAGTTCCTTGGTGACGATCTCCACGGCTAAGGCCCAAGCCACACAGATACTGGCGGTGAAGTCTGGGACCCCCAGCTGGATGCTTGCCATATGGGGGTTTCCTAAGTCATGGGGGTACACCTTTATCGCTGGTTGGTTTATTTCATGGAAAAGCCCAATCCAAAATGGATGATTTATACTCCGGGGTGAGTACCCCCATGACTTAGGAAACCTCTATAGGGGCTTCCGACCTTCCAATTCCGACCATTTCTTGTGGTGAAATTCTGATTATGGCAGTGCATAGCATATGGGTATGGATCAATACCTATTAATACCATTTTTAGTGGGATGAACATCCATTTACCAGCTACTTTGGGGTTCACTAGGTACCAGGGTTTTGACCCATCCCCATATACAATAGTCATACAATGGAAGACAACCCAAGATGCCAAGATCCGTGCGGTTCAAGGAGCCCACCATCCTGGTGACAAAGATGGGGGATGTGTCGATGGGGGATGTCCCAGGAAAAATGGGCTGTTCAATCAAACACAATGATACCCTCTGGTAATTTGTTACATAGCTATAGAAAGTCACCATGGTAATTCCTAGGTTATAGATGGTCCATTTTCCATGGCTATGTTAGTCTACCAGAGGGTAAATCCCTGGTTGTTTCCGTGAGAGATGCTGATGTGGCAGACGGACTCACAGCTGAAGATGGACAGCACATCCGACAGCCCAAAGCATTCCTTCAGCAGTTTTGGGTCTTGGGTGGGTTTTACCTTTACACACATATATATATATATATACATATAATATTAAATATACTATAATAATAAGATATATATATATATTATGATATATTACATATATTATATTTTAAATATTATTATCGTATATATGTTTATCTATCAATCTATTTTTCTTTTTCTTTACCTAATCGTATCTTATCCATGCGTCCATCCATCTATTGTATCATAAATGCATACATGTATTGTGTATACATATGGATAGATATAGCCGGACATAGATAGTAGATATAGATTTTCAGATAGCTCTTAAAGAACATAAATCAACCACATTAGATAAATAAATGCGTAGATAAATACATATACGTGATATGTTCTTTAATAACCACAGTACTGTCAATGGATATGATATATGATTAGTTAGGTAGATAACTATGATACATCATATATACATACATATCATATATGATAGCTACATATAGGTAAAATAATAACTGTGGATGGACATCACCAAATCACCATTTTTATAGGTGGTTTAAACTATTCCCACATGGGTGGTTTATGGCATCGTTTTACCCACATTGCTATAGATAACTAGATAGCTGATAGATATATTCAATTAGATTATATTAGACAACTATCATACTATGATATACTATAAGTTATAAGGTCATATATACATATACATATACAATTACTATGTAGTAATTTAGATAACTGTTAGAATAAATGAGATAGATACCTGCATTTTGTCATATATGATAGCTACATATAGGTAAAATAGATAACTGTGGATAACAATAATAAACAATCCCCAAATCACCATAAATCTAATACTACAAGCTAAAACAAGCCTGTAAAAAACATAAACAAGTCTGTAAAATAGAAACATCTAAACATTATAGATATGTATCATCATCTAAACAAGTCTGTAAAAAACTATACAAGCTATAATAGCTACATATAGGTGACATTGAATCAGCCCGTGGATGGAATTCCAAAATCATCATAGATGGTATCCACATTACTATAGATCTGGTTGGTGGTTTGGAACATGTTTTTATTTTTCCATCTATATGGGAATTTCATCATCCCAGCTGACGAACTCATATTTTTCAGAGGGGTAGGCCAACCACCAACCAGTATCATTAGTTATCCCACCACATTACTTTAGATAATTATAGTAAAGATTGAGATATAGAAGATGTACATCTATAATTATTACTATACCTACATTGTGACCAGTATTACCAATAGTAATGTTTGTTGACGTATGATGATTATTGCCTATGACATCTGATATACTATTACTGGTATCTATAACTATGTTGACATATAATGGTATTAATAACTATGATATTGCCATATTAGTGGTATTAATATTAATAACTATTAACCACTATTAAGATGGACATTACTATAGATAACTATTACTATAGCTGCATTATCCCACATGGTATGAATATTAATAACTATGATATTTTCTATATTAATGGTATTAATAGTAATGGTACCCACATTACTGTAGCTACATTACTATATATATGTATAGGATTTTAACCATCAACAATAACTATGATATTGCCATATTATTATTAACCACTATTATTTCCATTAAACATTATAATTATGACTATAGCTACATTACTAATGGTGGTTAATAATAATTATGATAGCTGTAGCTATTATTATTATTATTTAACCGCCATTAGTGATATGCCAATATAATAGTTATATTATAATTATTTAATTATTGCCAAAATCATAGATGATTACTAATGATTACTATTAATGATTATCTATTAACTATTAATAACTATTAACCACGTCTATAGATGTACATTACTATAGATATACTATTGATATACTCTTGATATAATAGATATACTATTGAGTAATTACTATAGATATACTATTGATATAGATTACTATTGATATTGATTGTGATTATTTCTCCTACAATATCTATTAATATTAATAACTAATCCATTATTATTCCATTGAATTTCCATTAAACGCTTCAATGGTTGACCATGATTATTAATCCATTAATTGGCCACTAATCCATAAATTAATCCTCTATTCATCTATTGGTTAACTAGTGATGATTACTAATGATTACTACTAAGGATTATATTTTGGTTATATCCATTAATGGAATATCAGTATTAATAATCCCATTACCAATACTAATCCCATTAATCATTATTATTCCATTCATTCCATTACTATAGAAAAACCATCTCCTTCATCGCCAGGTTGGGTGGTTTGCAGCTGCCCGCCGCGCGCCTCTTGGAGCTGGCGGTGGCTTCCACGAAGAGCTCCAGCCTGGCGCCGGTGGTGGGCGCCGTGGCACCTCGGTTGGTTGCCACGGGGGGGGGGACGCGCCAGGGAGAAATGCCAGGTTTATGGACGTTGAAAGAATGAAACCTGGTGAAACACCAGGAAAAATGAGGGAGAACTAAGGGAAATGTTGGGATTTGACTGGGTTCTAGGGATTTTCAACAATCAAAATTAGGGATTTCACCATGAAACATCGGGATTGAAATCATTTAGACATTTGAATTTAACATGTTTTAACCATAAATGGGGAGAAACGGTTCAAATTTGGGATTTAGCAATGATTTAATCACAAATGCAGACCAAACATAAGAAAAATGGATAAGGATTCAATTTTAACCATAAGACATGGAGGGAAATCATAAAATGGAGTTTCAACTATGCCAAAGTTAGGATTCAACACGAAAAGCTGAGATTTCATGAATGACTGACCGATGTGATTTTGTGTGTCTGAAAATTGGTTCCAAACCTTCAAATTGCTATTTCAAGCGGGAACAATGATGATACACCATAGGTTTGGGGTGCATTCATATGCAACATAAACCACTTAGAAGTGGGATGAGCACCAAAGTAAGCCTTTTGGGCCATACAGCTAGCAAAGAAATAGATATTTGGATATATTTGGGAAAACCTTTCAATACGAGAGATGGGGTGTTCGCAGTAATTTCGACACCAGACATTGTAGGTGGGATGCATCGGCTGGGCGTCACGAGCAACTGGCGAAAAATTGCTAGATATTTTGTCGTGGAGAAAATTGGGGTTCCATAAATGGTGGAAATCCCAAATTTCAGTGGGTGAAGTCACACGACTTGTAGCTGCTAACACCAGTTTGCATCATTTCGAGATATGTTAAAATCACAAAAGTATAAAAGAGTACTATTTGTTGCATGGTATCCCCTGGTAATTTATGGTAATTTAATCGTTTGCTATGGAAAATCACCATTTACGGATGATATGAAACATGGTGATTTTCCATACTGAAATTGGCCGAGAATACATCACCCCCATCTTCATATTGTCGATTAGTAAGATCCCGTTAACTTCCATTAAACATCATTAAAACCATCATCTGGTTGGTGGTTTGGAACATGTTTTATTTTTCCATATGTTGGGAATAATCATCCCAACTGACTTTCATATTTTTCAGAGGGGTTGAAACCACCAACCAGTCATGTTGTGCCTGCAAAATCATGATTTTCCCCACGTTTTCCCCACGTTTTCCCTGGTGAATTCCACCTCGTGGCGCCGAGGCTCGCGCGGTCACGGCGGACGCGGCGGCGTGGCCGGTCAGCGACCTGGTGCGGCTGCTCCTGGCGGTGGCCAAGGCGAAGAAGGCGCGAAAAGAAATCTTGGTGGGAGGGAGGGCTGGTGAACGTCCTATTGTATATTGTATACATGTAGTTTTTTTTTTTAAAAAAATATATATATATATATATATGATCTTCTAGTATATTAAGAGTATGATATATCTATATAATATAATCTAATTAAATATATCTATCATCTAATCATCTAGTTATCTATAGTAATGTGGTTAAAACAATGCCAAAAACCACCCAGTTGGGAATTGTTTATACTACCTATAAAAATGGTGATTTGGGGGATGGCATACTAAGTATCATAAAGACTTATTTATTGCCATATATTAATTACCATTAAACCATGCATTAATGTTATATTAGTCATAAATGGTGAACATATACCACTATAATATTTACCAGTGAGACTTACCATGTATGATTAACAAAATAATGTAAGACTTACCATTCATGACTCATAAACAAAACAAAAGTAATAATTGGTATCATATTACTACTGGTTACTAAATGTTACTAATGTCATGCTGTACTATAGATATTATACTAAGACTAGCAAATGATAATAATACACTGGCATGAATAATACCTTGTGATGACCACAGCAAGATATTTTTTGGGTGAGGTACAGCTGTTAGTCCTCCTGAAATGTGATATTTGGTGAGCGCAGGTGATGGTTTCTTTGTTTGCCATGTCAATGCTTCTTTTCTGCAAACATGTGCAGAATCAGACATGTCAGGGACTGGCATTCTATATATATATATGATTTATTATATATACATATGCATATGCATATACATATCACATGTGTTCAAATATATTGATGTTATTTTGTTGAATGTCCCAAATTTGAGCAACACAACCCGCAACCAGAAACTGCTCGGATACGGATCGATGCTAGCCAAGTCTGGGCCGCAATTCAATCGGTGAATTAGGGCTTCAAACATGGTGGATTACAAGATACTATAAGTACAAATTTGGGTTAATCCAAACAAGTTCTTGAAGTCTAATATGATCCCCCCTCCCCCTCCGAATAAAAAGAAGGTATTTTTGTGTTGTTTCCTATTCTGGTTGGTGGTTTCAATCATTTTTTATTTTCCATTTCATATATGGGATGCCATCCTTCCCATTGACGAACTCATATTTTTCAGAGGGGTGGCTCATCCACCAACCAGTTTGGGATATTTTTACCCATCAAATCTTCCACATCATATACTGGAACAGGCAATTTTGCTCCATCTTCCCACCTCCAAATGACATCCTGCTTGAGTTCCATGTTTTTTCTTCGCGTCAGGCCTTGAACGTGGAGGACAAAGTGCAGCTGCTAAGACATGCGGTCGAAAGTCCCAGGGGGAGAACTCTCGAGTTTGGGCGGCGCACGGCGTTGTTTTGTGGTTCGCAATGATATGTCCAACCCTTTGGTTGAGAATTTTCTCACTAATTATCTAATGTCCAGTAAGCTATTACCCTTTGGTAATAAATATTGTGTATCATTATAATTATATAATATCCAAGTATGTATCAATATCTATTACCCTTTGGTAATTAGTGACATAGCGAACTGGAAAATGGCCCATAGAAATAGTTCATGTACCTATTAAACATTGTGATTTATTTATAGCTATGTTAGTTTACCAGAGGGTAGCAGTTATGATATCTCTATATCTTCTGGGTTTGTTAAATTTACCAATGGAAAATCCAGCTTTTTTGGGGAATCGATAGGGATGGGTGACATCCACCCCTGAAACATGTGAGGATGATATCTTGTCATCGGGAATATCTTCGATCTATTTAAATCGTAGTTGAAAGGAAGAAAAACTAAACTGGTTGGTGGTTTGGAACATTTGGATTATTTTTCAATATATTGGGAATAATCATCCCAACTGACGAACTCATATTTTTCAGAGGGGTAGGTATACCACCAACCAGTAAAGGTTGTGCCAAGTTTATCAAGTTGTATTTGCGGGTTTAGGGCTGATGGATCGAGAGAGATGATTAGATGGATTTAGATGGGTTTGTAGATAAACTTTTAACTGAGCGGGCATCACTTTAAGAGTTTGTACGGACATGGTTTTATCTCATTGGCTTGTGATTGATGCTTTTCCCATTCCCGCCCAAGTGCGGTAAATGGCTTACATCAGGTTAATATATCCCATGGCACATTTTAACAAAAAAAACCTACATTTATCACACATATGTGCACATGTGAGGCACGTTCAAAACCCTCGTGTTCATGTTTAGGAAGGGGCCCCTTGTACGGGTGTGGCGTAAGCGTGAGAGTAAGCTAGCGTCAGGTCCGCGTAAGACAAGGTATGTGTAAGCAAAACCTGTGCGCGTGTAAACAAAACGCAAGCAATAGCGCAAGCATGCGTAAGCATTTCCTCCTTTGGTGCCAGGATATAAGATATTTAGAACATGGCGCACGTGCGTTTGTTCCAAAGGGCATGTAGGAGAAAATTCAGATTGCATCCCAAGTTTTCTTACGATCTTCTGGTAACACCAGTAAATATTTAAGTTCTACCAATGTTTACGTACCCCTTCTACCTGACAACATGCGGATCAAATACAGGAATCCCTGCAGAATGCATACCGACATGGGGATGGGACTCCTGGAATTGGCAATTTGCAGCCAGAAATTGTGGTGGAAAATTGCAAATGATGCCTCTTCACCCATGTTTCCTTTGTATTTGGGGTGTTGATGCCTTTGAATCCACTGATTTTCCACATCATTTTGTCGATGGCCTTTACAATCATAGCTTTTCCAATTGGTTGGTTGGCCAATAGAGTGGACATCCCAAATAAACCATTAATAAGCAAATGATACCAAACCGCCCCATACATGTTTTTTTAACCAAAAGGTCAGTCTGATTTCAACCACTATATCCAATATTTTGGATACTATTGTTCCAATGATGTTCCCCATGTCTTGATAAAATCACTATAACTGGTTGTTGGTTTGGAACATTTGGATTATTTTCCCATCATATTGGGAATGTCATCATCCCAACTGACTTTCACTAACCCATATTTTTCAGAGGTGTAGGTCAATCACCAACCAGATTATTATTAACCATCATTAACCATTAATCATAACCATTAATATTAACCATATATTAATAGTATATTACCACTATGGTTAATATTAATGGTTAATATTAATGGTTAATATTAATGGTTAATATTAATGGTTATTATTTGGTTAATATTAATGGTAATTATGGTTAATATTAATGGTTATTACCATTAATAGTAATATAAAATCACTATGTTCCAGTTCTTTCGCCATATTTCGCTGAGACCTGCCGAGGCCATCGCCCTAAAGCCCCAACTGGGCTCCTTGCCATCGGCAGATGTCATCAAGTTTCTTGGCACCCAGCGACGAAAACAAAGGATGGGTTGGGTTGATGTTGGATGATTTTTTCGCTGGGAAACATATAGCAAAACTGCTTGGTGGTTTGGAACATGTTTTATTTTTACATATATTGGGAATAATCATCCCAACTGCTTTTCATATTTTCAGAGGGGTTGAAACCACCAACCAGAAAATTAATCGCAAACGGTCTTTCATAATCTGGCCTCACCTTTCAACTAACCTGACATTTAAACCACATAAATGGGAGAGAAGGGAATATCAATGGATTATCAATCGAATCTTAACTGGGATCCTAATGGAAAAAGCTGGGACAATGGATGGTAAACGGATGATATGTATATATTATATTATATATATTATATGTGTGCATATTTATTTATTTGCGTGATTTCACAAATCATGGTGATTGATGGCATTCAGCGCCTTTATGCATTTGCACGCAGTTTGTTATCACCCTGGCCTTCAGGCTGGATCAGCGTAGAAAGTTCGAAGTTGTTAGCAGCTGTGAGCAATCTGTGGAAGGAGCTTGAGCTTTGGTAGGCTTGCTACTCCTCCAAGAATGTGACGGCCATGCAATCTGGGTGCCGCACCAGCCATTTGGCTGCCCAGCATTGCTGTAATTTGCCAATGCTGGGAATACCAGTCATATGGACTCCATGGGTCGCATTGCCAGTTAGCAAGGCCCGCACTAGGGTGTACATCATCCGACCAACCCCAATGACATCCTCCATGACACGGGCCAGGCCAATCCATTGGAATTGGAATCCCGGCCCGGAAATCCCCGAAGTGAATGGAGGTTTAGTGCGCTGGGAACATCATCGAACTAGATGCGGGTTTTCCAGCCAGCCACGTTTGATTATCAGAGGCTACCCTGAAAATCCAAGATGAAGCCCAAAAATCAATCTTGGATTAAGACAAGGAATCAAAGCAACATTCAACATGAAGTTTTACTTACCAAAACATCCAAAACCTCGAGGATATGCAAGCAGTAAAAGTTAGATTTAAGAAGGAAAGCCCGGGACGCTTCATTAGGGAAACAGAATGAAAGCGAACTGAACACTCTGAAGTCAGCCACTGAATCAAGCCTGCAATCCCACACATGTGTTTTCTTGCTTCAAATTAGTGGTTTACAAGCCAGTTCGCATTCAGTTTGTAGTTCATTTTGGGTTGATTAATTTGATCCGAAGTTGTTCAGTCAGGAGGACTTTAACCGCAAGCTACAACATCTCTATTGTTGCTCATGTATCTATTTATATGATATATATATATACATGCATTTACTGCACATTAACATGTATAGATTATATTGAAATATGTTGAATAGTGTAATTATGAAGTGTAGCTATTTCATTTATACTTGTCTTGTCCCCAAAAAGATGCCGAAGAGTTGGTGTTTTTCATCACTGCGGAAATAGAGGATTTTCCCAGCTACAAACCCCCGTTCAGTGCGAGGATTTTCCAGCCAGTCACGTTTGATTACCGGAGGGCACACAGTCACAGTCATCCCCAAACAGATAGAGTTTAGATGAGAGTTTAGATGAATTTAGTAATTCATCACTATAACAGTGGTTTGTTTTTTGATTTGTTTGCTTTTTTGTTGGGATTACTGTATACCTTTTATACAAGGTGGTGCCCCCTGAGTTATAAGTTGGTTTAGTTTCACCGCGTTGACTAGTTCGATTTGACTAGTTCGATATATCTACCATAAACCATAGAACTCACCTATAATTGTGGAGGTTTCCTAAAATAGGGGTACCCCCAAATCATCCATTTATAGATGGATTGTCAATGAAACAAACCATCCAGCTATTGGGGTACCCTCATACTTAGCGATTCGAAACTGGGGGCGCCACCTTGATTTATCCCATGATATTTCCCGATAGAAATCAACCTGTCTATTGCGATATTTTTTCGTATGGGTGAAAATTTCATGAAAATTGGGTAGCCCTAAAGACTTTGATGAGTCATACTAAAAATAGACAAGTCGATTGACCAAGTCAATGATTCATACCCCAGATGCTCCATGGTGCTGGAATATTTACCAACATTTGCCCGAACAAAATCACCCTGTTTTGTATATACCATACATTGAGCATCTGGGTACTAAAAAATGGTGCCCTTTGTCTTCTATTTTGACATGTTTCCACCAGGCTGGTGCTGGCGGTGGCTGGCGACGGCCAGTCAGACCTGCTGGAGGCTTTTGCACCATGACGTGTTGTGTATCTGGATGGGATAACTACCATCTTGTTATTTAACATAGCCATGGAAAATCCCTTATAAATGGAGGTTTCTAGCTGGGAAAATCATCTATAAATGGGCCATTTTCCATGGCGAAATGTTAAATAACCAGAGGGTAACTCGATGATTCACGTGAAGAGTGAGATGGTTAGAGAACTTGGGGAACCCGAGTTCAAGTGTTAAATCATCATCATTGCCATTATCCCCAACCTTGGATAGGTAGTTTAACCCTCTAGGTCCTTGCTATAAATGGAACATAACCATGACAAGCAACAGATTACATTTCTTTGTCGGCTGCCAAAGGTTGACCATTATTTTATCCTTGATTTGCTGAAGAGGTTTTTTTCCCCCTATGGGAAATCCAGTACTAAATCTGTTGTGGGAATACAAAACCTTCCAGGACGGGTTGGGATCATCAAACAGCGAATGGATGAAAATGGATCTTTGTTTCTCCAAATAGTACCCTTTACAGTAGTTATTTAACGTACGGAAAGTAATTGTGGAGAATCATCAGTTTTAACAGTAAAATCACCATAAATCATTTATAAATGGGCCATTGTCCATAGCTATGTTATATGACCAGAGGATATCTCGGATGATCAGTATTTCTGCATCAATGATGCAGAATAAACAAACCCATGGCTAGCTGTCATTGGTGGGGTTGGTAAATGCCAAGCCAAAGAGACTCTGAACATCACCAATCCAAGCCATTGCGGCCCATTTTTTGGTGGTTTCGAACATCTACCCTGTGGTAATTCAACATATGGAAAGATCCAACATTTTCGATAGGTAAATCGAACTCCATGGGCCATGGCTTCCATACTTTTTTCAAATTATTGGCGGGATTTCGTGGGCAATCCTAATTATACAAACATATGCTTTGATGTGTTTTCTCCTCATGTTTCAAACATACAAACTCTGCAAATCCATCCGCTATTAGACATATCCTATCCACCGCTCCAATCCAGCAGTTCGCCTAGTGAAATCAAGCGTTTGGTGGCCTCGTCCTGCTTGAAATGCGAGGATATCCGTTATAACAACAGCATCGATTTATAACATGGACAAATAAATATCCTTGCGGAGCATGGATAGTACCATTTTCTCCATCAGTTTCCAGCATGTTTCCATCATGTTTCATCGTTTTACATCATTTTCTTCATTTTCTTCATCATTTTCTTCATCATTTTCATCATTTTCTTCATCATGATTCATCATTGCCCATCATTTTCCACCATGTTCCGTCCGTTTTCCATCATTTTTCATCCATGCTCCACCCATTTCCAGCAATTTCCTCATAAGACTCCTCGAGTCACAACTTTCTGGCCTGCATCCCTTCGGAAAAGGCGGCCGCGGAAGAGGCGATCGACCGTCCCTTGCCTTCAGACATGATGGGAATTGGAACTGGTAACGAGCCCAATGGAACAGATGCGAAAATATGCCTTAGTGGTTTCAGCTTGGTGTTAATGTCTGACTGACAAAGATGTCCGATACTTTTTTGGAAGGTTGGTGTTAGGGAGCGTCTTTTTAAGGGTTTGGATGTGTACAATGATTATTTTTTTGACAGAGACATGGTGAAAATGATGAACAATTGCCATAGCCAGTTACAATATGGGTCGATAGTTGATTGTTTTTCTTAAAAAAAGTGGACATATGATTAGACATGGCCGTTACAACGTGGATTCGAAATAGGTGCTTTGGCGTCTACATCCAACGCTAAGAACGAGAAATGTATAGAACCGTGGGTTTGGGTGATGGGCCAACTTTTGGCTATAAGATATGCTCTAATGATATGTATAACAAATGGAGGAGCATGATTCATGATGCTTCCTTTAAACTGAACTTTCTCAGCATTTGAATGTCCCTTTTTAGGGGCCAAACCTTCTCCGGAACACGGCTGAGCGACCCTGATTTTCATCCGATCAACTCATAGCAGTGCCATGTTTGGGTTCATGGTCGGTGCCTGCCCATGGATTTTTTTTTCGGACATGCCCAGTGTTTTGGTGGCAAAACTTGCCTTACTGCAAAAAAAAATAGATACCGTATGCCGTGTATTTTTGGTCCTGTTGATGGCAAAGGCTCTACTGTGAAACTCTGGGTACCTCCTGGGCTCCCTACCAGGGTGAAGTGACCTGGGCTGGACGAATTGGGGATATTGAAGTAGCAGATTCTTCACCATTTGGGGGTCCAGTAAACCCCTTGATGAATCAACCAGGGTTAATCTGGGGGTTGACACTAGTTATATCTCAGCTGTCAGTTATAACGTCATGAACCATAACATCTGGTTATTTAACAGTTCGCCATGGAAAATCACCATTTTATAGCTAGGTAAACCATCTATTTCTATGGGCCATCTATACCATGGCGAACTGTTAAATAACCATAGATATATCTACCGTAGACATCCATGGACGACCCTAGTTCCACAGAATTGGATGGGAGTCGTTACAGGAAAGCTGATCTTCATGGAAAAATCGATGGTTTCCTATAGATTTTCCCTTGAAACCCATTGGTAGATACGTTGTCCACCATATCCCACAGCACCTACTGTATAATGTGGTTTAAACAATGTAAACAATGCCATAAAGCATCCCCCAGTCATCACCATTTTTATGGATGGTATTCCAACCATCAAGAATGGAGTGGTTTATGACATGGTTGTAACATGGTTTTAATCTTTACACATCATAAACCATAGATAACCATACGTAGGTATATCATGATATATCTACCATAGACCCTATGTCTTCAACATTTTCAACCACATCCCACACCTCCAAAATCACCTGACGGCCTCCCGATCCTCTCAGCTTGACCAGGGCGGATTTCTGGCTTCCCGCCGGCGCAGCTTCTGGTCCTGTCACAGGCGTCCCCGCCCGCGGCGTCGTACCGCTGGTGAGTATACTATAGAATTGAAATATGTGGTGTGCATATATATATATATGGTTGGTGGTTTGGAACATTTGGATCATTTTTCCATACATTGGGAATTTCATCATCCCAACTGACGTTCATATTTTTCAGAGGGGTTGAAACCACCAACCAGATAAATAAATAAATAACTATATATATATATACATCTGTGTGTGCTGAAGGATTTTGAAAACTGTTGGTGAGAACAAACCATGTCCATGTCATGCGCCAAAAATGTGCCCGAGTAGGCAAAAAGGCCCAATAAGAAAAATGAGGTCAGTAGTGTCAGCCGCTAAAATTTTATCTTGAAATTGTCCATTTTGAAAACCAAACAACTAAAATTCTGGCATTGTCCTTATGCACAATCATTGTCGATCAGTATTGTTACTAGTGCATACATCATGTTTACTTCCAGGCCAATTATAGAGTTATCAGTTATCACATGTTATCACATGTTATCCAATGTTATCACCATCATCATCATCATCATCATTTGTTGCTGGTGTTTTATTTGATATACTGTATTTGGTTTATCATTCCTCCACGTTTCATGTAAGGATGTTGGGGAGGGAATGTCACCATAACCTGTCGCCCGCCAGGGTCTTGTGGGTGGCCTTGGTGGCAAGCACTCCCTGGTCGAACGGTGGCTGCCATAGATTTCGGCGCTTGGGCGGTTGGGGGGTCCCGGGGGATCCCTCTATTTTTTGGATGATTAGTTTGGTGCCCCCCAGTTTGGGAAACCTCCAGTTGTCCCAAAAGATGTGGATTTCATATGGTTTCATATTCACCAAATCACCAAAAGAACATGATCTATTCAATCTGTTCAGTGGTTAGGAGGGAGCGATTTTTCGAGCTCCTCCAGCTGGAAATGTCGGGGTGAAGCCGTGAAGCCAGCCTTTTGTTAGTCGGTGGTTTATTGTTGTTGAAAGGGCCAGGATTTTGAGACCATCAGCTTACTGGAACTATGGAGTTTTTGCCATCTTTTGCCCATATGATACGTTCAAGGTCATCCAAAATGAATGCTAAAAAATACCCAGCGTTGGCTGAGGAAAATCTAGTTATATCCATTTGATTCCATATGTGTTTCCTAACCAGCGCTCAATGATTGTCGACTCATGGCTTTCCCCAGGTTTTTTCATGTTTTTTCTACCGAAACCACAAACCTGCTCAACCAGAATGTGGATGTTTGCTGCACCGATTTAGGAAGGTAAACAAGGCCAATTCCAACTGGAAGAGCTTCTTCCCAGCCATTCGTACTGATTCCGTATTGAATTTGGTGCTGCCGGGTAGGCTTGGCCTGCAGATGTGGAAATTCGAAAACCTTGATTTGCTGAGTCAATGATTTGGCTATATTTGGTTTATTTTCCCGGGGTCCTTAAGCAAATCCAAGCAAAATCTTTTCAAATTTGATACGTGGATGATTCTCGGCTCAGCCCTTTCTTGCACTGTCCCCCAATTTGATTGACGAGGGGCATCTACGGGCCTAGAAGGAAATTGAGGGGGCGCAACCACACAATCCAAAAACATGTTTGTTGATGGGCCAGTTGAACATCATCAACATTCCAAGCCGAAATGATGGAATATAATGGAATATACCCTCTGGTAATTTAAAATAGCTATTGAAAATGGCAATTTATAGTGAGCTTTCCCATTAAAAATGGTGATTTTCCATAGTTATGTTAGTTTACCAGAGGGTAATCATATGTAATCTCATCAAAGTGATAGACAAGTTCCTCTGGATTGATTCAAAAATATCTCCATCAACAGCGGAAGTTCCCATATGAGGCGGGTGGTTTCCCCCCGTGTTTTCCATGGTTTTCGGTAAAGACCACCCGAGGCTAGCGGAGTTTTGGACCGAAACCCTGAAGGAGTGGACCAAGGCAGCCGGCCATTGATCAGGTTTGCTGAGCTTATTTGGGTGTATTTATCATGTCTTATGATGGCTTAGTGTGGTTTATTGTGGCTTATTGTGGTTTATTGTTGTTTATTGTGTTTTTCGTGCTTCGTTGTGGTTTAGTTATGAACAATTGCGGAATGATGGGTAGTGTTCATGAATCACGGCAAAAGCATGGCTTTCATGATGCTTCTCATGATGGTTTTCACAATGGTTTTCATGCAAATAGTATGAAGGCATGAAGTGATGGTTTATGATGGCAAGATGATGGCTTATGATGGCTTGTGACATATTATGACCCCCCCAGAATGCTCTGCATGGTAGTCCTGTTTGGGAGAGCTGATGATGGTGAACCGGCATATAGAGTTGGTTTGTGTTCAAAACAACATGGCACAAAGGAACTCTCGATAGGCAGAATCATTGAAGTAAAAGGGGTCAGTCATTCCGAGTATCTGGTCTGGTTGGTGGTTTTGAACATGTTCACCTTTTCCATCATTCATCATCATTCTATCCTATTGACATTCCATTGGCATTGGTATTTTTCAAGAAGAATGATCCCAACTGACTAATATTTTCAGAGGGGTTGAAGCCACCAACCAGCATTGGTATTTTTCAAGAAGGGCACTTGACGAAATTAAGGCATCCAAGCATCCAGACACCGATTTCCAGGGCAGCTGAAGCTGAAGAGATCCAACAACTTTTCCAGGTGAAACAAGTGTGGGCCAGAATCATTGCGGTTGGTTGGTGGTTTCAAACATGAACTTTATTTTCCATGATATATGGGATGTCATCCTTCCCATTGACTTCATATTTTTCAGACGGGTTGAAACCTCCTACCAGTTGCGCTTGGATGGTTTAGCAACTTAGCATCAAACAAAATTGCCAGACGTTGGGTACTTCTATGGTTTCACCCCTCAAACAATGACCCATTTGTGAGCCGAAACTCAACGTGCTTAGCATGTTGAGCAACCCCGTCTGCCAAGCGCTTGCGGGCTTGTCCGAGGATAGGGTTGCGATGGGTTACGGCAAATTGCCATGGGTTGATCCTCCGAGCAAGCCAATGGCACGGGGCATCATGATTTCAATCCAGACGTCTATGGAATTGAAAGAACATGATGCATTGGATACATTGTCCATATTGTCCATGGCGGGCACCCCCAAATCTGAGATGGTTGATGGTGACATTCCATGAATCATGACCGTTTGTAGGTGCCGCCCGATTTGAATCCATTTGAGACAAACCCTTTAATTGTGGTAGGTACCTGCACATCAGGCTTGTGAAAATCCGATGGAGCATGTGTAGCCAATTGATTGCCTCAAACATGGTGAGTTTCCATTCCAATGAAAATTCTGCTCGTTCGGTTCATTCATTTTGGACATATTATTAAGTCTCAGGGTGCCATGATGCCAAATGCCCGTTGGCCGTCGGTGGTTCAAGAGATGCCCGGTAGGGAATTCCATGTGACTGGTTTTCAAAGGGTTGAGTGACGTGAAAAATCCAGTTTTAACATGTTTTCACCACATTGCAGCACCATGTCAGGGGATATTTTCCATTTTGGAAGTTTTTTTTTGCTTAATTGCCCCGACGTTATTTAAAAAAATACAATACATCACTTTTGTTTTGTGATTCCAGGTGTCATCGACTAGGTTCTTTGGTCTACAAACCCAGGACTGACTTTGGATCAACCGATCCGAAGCATGGCCAGGGTGGCTCCAGAAGTCGACTTCGGCTCCAGCACAGGGCTGGAGACAGGGAGAAGTCATGATGACCGAGGGTGGATCCAGGTCAGTCGGAAGGCTCTGTCATGTTTGCTCCTCATCGCTTTCACAGCAGGCCGTATCACTGGAAACCTTGTGAATGTTCTGAATTCAATGAGCCCCGAGTTGTACGGGGACGTGCCCATCCCAGTGCAAGTGTTCGACTGCTTCTTCCGGCCGCTGCTTGGTGGTCTCAGCTTCATTCCATTCTTCCGCTACGATGACGGGTCGAGGCTTTACCGGCTCAGCCATTTTGTGTGTATTCTGACGCTATTCGCCTCGTCTTGGCTGGAGCTGATGGCAGCGACGCGGACGAGTATGGCGGATTTTGTTCCTTGTTTGATTTTCTTCTGCTGGTGCAGCCGATTCGGCCTAGCTGGAGTCACAGTGTTAAAGCTCCACGCCCTTGGCTGGCGCCGCACGGGCCGGGTCTGCCTCTGGGCTTGGTTCGGGTGGCTGGTGGCCCGCGGCTTCGTCACCGTTATGATCACGTACGCCATCCTCGGGGGCACCATGTACTTTTTCGCTGTCATTCTCCTCCACGCCTGTCAGGGCCTCATCTCAGCAGTGAGTGGATTCGTTCTGTTGTACGAATCTCACGTGAAGCAAAGGCTGTTGCCAAAGATTATTGACAAAAAGTTTGCCCAATCTGCCTCCAGAGTGGTGTGGTTTTTGCGCCTGGGCGCGTTCCTGACATTGTTGGATGCAGTTTACTTGCCCTTGGTGGAAACCTACTATAGCTACCCCGACTCCGAGCACGAGATTCACCTGAGCCCTGCCCTGTTTCTGACCTTTGACAACAGCGTGGTGCTGGCATCTATCCTTATTCTTGGCGGAGTCATTGGACCAAAAGACACATTGGACCAAATCGAAGTGATGGCAGAGTTGGAGCACATTGCATACATTGCCAGAACGCGGGGGAAACGAATTGCCTTCCCAGGGAAGCTGAATCGCCACTCACAGCACTGCATCGTCAGCTTCCCTGGCAAATATTCGTCCGAAACTTGATTTGAGTCGGGGTTGTGCGGTGGGCAATTTCGATTGAAATGTTATAATTCATAGCAGTGCTGGAAAAGGTGCAGGGTGTAGAAGGGTGAAACCCCAAAACCATTGGTTGATGGTTATATTGATACTTATACTATACATGTAGTTCCATGCAGTTCCTTTTTGTAAGTCCATTAGACATGCTCAATGTTTCCTCACCTGCCAGGTGAGGGTCTCTAGATTTTATTAGAGTTCCTTCCCTCCTTCCTCCTTCCCCTTCCTTCCAGATCTGAGTGGGCACCGCCGGTCAACTGCGAACTCCAGATTAGAGTGGGCACTCCGGACTTCAACCCCGAGCTCCAGAGCAGTGGGCACTACCAGGACATCAACCGCTACCGCCAGCTCCAGGTCTCTGTGGGCATTCGGGGACCTCAGCGGCGAGCGCCAGATCTTAGTGGGCACTACTGGACCTCAACCGCGAGCGCCAGATCTCAGCGGGCACTGCTGGACCCCAACCGTGGACTCCAGATCTCAGTGCGCATTGCCGGACCTCAGCCAGACGCCAGAGAGAATGTCAGATAGAATGCCATGAGCAATGCCAGAACACATGCCAGAAAGTATGTCGAAATGGGTGCCAGATAGAATGTCAAAGTATATGACAGAAAGAATGTCAGATAGAACGTGAGAATATTTTCAGACAATGGCGGAGATTGTGTCAGAATAATGCTTCAGGTTAGGGATCACTCGAAGAAAGTAATTTGGAGGCAATTGCTCGTACCCCATTTTGGGTGGCATACTCATCCAGATTATGTTGTGCATCCTAACCGTGCTGCATGTAGCTCAACGACGTTGCAGATCTTGGTCACATGATGAAACGCTTGTAGAATTTTTTCAGTGCTCCTGGAATAAAGTTGGAAGAGGCGCGTCCAGGTCCATGTCGACTTTGTTTGAAATTGTGATTCTCAAGGTCTAGTTTTGATAATTGGTACATGGCCATCCAGACGGGGTACTCTAGCTCATGACAGACCCATTCATTCAGCGATGCCGAAGGGATCAACCTCTCGCACCGTCCTACTGTGAGTGCTAAAACATCCCATGTTTTCTGGCACAGGCCGCTGCTTCAAACTGCTTGGTCGACAATGACCAGAAACCAAAACGAGAATGATCTGATCTATAAGGCACATGTGTCCATCCATGTGAGTAGCGTTGACTATAGTTTTATGGTAGGGACGTCAATGATTGACGTTGTGAATAGTTGAAGGCAAAGTGTAGTTGTGACCTAGGAGTGGGATGCTGCAGTGCGGATGGTGGAAGCCAATTCTCGTGCGTGTAGCCTGGCTTGCGTATTCTTGACCGATCGAGATTCTGGCCTGGGAGTGCATGAGGACAACCCTGAGGAACCGGGCCATTGCTGGTGCAAAGCGCTCTATGGCCAGCTACCGGCAGCGACGTACATCAGCATAGTGGAAGATCCAGGGTCCATGAGCGCAGAGGACCTTCGTTTCAAAGAGAGCGATGCTGCTGCCATGGGTCAAATCTTCCTTCAGAGAGAGGGTCAGAGTGACCAGCAATGGCATGAAGACAAAGAGGCCGCAAAGACGGCTGCAAAGAAGAAGTGTGAAGAGAATTGTGGCCGTGCTCCTTGGGGCTGCCGTTGGTTCCATGATTGGAAAGCTAACGTGGGGCAAGCGGTGGTCCTGGGCCAAGCGCTGCATGTGTTTTATTTTGAAGGCATGGTCGGGTGTGGGAAATTGTCGTGGCAGGAACTCTCAAACGAGACTTCTGTCAAAGAGGCCCGCAAAAATAGCGGCCTTGGAGCATCCCAGACTGCAGAGGTAGCCTACTTAGAAAGTTGTGGCTACCAGTTCCAAGAGCACGATGTCGCAGAGTTCGACGATTTCATGACGTCGCACACAGCAATCGAAACCATTTAAGTTCATCCAGTTTCACTCGAGGTTGATGCCTCAAAAATTGCCGAAAATGCATTGCACGTGAGGTGGTCAAGATTGCTAACAAATAGCCAAACTCTTGGGATGATCATCAACCCACTTTTAGTCTCGCAATTGTTGGGATGCCAGGGTATGAGGCTTTTCACCCATGATACCCATGGACATGTGTTCTTGAATTAAGGAATGTACGCTCCAAAATTGCTTTCCCCAATGGAAATCAATGCAAAAAGAACGTATTATACATACATATACAAATATATATATATATATATATCCAATAATGAATAATAATGAAACATTAGATCTCTGGGTTCCTAGGCTTGAGGTGAAATTCCGCCCGGTCAGGGATCTGGAGGTGGCTGGGATAGCGACGATGAAGTCTGGGAAACTCGGGGTTTTCGGCGGGCGTTAAGCGTTCTGGTTATGTCTGGTTCTTAAGGGATGTGGCTAATGGATGTTTCATAAGTTTGAACGGCAAATCCTCTGAGAAGCCCTGGCAAAAAAAAGGGGTTTAACGAGTTTAACGGATGTTTTTTCTGGTGGGGATCATCCCCTAAAACTCGGTGCTAAACGTAGGGAACGGGGGAAAGATCCATAATAGCTATAAAACTAGTAGCAATCGTCCCATTTCCCCATTTCCTACCAAGCACCACTAAGAAAATGATTGACTTACAAGCACTCACGTGTTTATTCGGGTTTGTTTCACAATGTTGGGTGGTTTCAAATCTCATTTCCCCCAGCAAAATGGCATAAGTTGGGGATTAATGACTGAATTTCACAGCGGTGTTGATATAGTCAAAAGGTCGGCGTATTTTTTGCAATAAAATCTTGGTGAAATTGTGAGCAATAAGTCCAGTTTCCTTTGCGCCATTGCATTGCCACGAGCATGACGGGCCCAGCTTGATCATCCCATTTTGACCCCTCGCGATCACCCAAGACTATGGCAAGGTGATCATCCCCCAATTTCACAGGGGGTCACATAAGGTGGGCCCCCCGGTTTGAAAAAATATAATATATAATATAATGTATAATAATAATGTTAACAATAATGAGAATGACAATAATAATGATACTAATGAGAGTAACAATGATAATAGTGATAATAATGATAATAATGATAATGATAATAACGATAATAATTATAATGACAATGATAATAATAATAATTCTAGTGAAAATAATAATAAATATATATAGAGAGAGATCTATCATGATATATCTAGTTATATATCTTATGTTCTCTAGCATAATTCATTCTTATAACGGACTCAGCAGCTTAGCTATGTGACTTTTCCAGAAACGGGGTCTCCCGCTCTCCCGCGGTCAGCGAGGTCACCAAACAGCGGAAGGAGATGGAGAAAAAGTCCCGACTTTCCGCGGACCAAGTGGTGCAACTTTGCAAAGTCATGGCGCCTTGGATCCATCGGAGGATGGAGAAAGTGGCGGAAAGATTGAGATTTTGAAAGGGATCCAATTAGGATGTTAGCTAATTAATGTTAATTACAAGGAAATGTATGGCAATGTGATTTATAGGTAAATTGGGATCGACCATTTGTTTGGGTGTGTCTTTTTTTCGGGATCACATTGGGATGCAAATGAAATTATGGACCCCCCATGTTAAGCACACCCAGTGTATGGTCCCAAATATGTGCAAATGACGAATATTGAAACACCGTGGTTTCGGGCGTGATGGTGATGGTGTTTAATATGAACGGGAAAAAATTACTACTACGGATACCCTAGGTAAATCATACCTTTTTCCTCGGGACTGGAGGGATTAAGTTTCAGGAACCGCACCAGATTTTGTCAACTACCCTCTGGTAATTCAACGAAGTTAAGGAATATTGATTCATAGATCATTACCTCATAAACATGGTGATTTCCATGATATGATATAAATGGATATAAATCAGATTTATGGTGGACATTTTCTGCTGCATTGGTTTATAGAACAAGTTTGAACTGGGGGTGTCCTGTTTGCAATCTTTACCACTGGATGGGTATCACAATTAGGACGTGATGAATAGCTGGTGATATTCCGCAAGGTCGGGGGGACAAAATTATAGCCACCTGGTCAACCAGTGTTGAGCAAACCAACTCAACCATGGTTGACCCACAAGAAAAACGATGTTCATGGAGAGAATGTTGACAGGACCCAGTTTAAAAGGATCAATGTGTGTCCTAGCCATAAACTCAATCATGTCAAAACTATTTTGCATCCTTCCCGTGCCATGGATACATTGAAATACATTGGTGCCATTTTTCGGCTTCTTTTTGGTTACTCTCTGGTGCCCATTTAGTGCGATGATGTACAGTACCTATATCTACTACTTGAAAGGTGATTTTCCAGCTTTGAAGCCCTTAACTTTCCAGATGGTGTATCCCCATTACCACATGTTCATTTTGTTGATCAACAATATCCCATTTAAACACAATTAAACCCCATTAAAGAAAACATATATGTAATTCTCACGATTATATCAACTATGTCTGTATCACATTAAAGATAGGTATACGACATGTTCAATTTCATTAATACAAATTCTTGATGTTTATCTCCAATTAAATATAGATATCCGATATAATCCGATACATATATATGGTTATATACGGTTAAATATATCTATATATGATTATGTGTATATACATATATACATATGTGATTATATGTAAATATAAATATAAATATATACAAATATATATATATATATATTCATGTCTGTGTGTGCGCGTGTTTTTTGATTTATTACGCAGGTTATTTATACCTCTTCAAATCCTACTAGGCTCTATTGAAACCCATTAGACCCTATGAAATCCCCATAGAAATCTTGACGTTTGAGCCCAGGCGCCCTGCGGCAAGGAGCGCCTCTTAGAGGCGCTGGGCGCCAATCTCATCGCGCGCGTCAAGGAGCTCACTGAGAACGGCCGCAAGGCGCGGCAATTTTTTTTGGGTGAGTTTTGTCATTTTTTGGGGAGTTTTTCCCTAAACCAGTGCGTGGGATGTGTATATTTACGTACTTCTCTGGGGAGTTTTGTCATTTTTGTGGGAGTAGTTCAGCACGAAAAAATTGTGGAGATCATGAAAAAACAACTAACAGGAATGGATGTAAAATGAACATTATGGAGGGGGTTATCGGGAAGACTGGAAGAATGCAGGATGTTAAATGGGGATATCATGGGGATGTTAAATAGGATTTTTTTGGGTGGACATCATGGGCTTTAACCAGGAAAAATGGTTGTTAAATGGGATGTGAAATGGGATCTGGATGCATAATAACCTCACGTCGTGACGTCACTAGGAATGATGGTGAATGTAAGGTGAGTTTAGTTTATCTCCAAAAAGGCCTAGTATGACTACAGCTATTTTCAGGGTACTCAGCCAGATGGGATTGTAGGGATTTAACTAACAAGAATTGTAGGATCATGTCATGTGTTTATTAGGGATGGTTTTTGGCGATTTACTATGATTTGCCTCATGATATGTATATGATATACATATATATATTTATACATGTCTGTGTGTGTACTTATATCTAGACATGGTATTATTCGGAATTACCTATTTCGATTTTCGTGTTTCATCTATGTAAATGAAGGTTAATTCGTTGTACTTATTGGATCTTTGTATACATGTAAAACACTGTAAACAGTGGCTCAAAACGGTGCAACAGATCTAGGTCGATTTGCTGAATCAAGACAGTTGCATCATGAACACCCCAGTTTCGCAGCTTCAACCTCCATGTTTTACATTATTTACACCAGTTCCACCTTAAATCAGAAATTTGCCGGCTTAAATCACCATTTTTCGGCTGAAATATGGTGAAATCCCTGATTTTGCATGCTGAAATCAAGCCATGTCTTGGCCCCCCCATTGCCGTAGAAAACTTCCCAGCCCCCGCCCCCTCGATGTGAAGCTCCCAGGCCGTTGAGGTCCAGTTGGCCGAGAACGGGGCCTTGGCGCAGTACGGGCGCAAGGATCGGCTGAAACGAGCCGCAGGGCGGCCTGGGGGGGGCTGGGGCCGCAATTCTCGGGACCATCGAGATCCAATGGGATATATGGGATATAGATAGATGGATGGATGGATGGATGGATAGATATCTATGTATCAATTTTCTAGATATATGAGATACAATGATGGATCCGATTGATGATACCAGATGATACCAGTTGGTCATGTGGCAATGGAACATCTTCTAGACCAAATTTGTTCATGTGGCAATGGAACAGCTTCTAGAAATGGAGGTTTTGGATGGTTTTGGAGATTTGTGGCTGGGAATATCATTGAAGATCATTGAATATTGAAGTATTGCTACGTTTAAGATTACCGGATGGGATGAGTTAACTATTTACTTAGTCCGTTTGTCTGAAAATAGGGTACCACCAAAATTTGATGGGCTCATAATTTTCCCATATTTTCCCTGATTAAATATAACTAGTCGTGGCAGAGAGCTTGTTACAAGCTCCGTACCTAGAGATCGATGGTCACATCTCCCAAAATGGACATCGAACGGAAAAGTAATGTTGTTTTCTGCAATTTTTCCGAAGCTTCGCACTGAAAGACTAGGAAGGTTTCCATCATGAACCACCTTTTTTGAGGTGGCTGCTGCAGCGAGTGGCAGCCATAGCCGGAGTCGAAGTCGGAGGCGGACACTCAGTGCGGTGAAGCGGCACCTGGATGAAACCCTTCAGATAGGGTCAAGAATTGAGATAACCCTGCATTTGTTTCTATGTCCATATCCATTTGTATATATCTACAAATAATTAACTAATTACGTATATAAATAAATATATAAATATATAAATAAATAAATAAATAAATATATAAATATATAAATAAATATATATATATATTATATAATATATCCACATATATATATTATATAAACATATTATTCATATTTATATTTATGTATATAAATATGCGATTGCAAAGTTTAATTCTGAATAGAGCTTGGACCCTTGTTCCGTAAACCTGGGTTGGGTGGAATATTTTTTTCTGTGAATGGAGGCCAACCCGTAACCCTCGGACGAATCCTTCAAACATAATGGGTCCATCCACTTCTCCCCCAATAATGAAAGTAGAATACACAACAGCGCGAATATCAAATTATAGTACATACCGTTATTATAGAAGATATTCAGGAATTATTTCAAAAAGAAGATGTTTTTTTGGGGGTGCGGCCAAACGCTTTTCAAATAGAAGATATTGCAGAGTGCAAAAGTAGTTCAAATGACCAAAAATCCAAGAATAAACCCCTCAACATTGGGATGATCTTTGGAATATCTTCTATTTGAAAATCTTTTGTCCCACTGCCATTTTTTGTGTTTTTTGCAGGGAAATTATCTAAAATCAATAGAACATTGACGCCCGGACCTGGGTGACCCCCCGAAGAGGAGAGTGCCAAAGTACCTCCCGAAGTGGGACCCGGCCGGAGGTACTTTGGCACTCTCGCCTTCGGGGGGGGGGTCGGTGAAAAACTGTTCAAAAACCATGTTTTTTTTAGCTTTTTTGATTGGGGGATGGTGATTCAAACCACTTTTCAAATAGAAGATAATCTGTAATGCAATTTATTTTTCAAATAGAAGATATTCGAGGAGTACTGAAAAACACTTTTCAAATAGAAGATATTATTTCATGAGGGAACCCAGAGAGTTCCACCAAATGGTTTTCAAATAGAAGATATTCATTTGTAACCCCATGAGTTCGACAGATCCCAAATGCATGAAAAACAGTTTTCAAATAGAAGATAATTGATTTTTGGCTTGGTTTTGGGCCTTCATAGGCTGGGCATAAAAGGGGGCACAAAAACGCAGTCTTCAAATGAAAAATGATAGAGATCCCGAAACACCGAACAACACTAGGAAAAAACATACATCCAATTGTCAAAAGCATTTTCAGATCATGCTCTAACCTCGCGATCCCTGGAGAAAGACAATAATTTGAATATCTTCTATTTGAAATGCCTGTGGGAAAGCCTCAATACAGCCAGTTTTGCACGTAAAATTGGTGAATATCTGGGCTGCCAGGGGTAATGCAATAATCATATATTTGAATACCTTCTATTCAAAACACCATTGAAAAAAACCTGAAAACAGCCGGTTTTGAACGCAGGAATAATATATGTGCATATCTTCTATTTAAAATGCCTTTGGGAAGGCTTCAAAACACCGCATTTTGCACATAAAATTGGCGAATCTGGCCTTGCAGGGGTGGAGAGGAAAAATGTATTTGAATATCTTCTATTTAAAATGCATTTTGAAGGTATCAAAACACCGCGTTTTGCAAATAAAATGGTAGAATCTAAGTTTTCAGGGGTGGGCAGGAATAACATAGTTGAAAATGTTCTATTTGAAATGCTTTTGGGAAGGCATGAAAACCAAATTTTGCACATAAAATTGGCGAATCTGGGCTTTTAGGGGTGGGCAGGAATAATATATGTGAATATCTTCTATTTGAAATGGCTTTGGGAAGGCGTGCGAACACCAAGTTTTGCACACGAAATTGGAGAATCTGCACTGGCAGGGGTTGGCAGGAATAATATCTTCTATTTAAAATGGCTTTGGGAAGGCATGAAGACACCAAGTTTTGCACACGAAATTGGAGAATCTGCAATGGCAGGGGTGGGCAGGAATAATATATGTGAATATCTTCTATTTGAAATGGCTTTGGGAAGGCGTGCGAACACCAAGTTTTGCACACGAAATTGGAGAATCTGCACTGGCAGGGGTGGGCAGGAATAATATGTGAATATCTTCTATTTGAAATGGCTTTGGGAAGGCATGAAAACACCAAGTTTTGCACACGAAATTGGAGAATCTGCACTGGCAGGGGTGGGCAGGAATAATATATGTGAATATCTTCTATTTGAAATGGCTTTGGGAAGGCATGAAAACACCAAGTTTTGCACACGAAATTGGAGAATCTGCACTGGCAGGGGTGGGCAGGAATAATGTATGTGAACATCTTCTATTTGAAATGGCTTTGGAAAGGCATGAAAACACCAAGTGTTGCACACAAAATTGAGGAATAACGTATGTGAATATCTTCTATTTGAAATGGCTTTGGGAAGGCATGAAGACACCAAGTTTTGCACACGAAATTGGAGAATCTGCAATGGCAGGGGTGGGCAGGAATAATATATGTGAATATCTTCTATTTGAAATGGCTTTGGGAAGGCGTGCGAACACCAAGTTTTGCACACGAAATTGGAGAATCTGCACTGGCAGGGGTGGGCAGGAATAATATATGTGAATATCTTCTATTTGAAATGGCTTTGGGAAGGCGTGCGAACACCAAGTTTTGTACACGAAATTGGAGAATCTGCACTGGCAGGGGTGGGTAGGAATAATATATGTGAATATCTTCTATTTGAAATGGCTTTGGCAAGGCATTAAAACACCAAGTTTTGCACACGAAATCGGAGAATCTGCCCTGGCAGGGGTGGGCAGGAATAATATATGTGAATATCTTCTATTTAAAATGGCTTTGGCAAGGCATGAAAACACCAAGTTTTGCACACGAAATCGGAGAATCTGCAATGGCAGGGGTAGGCAGGAATAATATTTGTGAATATCTTCTATTTAAAATGGCTTTGGGAAGGCATGAAAACACCATAAAACACCAAGTTTTGCACACGAAATTGGAGAATCTGCACTGGCAGGGGTGGGCAGGAATAATATATGTGAATATCTTCTATTTGGAATGGCTTTGGGAAGGCATGAAAACATTAAGTTTTGCACACGAAATTGGAGAATCTGCACTGGCAGGGGTGGGCAGGAATAATATTTGTGAATATCTTCTATCTGAAATGTCTTGAGCGGAAACGACCATTTCAAATAGAAAATATTCATTATACCAACCCCAAATTCTCAGAACAAGATTGTGCGACAAACCATTTTTTAAATAGAAGATATTCGGTTGGATGATTCACCAAGTTTGTGCTTTTGGTGTTGGTCTAAATGGTTTTTAAATAGAAGATATTAGTTTGGACCCTCCCGGGACCATGGTTGCGGAGAGTGCCAAAGTAGCTCCAACATCCCGGATGTTCTACCATTTTGGGTCATTGAATTAATTTATTTTCTATTTAATGGTTTTTTCCGCGCGTCCAAACCCGTTTCAAATAGAAGATCGGTTTTCCGATAATTCCTGAATATCTTCTATAATAATGGTATGTACTATATATATCTCAATATGAAGTATTCAAAAGAAAATGGGTTAAAACATGGAATCTCTTCATATCTCATTTGGGGTTCCTTTCTTAATATCATTCTTTCCCAGCTGCGGCCGATCAGCCAGTTTGAGCCCCAGGCGCAGCCGGAGTGCCAGCAGGGATCGAGGGCGGTGTCTGGGCAGCAAATTTGCTCCTGATTTGGATCCTACAGTGTGAGGCCCCCCAGTGATGTTTGTTGGTTACCAAAAGCCCCAGTAACTATTTCGTTATTTGCGTACCATAAACCATAGTAAAAATTGGAGTTATAAACCGACTTAGCTATCTTGGGGGCCTCACATTGTATCAAATAGTGGGGTGAAAAATATTGATGGGATTAGTGGTGTTTAGTTATTGGGGGTTGGGATTAGTTAGTGGCGTTTAATATTATCAATAGTGGTCTTAATCAAATGATTTTTCAATGATTAGTGATTTACTCTTGATCTTATCAAATAGTGGGTCTTAATATTAGGGGATGGGATCCAGATTAGTGGTGTTTAATATTGGGGGGATGGGATTATGCTTGATTTGCTGAGTCGATGATTTGGCTGATTTTCCAAATGGGAAATCCACTAGAAGTGAGGATTCTATAGGGAAATACCCTCTGGTAATTTAACATAACTATGGAAAGCCACCATTTTCAATAGGTAAATCAACTATTTCAATGGGCAATTTTCCAGTTCGCTATGCTAGTTTACCAGGGGGTATGTTGTTTCATTTTTTGGCGGGGCTCCGGATCAGCAAATCCAAGGCGAGCTATTTCTCACAAATGCCAGTTTTTGTTACACTCCCCGTACAGACAAAGCTTCAGTTGGGAATGGACATTTGTAATTGTAAGTAGAGGATCCCAAGAATCCTGAACCTGTCTGTTTATGGGACCACAAAATGGCGAGATTCAATACTTAATCTGGATGTAAGTCTCCGTTGTTCCCAGCAATGACAGCAGTAATCTCCAAAAACAACCAAACTGTGGGGGCCCCCAGGTATAAGTTGGTTTATCAACCCTGTGAACTAGAGTTACAAGTAGCATCAAGCATTTTTTACTGGAGTCATGTTCACCAACTTACATAGCTATCATCAACATCAGCTATAAATCCCATAAAATCCCATGTTTTGTTGGTTAAGTCACCCGTTTCTTCATCGGTTTCTGGGCTCCTTGAGACATCTCCAGGCGGAGACGAAGTCGGAGCCGGGATCGCCGCGATCGCCGCTGAGGTGCAGCTACAAATGGAGTTTACACGATGTAAAGTGCTTTCCCCATATTATCGCAAAAAAACATACATATCATGGTTAGATTGAGGGAAATCATCCCCAAATGGCCGAACTATTCAGGTTAGTGAAATATTAATTATAATTTGCCCAGATATATGACTTAAATCTCTTCATCCTTCACCATTCTTCAACAAATGAGAATTAGACCACCCTACTTGGCCTTCCCGCAAGTGTCCATTTTTTTGTGCTTTGGGGATCCCAACTGTGAGAAGCCGCATCTCCAACAGTCACTCCGCGACTCCCTGGGCTGAGGTGAAAATCGTGCACCTGAGACCGCTGACGCTGTGTCATCAACTGCTGATGGCTTAGATTTGGCTAGATTTACCCTCTGGTAAACTAACATAACTATTGAAAATAGTGATTTATAGTGGATTGTCCCATTCAAAATTGTTATTTTCTATAGTTATGTTACTTTACCAGAGGGTACATAACCTTGTTTGCGATAGGAACTACATGGAGCTACCAAACCAATACAACAAAGTGAAACCTGAACATAATGTGGGAACGACTCGACATCTACAACATCCTGGGACAAGTATTCTCTCTTTTGAAGGCACTGAAAATTGGAATCTCGCAGGTTTAGTCCCGAAAAAAGCCTTAGAAATCACCATCCAACTGCAAAGTTGCTCTAGGAAGGGATTACATGTGGATTCTCAATGATTCTCAAAGGGTGTACGACTGGTTGCAGGATATTTTTTTATGGTGGTTAGCAATGGGACCAGCCAAATGCTACCAGCGGATTGACAAAAACTGAACTTGTCCAGATGAAAGTTTGGGGATACTTATGTAAATCCAATTTACATGTTTAATCCAATTTAGTTTGGGGATCCAGATGAACTTGTCCATATTCAAATTCTTTTCAACTTATATAAATCCAATTTACATAATTATTGACTGTTGGTCTCAAAACCTTTTCTTTGGCAGGTCGCTGGTGGTAAATTTCAGCTTTCGATGACATGGCGGGGATCTTCTGCACACGCGTCCGACGTGGTCATCGGCCACCGGTTGACGTATTGGAAAAAAGTGCAGAAGGATGGGATCCAGTTGAGGTGAATCAATCCATGAGTGAATCGAGTTGATCAAAAAGCGTTTCTGGATAGAATTACTTTACTTATTTTACTTCGAGTTTTCCCCACCATGACATTTATACGTTTTGTTACTGGCAAATCTTCTGGCATTCTATCTGACATACCTTCTGGCATTTTATCTGTCATATCTTCTGGCATTCTATCTGGCATATCTTCTGGCATTCTACCTGGCATATCTTCTGCAATATCTTCTGGCACTCTATCTGGCATATCTTCTGGTACATCTTGTGACATTCTATCTGGCATTCTATCTGGCAAATCTTCTGACATTCTATCTGGCATACCTTCTGGCATTCTATCTGGCATATCTTCTGGCATTTTATCTGACATATCTTCTGGCATTCTATCTGACATATCTTCTGGCATTCTATCTGGCATATCTTCTGGCATATATTCTGACATATCTTCTGGCATTCTATCTGGCATTCTATCTGGCATATCTTCTGGTATATCTTCTGGCATATCTTCTGGCATATCTTCTGGCATTCTATCTGGCATATCTTTTGGCATATCTTCTGGCATACCTTCTGGCATTCTATCTGACATTCTATCTGGCATACCTTCTGGCATTCTATCTGTCATATGTTCTGGCATTCTATCTGGCATATCTTCTGGCATTTTATCTGGCATATCTTCTCGCATTCTATCTGACATTCTATCTGGCATATCTTCTGGCATTCTATCTGGCTTTTGAGGTCCAGCGGTGCGCACTGACCTCGGAAGGCCCCAGGTTGAGGTCCAGCGGTGCGCACTGGTCCCAGGTTGAGGTCCAGCGGTGCGCACTGAGCTAGGAAGGTCCCAGGTTGAGGTCCAGCGGTGCGCACTGAGCTGGGAAGGTCCCAGGTTGAGGTCCGTCCAGCGGTGCGCACTGAGCTGGGAAGGTCCCAGGTTTATGAGGTCCAGCGGTGCGCACTGAGCTGGGAAGGTCCCAGGTTGAGGTCCAGCAGTGCGCACTGAGCTGGGAAGGTCCCAGGTTGAGGTCCAGCAGTGCGCACTGAGCTCGGAAGTTGGCGAAGAGCTTGGCGAAGAGTTGGCAAGGCGGAAGTGGAGGTGGAAGTTGATGTAGACATGGTCGAGGAGAAACTGGAGGAGGAGGCGAGGAGGAGGACGAGGAGGAGGAGGACAGCTAGTCGAGGAGGAGGAGGAGGAGAAGGAAGATGCGGCGGGCAAGCGCTCTGATAAAATCTAACAACCCTCACCTGGCAGGTGGGGAAAAAACCATCAACAAATTTCATAAGAGTTACAGGGATTTCATCGGATATACTGGGGATATTTCATGGAATCGCTAGAACCTAATGGGGGCCCCAGTTCATATCCCAAAACCCCGCCCCAACACTTCAACATAAAATCGCAACTGCATGAAACATCTCATCAAAAAAGACATCAGAACTACATCAACAGTAACATCATCAAATCAGAAATACCAAATCATTTCATGAGAGATTTCAACATATAATCATTGATCATCGTCAAAATTCCTCAACTGTAACAACCCTCAGATCAAAACCAAAATACGTTTATCAGAAATTTATTCCAGAATTTGTGTTGAGCTTGTTTTTTTGGTATCAAGCTCGTCCTTTTCATGTTCTTCTATCGCTTGTCAAATTCACTCATGCCCATATCTTTTGGCACTCTGTTAACTATGTTTCTTACCTGTTCAATTGTTTTACACTCTTGTCTCTCTTCAGGCCTTAGCTCTTTCCTGTGTTTCTTCAATTCCACTGTCCGCTAAATCAAAAAAGTTTGATTTCTTGGCAATTCACTAATATATCATATGATATCTATCTTTTAAATCTATTTCCCTCAAAAGGTGTTTTATTCATTGCAATAGCGGTATTATTCTTTCCTTTCATCTCCTCAGCATATCAGCATTTCAAACTTTATACAAGCTCATGCCTCATTGACCCATGTAGCTGGTCGATTTTAAGTATGTTTGTCCAAAAAAAGGAAGTAATCAGCTGATATAATTTGCATAACCAATGAGTTCATATTTGATAATACTTTTAAGCTGCATATTTTTCAAAAGTTTGAAGTCAGTGTAGTCAGTTCATTTTCTGTGCCTTTTTCGTCACAATCTTTGCATTATTCCCTGCCTTTAATTCACGAAAAATCATCGGTGTGTCTTTGCATTGACAGAAATCTGCAATTTCGACTTAAATTCATTTTTGTTCTTGCTTCGTTTGGTGTTTGACCTGTTGCTGAATGTACATCCTTACTATTGTAAGTTAGATTTTTTTCACTGAAATAGTTTATCCACTATATATTATCTTGGCCTTTTTCTCATTTGCCTCAACTCTCTTGGAACAGTTTGTCTTTAAATTGTCCTTATAAAACGTTGCGCACACGCAGGATGGCTCCTGGCTCTATGTTTTGTTTTTTCCGTTCGCCCGCAATGTATTGTGTAAAACTATTTCCTCCTATAGATCCCTCGTCATTTGTATATATTATTTTTGGTTTCTTGCCCATATTTTTAAGTGCTTCCATGGTTGCAGTAATTACTTTACAAGAATGCCCTTTTTTGTTTCAATTGGAAGAACAACAGCATACTTACTCAAAACATCTATTGCAACTAATCTTGCTCCGTCATGTACGATGATTATGCGGTGCAACAACAGAATTTTACCCCGGTGTTTTTCCCTTAAGCTCGGCATTTTTTCCGCAAATATGTTCTACATCTTCCGTAGTATTACTTTTATCCTTCTTTCATGCATCTTGCACAGTGGTGTTTTTTTTGGCCGAATCCAGCTCTATATCAACTCTATCAACATTTTTTTGATATTTTTTGTTTGTGTTGAATTCATTTGACTACATTGAGAATAAGAGTTCTGTTTTGATTATTCACAACTACCTATGCTATCATTATCTATCATTAAGACTATGTTCATCATATTCATCATTATTTTCCTTGCCGTCAATTTTTCAGGACTCAATATTTGATCAAATATGATAAAACTGGATATGCCAATCTGTTTCTGTCCCAAACCTTACAAGCCTAAACATCCTAAAACAAACATAAAGTGTAGTCACCAAGCCTTCCAAAAGTCACATTTCAAATCAATGTGCTAGCGGATAATAATGGATAATGAGAATGGCACATATATTTCTGGTTAGAAACAATAGGGAATAACATTGTTGGTTACAGATTCCATATTGGAATATAACCAGTAAAAAGATTATATAATACTATGTAAACAATCATAATGGGACGATACGGCTATATATTCACCATAATAGGAAAACTCATCAATAAGATTAGCCAACAAGTTCATGAGATTTGATGGGAATATCACCAACTATGGTGGTCAATAATCGAATACCCCCCAAATATAATTGGGACAACAATGGTTGCGGGACTTAGTAGCATGGTTAACAACCACTGATGTTGCACTGGATGACCCTCCAAGCAAGCCAATGGCACGGGGCATCATGATTAAAATCTGAGGCACCCTAAAATCTGAGATGGTTGATGCTGATAATCCATGACCGTTTTAGGCGCCCCCCAATTTGAATCAATTTGAGACAAACTGTTTAATGGTGGTAGATACCTGCATATCAGATTTCTGGAAACCCGATGATACCTGCCATGACCCACAGCCAAATGCCCGTCGGCCGTCGGTGGTTCAAGAGATGTCCGATAGGGAATTCCATGTGATTGGTTTTCAATGGTTGGGTGACGTGTAAATACCACATTGCAGCACCACGTCAGGGGATATGGTTCATTTTTGTATTTTTTTTGCTTTCTACTTGCTCAGTTTTACAATACATCATTTTTGCCTTGACAGCAGGTGCCATCGACTAGCTTCTTCACTCAATCTACAAACCCAGTAACTACTGACTTTGCATCAACCGATCCAATGCATGGCCAGGGTGGCTCCAGAAGTCCGTGGTTCCACAGGGAGAGGTCATGACCGAGCGCGGGTCCAGGTCCGCAGGATCCTTCATGTCTGTGCGAAGACTCTGTCATGTTTGCTCCTCATCGCTTTCACAGCAGGCCGTATCGCAGGAAACCTTGTGAATGTTCTGAATTCAATGAGCCCCGAGTTGTACGGGGACATGCCCATCCCGGTGCAAGTCTTTGACTGCTTCTTCCGGCCGCTGCTTGGTGGTCTCAGCTTCCTGCCGTTCCTTCTCCGCCGCCGCCACTGCCACAAACTTTCTCCGAAGCTTTTAGGCAGCAGCCTTTTTGGATGCTTCATCACGATGATTACATCGTTTTTGCTGGAGTGGTTGGCGCCGCATTTGTTGCCGACGGAC